AAATGGTTAATGGGGAGAATAATTAAAGTGTTTTACGGCACTGATAAGAAAATCAGAGTTGTAGAAGTGAAAACCCAGCACGGGACCCTTAAGAGGTCTATTTCTAAAATATGCTTGTTACCTGTATCATAAAAATATTCTAATGTTTAATTTTATTTTGAATTGAATATTTGTTGTATGAGAAGATCGGTTGCAGTGTAAAGTATCATTAATTTGTTTTTTTTTTTCTTATTTGTATCAGTGTTACTAATTATCATCTAAATGCTTTGTAAAGATTTTTTAAATAATGCAAATTGTGCTTTGTTAAATTACATATTAATTGAATGTTGAAACATTGCAATGCCGGGCGGCATGTTCGCGCATGTGCGACTGCCGCGCCACCCTTTTTTGTGAAAGATTTATATATACCTTGAGAACTTCATAAATGGCGGACGTAGTCCGTGTGTCTTGAAAAATAAAGTACTACAGTCCATTGAAGACCAGTGTTCTTCTTATTTACGAAATAAACCTTGAGCTATCGATTAGAGTGACCACAAACAACCCTTATGAATGAAATATTTTATTAATAGAAAAAGAAAGAATTTTTTGGCGTAACTGAATATTTAGCAAGATTAGCCCACAACTGATTATATGATGAAGGTTTAGTAGCGAGATATAAAAACGTGATATAATTTTTTCAATATTTTTGCCAAATTTCTTTATTTACTCTTATTTTTTAATATACATGAAAAAAATTGGAAATCTTAATTTCTGCCCTTAATTTTACAATTCAATTTCAATGAAATCGTTAAAAATGGAATATGGATTAGTTTCATAGATGACGTTAACCTTTAACCTGAAAATGTTTAAGAAAACCGACTAAGGTTTGCAAAAATTGCCTGGTACTTCTTTGGCTTACAGTGCTTACATTATTACAAAATTGTTTTTTGTTATTTATTAATTTTTTTTAAAGAAAGGTAAATAATTGTCCCTTTCACTTGTGGTATTTGTATATTCAATGATCAACAATCATCGAATGTGCTATTTTTCAAGTACTTAACTTTTCAAAAAGGTTCTAAATTTTTTTAAAAAAAAAGTCCTTATAAGTGCTAAATTTTTGGGGGGAACCCTGGAGTTTGAAATTGCTTATTTTAATAATCACCTTTGAGGATTGCTTTATTTATGCCTATTTCATTGTCCATTCAAGTTATTTTAAGGTAAGGGGACAGTTTTTGCTTTCCATGTAGTATTGAAAATGCTGATATTTTTAATGCAATATTATCATGATTTATACGTTTCGTATCTTGCATTTCAATAATCACTTTAAATACTTGCCTATTTTGCTCCAATTTCATCACCATTCTATTGCACGATTGTTTTTTTTTGGAAGTTGTTGCTACTCATTTCCACATAGTTTTTCGAAAACTCGATATTTTTAATGCATTATTATTGCAACATGTGAAATTTGAACGTAGATTAAAAAATTATTTACTGTTTTTTAACTTTATTTCACATTTTTATAGCTTTAAAAACTGTTTAATATTTATAAAATCTTTTATAATTCACTAAATATAAATGTCCTAAAGTAAAAGTATGTTCCCTACAAAATGTTGAATCTTATTTTGAGCAATAATGTGTTTGTTTCATTTTAAACAATTTTAGACAACTATACAATTTCTTTAATTAAAACACTTAACTTGCATTTACATTGCTCAATAAAATATTTATTTTACTTTTATTCTTTAAACATTGCAGTTTATTTATTTTGAAATAAACCTTTCTATTATGTGATATCATGTAAAAAAAATCTGTTGCTTTTTCCCATTTTTCTATTTTTTTTCAATAAATCTTCTTTTTGATCAGAGATCTAATTATTATTATTATTTTATGAAAGTGTCAGTTTGGAATTATTCTGATTTAAATAAATTTTAATATTTAAAAGCATTTAAATCTTTACAACTATATTACTAAGTTAACTGATCAAAAAACTGATATCTAAAACATTGCTACTTGTATAAAAATTACCATAATTGATGTATAAATACTTTGTTGATCAATCTGCTGTACAAGTGGCCCTTCACACGTAAAGATTGGATGTCCCTAGTTTATATCTCATTTTAGCTGAATAGAAATTAATTAACCAATAGAAATTGTTTTATTAATAACAGAAGTTAATAAAAAGGATATTTAATAAATTTACATTTTGTTTAAAATATATATATAGTTGTACATAATTTGTTTCAAAAATAAATAAGAGCTTCTTTTGTATGTCCTTTCAGGGGTCTGTCCAGGCCAAATTTACTACCGTTTAGCTGTACCTTCACAAATTCAATTTTAGGTAAAATGGTAGTTTCACAAATTCAACTTTAGAAAAAATGGTAGTTTCACAAATTCAACTTTAGAAAAAACGGTAGTTTCACAAAATACTTTTTCCTAAATTTTCATTTTTGNCTCCTTAATTAAAATATCCATAGATTTTTATAATCATTTTATTCAGTCAACATTGAAACTTAATATACTGTTTTTAATTTTTATTCAATTTTTGATTGCTTTAAAATTAGTTAATGTTTTTCGCCAGATTGTCAAAAATTAACAGTTAGTAATGTTATGTGAAGTTAATCTCCAATAACAGGTTTTGCTGGAAATAATTTTGAGTAAAATTCATCATAAAAGTAAATATAACACATTTGCTGTTTAGTAATAATTTCAAAATTGTTAAGTTATATACAGTTTTCAATATGTTATTCAGGAAATTTTTCAATATTTTGTTACAAAACTTCGCCTGATAAAGTGATATTACAGGATTATTTTATAATGATGTAATGATGTTTTATAATTGATGTATAAATACTTTGTTGATCAATCTGCTGTACAAGTGGCCCTTCACATGTAAAGATTGGATGTCCCTAGTCTATATCCCATTTTAGCTAAATAGAAATTAATTAACCAATAGAAATTGTTTTATTAATAACAGAAGTTAATAAAAAGGATATTTAATAAATTTACATTTTGCTTAAAAAATATATATAGTTGTACATAATTTGTTCCAAAAATAAATAAGAGTTTCTTTTGCATGTCCTTTATCTCAAATATTACTTAAAAATTGTTTTCTATGTTATGAACTTCTAAAAATTTACGAGACTCTATTGATATTAGCACTTCTCTATTAAAGGGCTCCCACGAGTCAGGGAAAACCTGGAATTGCCAGGGAATTTTATTTTAACTCCAAAAATCCGGGAATAGTAAGGGCAAGTAGCAATTTTTTTCACAAAATCCTGGAGAATTCCTATTTTATACCTGGAAAATAACCAGTCTTAAAATTGTCAGTAACAGTAATCAGTTATTGAGATGTGAGTTAAATAATTCTTACATGTTATAAAAATTTCACATTTTTGTTATTTGTTATAAAAATTTCACATTTTAGTCAAACTGAAATGTTCCCATCTTCATTTAATAATATTTTTTTACACAGGAAATCTAATATTTCATATAACAAATAAAAGATTCTAAGTTTTCAGATGAAAATATGGTCTCAATTTTCATTGAAATTTACCTGGTATACCTGGAAAAGTCAGGGAATTTTTATTGCAAAATGAGTGGGAACCCTGATATTATAAAAGGATGAATATTGTCTTACCATTTTGTGCACTCTCATTGGATAGAAATATTGCATGTGATCTTTAAAATATACAAAAGATCCACTCTGTCATCAGCATAAAATTAATAAAACTTATATTTGTCTGTAAATTAATTATTTATTTCTTACTGGTATTTACTTCTGATATTTATTTTTCAATATCATTCCTTCTTAGTATTTTTTTGATATTATTATATTTTTCCATTTGATAACTAATCAAAATTTTAAAGGCTTAAAACTTAAAGCATTACTCCCTTATTATATTACAAAATAATTGCATGATAATATCTTGTTTTGCAACATTTTATGATAAAGATATTTAGTTACTAATTTTGCAATTATTAATTTGCAAAAATGTTACTTTTATGGTAATTAATGGTTACATTTACTTTTATGGTAAATATGTTAATTTAAATTTTTGGTAAAAGTTTATAATCGGGGGTCACTCTCATTTTTGGCGATTCACTAATAAATGAATATGTATGTAAATAAGCCAAGAACCAATCTCAGCAATTTAGACAAAAGTTTCTATAACCCGAAGGTGATATCATTAAAAGGAAAGATTGCAAATTACATCATGGTAACCAAAAATGAGATTTCAGCAAAACTGAACTAAAATTATCACAAAACCAAGGGGCCCCCGGATTCTACATTGGAGCCAGATTTTTAGATAGAAATGTTATCAGTCAGTGTGTGCAATCCAAATAATTACTTTAAAATAACTGCTGAAAATATAAAAACAATATAAAGAAGAAATTTTTATCATTATTGCTAAAAACTATTTTTGGTAAAAATTTTTAAAATTGCCCAATTTAAATAAGAATTGAAAGGAAAAAAAATAGATGAATTGGCAATGATAACAGAGCAAAATTATAAGTTTAAAATATTATTCCAATAGAATTTGAAACTTTGTTAAATTTGTTTGCAATTTTTTAATTTTGCCGTAATACTCTGTTTATTATTAAGAAGCAAAAATGATTGGGAAGCAAATGCTAGTGCATATCAGAGAAGCAAGCTGAAGAGAGACTTCACTATTCAATTAATTATTTTTATGTTTGGCATTATACTTAACATTTTTGAAAAGACAATTGGTATCTCTTTTTGCATTTGAATTATTAATTTGCTTATGTCCCATGTTTCCAATAGCTTTTTCTTTTAAACTTTTTTTTTATATTCAAAACCTTGCGTTTAGAGCATTTGAGTGTGAATATATGGAAGTGAGCAAATGAAAATATGGAAAATCAGTTTTTTATGTCCATAGATTTTTGATAGTACTTTAAATTTGAAAACAATAAAAATGATATAAGCACATACTTAGTTTCAAAATTTTTTTATAAAATACATAATTAGTTTAAGTTTAATATTCTTTTTATTTTATTTTAAGAATCTGTGCAGAATTCAACGAGTTAAAAAACATTCTGCTGTCCGTGCCAGAAACCGCCAGAGAGATGGTTGCTCTTGCTGATATATTTGAAAGACAGAAGAAAACTGATTTCAATATTCTTCTAGATAAAATTAAGGTACATGATAAGCAAGTAATATATAAAAAAAAAAGAATTTAAAGTCAATTCCTACTTTGATCAACAAAGTAAATTTTTATTTTAGTTACTTTTTATTGAGTAATTAAAATTTTTTCCCCCATATAAAACTAAAATTAATTAATTACATTTAATTAACGAATTAATATTTGTAAAAACTGTATAAACATCAAGTGTCATCCATTAAAAAATTTAAAAACATTTATTTGAGCTTGAGTGGATGAATAAAGAAGTATTTTATTAGCGATTGAAAATTTGAACAAGATATATAAGTATATATAGGGAGAGCGTGAACTATTAGTAGGAATTGAAAAATCTAAATCAATGAAACAAATTTTGTTATCAGATAATAAAAAATTAAAGTGTAACTTTTATTGAAAAAAAACATATTTTGCATTAGAATTTTTTTAATTATGTTTGAATTATTATATTTTTTAAACAGGATGCTTTAANGGAAAAATGATGAGGTTCCGTGGTTCAGAAGGATGGTGTTCTGTTGTTCTTAAAGGTTCTGAACAATACTGGTAAATAGGGAAGCTGGATAATGGGGCAAATGTTGAAAATAATAAAAGATCCAGGAGGAAATGTGAAGCGGATTTTATTCTAAATGGCGCAAATGAGAATTTTTTTTCCAAATGCCAGAAATTCGCGAATTTTGAAATTAGTTTATAGAATGCGCGAATTTCTCGCGGCAATATTTTTTTAATCGAGAATGTTAAGAAATATGCGAGATTCTCGCGTTCTCGCGCTGTAGTGAAAACACAATACTAGCAGTGCTAGTATTGTGGTAATAAGCAGAGCTAGGATGCTCATGATAAAAAATTTTTTTTTGCATTCTTTTTTTTTCCTTTCTTAAAGCATTATCCATAGATTTCTTTAGATGTTTTTTTTAATATTTTTTTAATTAATTTTAAATATACCCCTTAATGTTGAACAGAGTTTTTCACAAAATAAAAATTTGCTTTCGAAAAAAACACAGTTTTTCAATTTGAAGAATATCAAAAAGCATTTGATGACACACTGCAATCCTGATGTTCTTCAAGATCGTAACTAAAAATTAATAAATTCCTATTTATCTTTATCGGATATTTATTTACATTTTATTTCCCTCTTAAATTTCATATTTATTTTAACTGTTACCTTGTTTTTGCTAAATTTATAAATGCAAATTATGGTTTATAATATTTTGTTACAAATAAGCCTATATAAAACATGTTTTCAAAAATTTTTAAGGACATTATTTTTTATTTTGTTAAAAGGTGTAAAAATAACCTTGAAACTTTAAGGTGTTAAATAATTTTAATAGGTCTAAAAATGACCTAATTGTTAATAAATAACTTGTCAAAAGACTTATTTGAAAACAATTACTTTAGGTAAGCACATTTGTTTGTATATTAACAACCTATTAAAATTAATATGACTTCTTAATTCAAAATGAAATAAATATTCTTTACTGGATTTGTTGTTGTTACTTCTTACAGTTAAGGAATAGGATGATTTCTTTGAGTAATAATTTTAGATACAGTTTATTTTCAATAATTTATAAATGCATTCTATTGATGTTTTTTTAAAACTTTTATTGATGATGAATTTTTTACAACGAAATAATGAGATGGAATAATGTATATAAATTATTATTTGATGTTCATAATAGGCAAATAAATTCAAGAGACTGAATGGGGATTAATGTGTCAAGAAACTTTTAAATTATAACATTCCATTCGTTGTATATAAAATAATTTTCTGTTTAATAAAATGAGTACCAAGGAAGCCTGGGAACTACTAAACACTGGGGGTTCTGCGTTGGGCTAACCAACCAACCTGAACATCAGCTTTTACACCTGAGAGCACAAATGTTAAGAAAACTGAGACAGGCATAGTAGGCCTTGACCCTCTATGGGCTGTCGCGCCACTAAGTCTAGTTTTAGTTTTACTGTTTAATAAACATATTTCAATTATAATCATTTAATTTATATTTGTGTAAATAAAAGATTTTTTTAAAACTTATTAAATATGCAGTTTATGTATTGAAATAATGAAAGACTTCTGCCAAAAGTAGTGTAGAATAATTAATTTGTTTTATTTTGTTGACTGATTTTAATTTATTCTTCATTTGGTTCCTGAGTATTAAATTTAGTATTTGTCTTTGCATACAACTGTGTAAAAGCTTGATTAATAGCAACTTTGATGTTATTTATTCTGTGATGAGTTTGAAGAGTTTTAAGAAAATCCAGTTTTTTTTAAGTCCAGCCTAACACGGGTTTTTTAATGAAAACTTCGGATTTATCCTATTTTTGATTTTAAAAAAAGCCTTTTTTTGGGGGTGGGGGGATTTTCAGAAATATTTTAAATTTTTGTTAATGACATTGCAGAATTTGTTTCAAATAGGAAAATTAAATGCTTGGTAACTGTTTAGGACTTGTTTTGTAACGAGGCAACCATTTTTCGGGAGGTTTTGGACTGTTGCTTTGTGATTTTTATTTCTTAATGGCAGATTGCATGATAAAAATTTAGAATTACTCGACTAAAGATCCCAAAAAGTTTTTCCTTTATTAACACAGATTTAGTTCCAGAGTCTAATGGAATAAAACTCTAACGTTTTGCTCGGTTACCATTGAAACTTAACTTACAGTTTTGTACAATTAAAATGTATAACAAACTTACAATCTTTTAAATTATTATTCAAATTTAGTTACTGTAAAATTAAGTGAATGTTAATCACCTGATTGACATTATTGTATTATTGTTTTAAGTTATTTCTTAATAACAGTTTTCTCTTCCTTTTCAGTTTTCTTTTAATTTTGATAGAGAGCATTTTTGTATTAAGATTATTATAAAAGTAATTCTAACTTATATACTGTTGAATAATTGTAAAAACTTTTAATTTTAATACCGTTTTTAATATGTTTTTCATAAAATTTTATGTGATATGGTAATATTACAGTATTGCTTTTCCTAGCAGAAAAATAACTTGGGCCTTCATTGGACCAATATTCATGAAGGAATATTCACTCATTGGACCAATATTCATGAAGGAATATTCACTCATTGGACCAATATTCTCAATAAGGGTTCAATTAGCCTATATTTTTCCGATGTGGGCCCTACATAGAATTGTCCGATTCACCTGATATGTTACTACCTTTTTACAACTAATATTGGCTTCATATAGAATTGTCCGATCCTCCGATATTTTACTACTTTTTTACTACTAATATTGGCTTTATATAGAATTGTCAGATTCACCGATATTTTATAATCATTATTCAGCCAATATAAGCCCCATATTAACCCTATATAGGCTGATATTGACACTGCATTGGACCAATATTAAGAGATCTAGGCATCCCAATTTTGGTCCCCCGGAGCATGTTCACAAAGGACCCATATTGAGCCAATTTTGAGCCCAACTAGAGCCAAGATATAATTGTTGCTAGGGTTTATTATAAAAGACTATCATTTTTAGTCTTTAGTTTGGAGTAATAATAAAAATCAAACTGGAATAGTACAAAATAGTATTAAGAAAAGTTGATAAATTTGATAAATAAATATTATAAGTAGATATCTCTAAGTAATGAATAAATAAATAATTTATAGGTAAAAAATAGCCATATATTTTTTTTTGCTAATTTTATACTGATGACAACTGAAGAAATCTAGAGCTTTTTTTTATTAAGGAACCATACCATGATCGTTTTTGGCCTATGGGATTGTTTTGACAATATTAAAAAATTGTTTTTGACTATTTTATTATTATGGTTCATTGAGGAAAAAAAAAGGATTCTTGGATATTTATTACACCTATAAATTTTCAATGTATGAAATATAACGATGCAAATCTAATTTTGTTTGGTATAATTGCATAATTTATGCTATAAAGTTTTTATAAAACTATTCATTGCAACGAATTGAAGTAATATCTAAATCAAACAACAAAAAAAAAGTTGTCCTATTTATGGCTATTTACCTGGGATAAGACGTAATTAGCATTAATTTTAATTTAACATGACACAAGATAGAGTTCAGCTAAATCTTACACGAAATTCTAATGCAATTTTTTATCATTAATTATTTTTATATATCTGTATAAATTAACCATTAATTATGAAAAAAAAGAAGAAAATTATTTGACCGAATATTTAGCAAGATTGCCTCACAGCTGAGTATTTAGTATAATCAGTAGCAGTAAAATATAATAACTTGTCTTCCTAAAAAATATTTCATTGTTCTTATTTTACCTCTACTTTTATTCGTCACATTTTTTATTACCAAAAATGAAACTCTGGATTTCAATTTTTGCATCTTACTCTACAACTCAGATAAAGTTTCTAAACCTAATTCAGTGCAATCATAAAAAATGAAATACTAATTAGTTTCATAAATATGATTAAAATACATGAAAGCAATTTTTTATGTTTTGTAATAATGAACTTAATTTATAAATTACATCTAAGAGTTTTTTTAAGAAAAATCAATAACAGTTTTAAGCTATATGAATAATTTTATTTCTTAAAAACTGATATTTCTGCATAAATGATGTAAATTATTTTTAAATTTAATTTAAATCAATGCAATCTGATATTCAAAATTGCAAAATTTATGTATCAAAAGTTATGCATCTGTTATGAAAATTTCATTAGTAAAAGCATAATAATAATTTCATGTAAATTGAAAAAATATTTGTGAAGTTTTACAAGTTCCCTTCCTTGAAGTGTTCTTCATTAGGACAGTATACTTCACTTTACCATCTAAAATAATGGCACATTAGTATGCTTTCAAAGCAAGTTGAACGCATTTCCATTTATATAAAGTTAATTTATCTTCGACTTTTTAGAAGTTTTTGTTTAAATGACAGTAATTTTAATTGTTTATCTTTTGAAGTGAAATCTATTAATTTAGTATCATAAAATTTAAAAAGAAAACCTTGAAAAAACCTTGCATGTGTTTTTCAAGGGGGCCTATCCAAAAAAAACCTGGTGAGGTTTTTAAACTAGGTCTACTTTTTGGAGAATCTGTTTGTTATATAATAATTTTAACCATTTTAAGTTAGAGTTATTAGGCCAGGATAGCCTGGTTGGTAGGGCACTGGGCCCACGTCCGAGAGTTCATGGGTTCGATTCCCACTGGCTGAAGACAATGGTGTCTGATGCATGTTAAATCTGCCGAGTCGCGAAGCCTTCATGTTCCCATAGCAAATCAATACCTCTGGGGGTACTGAACCGGGAGTTTCCTTGTCTTCTGAATTGGTTCAAAATTACTAGGCTACGGAGTTGAACATTAGTTGTCGTAAATCCAAAAACTGGATCGGCTGTTCAACTACGGATATATAAAAAAAATAGAGATGTTAAATTCTTTATTTATAATAATGTTTTTAAATAATATTAAACATTATTAATACATTTTATCACAATTTAGATTTTGTAGTTGTAAATATGCCAACAGCAAAAAATAATCTGAATTTTGCCAACCTTGGTAATGTTTGATATTTACTTATTTCATTATAGATTCTTGAAGATTCTAAAATGCGGTTTGAGGAAAAATTAACTGCTGTCATTAAAAAAGTGAAGAATGATTTGCAGAATTTGTCAGAACATACAAGTGATCTTGTGACCCTTGGTGACGTATCCATGGTTCAAGAATACAGGAAGGAAGCACTCCAGCTCCACAGAAGAATCAAAATGGCTGAAGCATCCATTGCATGGATCAATGAGGTCTGTAACAACATCCTTTTTTTTTTTTGAAGAAAATAATTAAATAAAAAAACACTAATAAGGTTTGTATTTTATAGGTATTAGTTATTTATTTTAATTATTTTCTCATAGTTATTAATCATTTATACTAATTAATTTCATAATACAAGTACTCATCAGAACATTAATATTGCATTGAAAAATCTGATTATAAGGCCAAAAGTTATTTGATATGTTGTTTTTTCAACCAAACTGTATTTTATTGATTGGGATTTAATTCTTGGTTTCTAGGAAGAGTCTCTGGCAAAGCAAGCACCAAGCACTTATCCTGAAGTTGAGACGATATTAAATGCCATTAATCCTTTTATCCAACTCTACCAGCTTTTTATTGATTGGGACGAGGCTGAAAAAGAGTTAGTGGAGTTTCTCTCTATATATGTATATATAATGTCATATATATAATGTCATATATATACTTATCATATATATATATATATAATGTCATATATATTTCTGTCTATATATGGAAATTTAATGTCAATCTTTATTTTACTCATACATCACGAATCTCACTAACATTCATAAATTTACATTTTCTTATACAATAACAAGGTTGCCACTCCACAGGGAGAATAGGGAAAACCTAGAAAATACTGGGAATTTAAAAAAGACCTAAAATAACAGGGAATTTTGAGTTTTTCTTTACAAACTGGGAAAATACAGGGAATTTTGTTTCTTATTTTCGTCTTTTAAAAATGGTAACAACTCAAAGTGCGATCTATCAGGGTTCCCACAGTCCTTATAAGTCATTAAAAACTGCTTAAATTTTATTTTGGAAAATAAGAGCCCTTTAAAGTACTTAATTTTGGTGCAAGGTTTTTTAAAGTCCTTAATTTTTTAGCATCACTATAGTTGATTTGACCATTTTTTCAGTTCAATTACAGACAAGAGGAAGAAATGATGTCCTTTCATTAATATATTGGTTAATATATTCTCTTATTAATATATTCTGGCTTTTGCCTAGAATGAATACTCCATGAGGAGAGTGAAGTATTCTAAAAGAAAGAATGGTGTGACAAGGGGGATACTGCATATGGAAGAGATAGTGCTTATTTGGGAGGGAAGGGGATATTTCAGGTACCTGAGTAAAAGACGCACACTAACGTTCAAAATTGACAGAATTCAAGAAGTTTAGTTCTACTGGTATAACACATCTGCTTATAGGAATTAAGTGAAACGCTAAGAAAAGAAGTATCAGAAAAATTAATTGAACTGGAATCCATAATGGAAACTATTTCCCAAAATCTTGAAGAATTAAATAAATTTGTATAATATTTCAATGTGTAATAAATAACTGTAAATTCATAGAAAGCATAACATGTTTTAAAATTCATGATTGTACTAAAAATTAGACAGATCTGTAAGAAACAGGGTTTGAAATATCCCAGCCTACCTAGGTTTGTGACGAAAAATCTGGAGTTTATTGGGTTTGTGATAAAAACCAAGTTTTTTTCAAAAATACTTGAAAGTTTTTTCCTGAGTACTAAATGAGAAAGCATGATTTGCATCTAACAAGAAAGTTAAATATTTGGTAACTATTTATAATTTGTTTTGTTGCAATGTAATTTTAGATTGTTATGCTATTATTTTTATTTCTTAAGGATGAGCAGATTGTTACATAAAAATTTAAATCTACTCAATTTTATTCAGTTAACATTGCAACTTAATATACTGTTTTTAATTTTTGTTCAATTTGCTTTAAAATTAATTATGTTTTTTCCCAGAATGTTAAGTAACATTATGGAAAGTTAATTCCCAATAACAGGTTTGGCTGGAAACAATTTTGTTAAAATTCATCACAAAAGTAAATGTAACACATAAGTCCTTAATTTTTCAAAAAAGTACTTAATTTAAAAAAAAGTCCTTAAAAGTGCTTAATTTTTGCTTTGTTAAAAAGAGTGGGAACCCTGTCTATGAGATATTTAAGGATGGTATTTCAGCCATATTAAATATTTTATTTACTATAGCATTATTTGTTTTAAATATATTCCTTATTCTCTTAGTTTTTACAGCAATTATAACTAGTATAGTTAGCCCTATACAGCTCATACAAGAACACTGTAATTGTGTTTTTTCTCTTAATATATTGTGTATAATATGTACTAGAATTTTTTTCTCCAGATTTGAGTGGCAACCTTGCTATTGTAAATACCGGGAAACCTCCGTTAAAGGGACATTCTTGGGACCGAAAAAATTGTCCGTTTATGTGAGAGTTGTCCGTTTACAGGAAGGGTTCCCTAATAACGAAGTTTAACACAGTAAATTGTTTTTAGAATATTTTTAAAGATGTAGAAATAATTAAATAATCTACAATAACTATCTACAAAGATATTTATTTAAACTTTAAGAAAATTAAAAAAAGAATATATCAAGAAGTTTGATATGGATACATAATTTTAGATGTAGATACAGATAAATGAATATAATTTTTCTATCATCATACATACTCAAGTTAGACATATGATACCGAATAGGAGATTTCAGTCCTCAGTCGGTTTCAATTATTAGGTTTACATCCCCTTACACCTTCGTATCATTTGATAGAGAACATGATTAAAACCTTCTTGAAAGTAAACCTCCCAGGATTCACAGAAAAGAAAAGCAATGCCTACCTGTAAGTCATGAGAACCTATGGAGTTGATTATTCATACTGGATCAGCTATCAAGTGTGTGGATAAATGTTTCATTTATATGAACATTTCAAAGATTATACTTCTGTTCTCTTTTCTACCCCAGCTGTGTTAAATACAGTCTTCATATTAAAGAAATTTTCAATGGGAAAGGAAGAAGTGTTGAGAGCATTTAAGATCAACTTGTGTGGTCCAGATGAAAATATCAAAAGATGCCGCTGTCTGAATTATTTCAGAAGAGCAGAATCATTTTCTCTCCTTTCTTTACAAAGATAAGGCAAGGTGACAGGAAAAAGATTGATTCTTCAGTAGTAAAACAGCTTAACAATATTTTTAGTTAGGGATAAGACAAAAAATTTACATGCTTTAAAAAATGGTGAAAAGTTGCATTCCCCCCTTGCAATTTAAAGCAAAAATATATATATATTTTTTCAAATTTAGAAAAAGTAGTGTCCTGTTGAAGAGATAGAAAATAACGTTTCAGGGCTGTCCGGTTACGGGAGTGTCCCCTTTGCGGAGAATGTACATTATGGTTTACTCATTGAAGATTCCCGGGGAATTAAAAATATGTCCGTATTAAGAGGCGTCCGTTTTGCAGGAGTGTCCATAACAGGAGGTTTCAATGTATATATATTATGGGAATCTTCAGTCTTCATTGTCAATCCTCATTGTACTCATATGTCACTTATCAAACTTCTCTCGCTAACACTCATTAATTTACATTTTCTTATACAATAACACGATTGCCACTCCACGGCAAGAACAGGGAAAACCTGGAAAATACAAGGAATTTAAAAATCATCTGAAATAACTAAAAATTGTGAGTTTTTCTTTACAAACTGGGAAAATACGGCTAATTTTGTTTCGTATTTTCGTCTTTTGAAAAATGGTAACCACTCAAAGTGCAATATCCATGGTATATTTAAGGATGATATGTCAGCTATATTAAACTAGTTCATTTACTATGGCAGTATTTATTTTAAGTATGGTCAGCTGTTCCTTTTTTCCTTTAGTTTTTTCAGCAAAAATACATAGAATTTTGTTTCTTATTTTTGTCTTTTAAAAAATGGTAACCAAAGGGCAATCTATGGAATATTTAAGGATGATATTTCAGCTTTATTGAACTAGTTAATTTACTATAGCATTATAAGTTGAAATTAAGATTTTAACTATAAATCTACTATCATTCTTCTTAAAAAGATGAAACAGGGCTTTCACAGGTCAAGGAAAACAGGAAAAACCTGGAATTGTCAAGGAATTTTTTTTTAAATCTAAAAAGCAGGGAATAGTTAGAGAAAATTGCTATTTTTTTTTCAAAAAAACTGGAAAATTCTTATGTTATTTCTGGAAAATAACCAGTGTAATTGTCAGTTATCAAGATTCGAGTGAAATAATTCTAACATCTATTACAATTATTTTATAAAATTCCACTTATTAGTAAAACTTTTCTATGTTTCCATTCTCATTCTATTATAATTTTTCTCTCACAAAATCTAATATTTAGCATAACAAATAAAAAACGTTTTCTGATGAAAAATTGCATGGTATAAATAAAATATATAGGGTTGTTCGGAAAGTAATTTAGTTTTTTTTAGGGGGGGAATGAAAGACAATTTTTATATAATGAATACATATTTTATTAAATTATATATTGACCATTCTAGTCCAGCACCTTTTGCCATCTTTCTGGTAGTAGCATGATTCCACTCTCATAAGATTTTTGGTCTTTGCCGGCAAAAAACTGATCCAGGTGATTTTTGACCTCTTCATTTGATGTAAAGGTTTTACAGTCCAAAAACATTTGTAGTGACCAAAACAAATAATAATCTGAAGGCGCCAGATCTGGAGAATATGGTGGGTGTGTCAGTGTATCCCATTCAAGCTGTTAAAGCTTTTGGCGAGTGACCAAACTTGTATGAGGTCTCGCATTATCTTGGTGGAACACTATACCTTTTCTGTTGAATAATTCTGGCCTTTTCTGTTGAAGTGCATCATTCAGTTTGTCCAGCTGACGACAGTAAACTTTTGAATTAATTGTTGTGTTATCCAGTAAAAACTTTAAAAAAAAACTATTCCTTTAATACCCCACCAAACAGACAGCATCACCTTTTTTGATGGATATTGGCTTTCGAAATGCTTTGAGCCGGTTCATCTTTTTTGCTCCATGATCTCTTGTGTTTGACATTGTTATAGTGAACCCATTTTTCGTCACCAGTAATCGGGCTCTTCAAAATTGGATAATTTTCGTGACGTTTGAGAAACGAATCTCAGAAGTCAACAAGACGACGCAAATTTTCTTCTTTCAAGTAGTCATAAACAGTTGAATTCGATGAATTTAACCTCTCACCAATCTCACATGTTATTCGCGGATTTGCATCAACTAATGCCTTTATCGTATCTTTATCAGCTTCAAACCGCCTTCCAGAATGTGGTGCATCTTCAGCATCAAAATTTTCTGATCGAAATTTTGCAAACCAGTTCTGGCACTGACATACTGTCAACACATCTTCTCCATACACATCGGTTAATTTCTTTCTGGCATGAATAGCATTTTTACCTTTTCTATAAGTAAAAAAATAAAATCTGACGAAAATGCTGCTTATTACTTAAAGTGCACCAACCTGCTTAAAGTGCAACTGCTGCGTAGAATTAATTGAACTTCTTCACACACAAGCCTTGCTATTTCAGCTCTCAAAACATATAATGATAATTCGACTTAAGTGTGAAGTTGGATTCGAAAAAAATACAATTAAATCCTCTGCCGGAAAAGCGAAATTACTTTCCGAACAACCCGATAGTTTGGATTTCAATTGAAATTTACCTGATATACCTGGAAAAGTCCAATTTTTTTTCTGAAATTGTAATATTAAAATAAAGTTAAAACGCCTTTTTTGTGTGTGCTCTTTATAACAAGAGTGGATGATTTTTTTAAATGTTCCCTAGATACTCACATGATATATTTTAATAGGTGGATGGAAGGTGGGTTTTATGAATTAGATGCCACAGCTATTGAAGCCAAAGTGTCAGAATTTAAAATTAAAGCTTTCAAAATAAAGAGAGGCTTGCAAAATATTTTGAAGGAGAAACTGAAGGAATCAAAAAGAAATACAGTCACAGAAGTAACACTTCCTCCTCTGGAAATTGCAGACAATGCTATTAAGAGAATTACCAAATTTGCCGTAAGATTGTTTTTCACTCATAATTTGCTTTTGTGTGTGTGTAAAAGTTTTTTTTTAATTACATTGAACAACAAATAGAAAGTGCATAACAGTTAAAAGAAAACTATTGCAAGTGAGGAATTATGATAATTCTTTTTTCTAACTAGTTTTTCTTTCTTTCAATTTTTGCTTTATATTTCTTGCAATTATAAGTTTTTTTTATGAATTCACTTATTGATACCTTTAAAAAAAATTTGCACTATCCAATAAAGTTAATTAGACTGAAACTATTGTTTTACAAATTACATTAGAGTGAAGACTACGTCCAAATAAAAGTTTTGGTTTTTCTTGATGTACAGGTTACTGCCAATGTATGAAATTTAAGTAATTGTATAGAAGTGTAGAGAATGTCATTATATATATCTAATGTATAGAATGCTTAGTTATTCTATAGAACGTCTAAAATCTTGTTATGTGTCCCACATTGGCTAAACTTTATACAGAAAAACTAATGAATAATGAAAACTCTCTAGATCTTTTTTTGATGAATAGTTCTCATCATTCCTCTGTAGAGGGGAGCCATCCCCTCCTCGGAGTATCAAAATTGTGATGGCATGTCTTCGGATAATTCTCAAGGATGTTTCCCAAGCCATCGCCATTAGCCCATTGCGGAGCTCTAGTGCGATGTAAATAAAGTGCCTACCTACCAACCAAATCATTGAAATTCTTCATTATTGTAACATCATTTTATGTTAATTGTAGCGAATTGTGCCAGCCATTATAGTTTTGTGCAATCCTGGAATGAAATTGCGCCATTGGAAGATGGTGTCTGAGATTGTGGGGAAGAGAGTGATACCTGACACTTCGACAACATTCAAGGACCTCATTGAAATGAATGTCCATGATTATGTGGAAGAGATTGCTCCCATCAGTACAAAAGCATCTCGGGTAATTTCTTCAATCATTATTTGTTTTTCTCATTATTTGATTATTCAGTAAAACTCACCAGCCCAGGGCTCGAAAAACCGCCCATCCTCGGCGGTCAAAAATTTCCCGCGGACGACGAATTTCTCGAATCAGACGTCCGCGCGGACTGCCATTTTCCCGTTAATGTTCGTGATACACTTTCAATTTTTGTTATCTTACAAGAGTCTAGCGCCGCACTTCTAAAATGACCCTCTAATCCAGAAATCCCGTACAGCAACATACTGCTCATGGTGGATTGATGTTTTTTCAGTCTGGGAGTACTGCAGCAGTTGAAAGGGACTTTTCAGCAATGAACTTACAAAAAAACACATTTCGTAAGCGTTAAACGCCATTATGAACATTCACCTAAATGGAAAACCCCTTTCAGATTTCTGTGCAGAAACCTCTGTAAATCATAGGCTTTATTGTGGAACTGGCAAACGTCATATTTGATTCATTTAAAAAACGGATAAATTGACATTCCAGATAACTTGACCTTTGTCATTTAAATTATTTCATAAAGGAAATAAATTATTTCATAAAAGAAATACTAGGTTTTACTATTAGTAACTAAGTATTTCTTTTATTACTGTATAATGTAATCCTAGTAGCTACTAATTAATTGTGTAATTTATATAAATGTTTATAATAAATGAGAAAAAATAATATTTTTATTTATTTAGAAGCAACGGGTTAGTTTCATAGGAGGACGGGTAAAATTTCTGAGTTTTTTCAAACCCTGCACCAGCCGTTTTTTATTTTTAAGTAAGCCTTTTTTTAAGATAGGTAATTGAACTATAAAATTGGAAAATCCTTTCTGTATTCATTCACATTTCCCACTGTGTAAGTTTGTTCAGAGAACATTTGATTTTATGAAACAGCTGATTTTATAAGTTAGAATATTTACATTTAAAGAAAAATTTCTTGAAATTTAAACTTTACATATACACTGAAAGTGAAATGAATGAATTACTACATTTGTATTTCATTTTTGTTAAACATGCGCTACAATTTTTAACAGGGCACCCACGGGTCAGGGAGAACGGGGAATGCCTGGAATTGTCAGGGAATTTTATATTAACTCTAAAAAATCAGGGAATAGTCGGAGAAAGTTGCAATTTTTTTTTACAAAAACCTAAAATATTCCTATATCATGCCTGGAAAGTAACCAGTCTTAAAATTGTCAATCACAGTGTCAAAAAATAGTAGTCAGTTATTGAGATTCGCCTGGAATAACTGGAAAAGTCGGGGAATTTTTTTTCTGAAGTTGAGTAGGAACCCTGTGTTTAGATAATCTTTTAATACTGTGTCACTCACTCATTGAGTTTCTAGTACATTGGTAACATATAAAAAAATCTCCTTAAATAATTTGAATTTGTTTAATCAGTTTAATTTTATGTATTTATTGTAGTGTGTCTACCACTACAAAAATATAATACCAATTCACTAGTATATAAGACATGTTAACTCGATTCTATGTTGGGGTACCTTTTCATAGATGAAGGTTGACATAGGGTCGATAGCTACCATCGCCACATTATTATTGATTTTTAGCTTTAATGTCAAGAAGGGAGGCTAACACTGGGGAATTTCTGTGTATGATCCATTCATTCATGTGATTATTTCTCTTGTAAGTTTATTTGTTATTATAAACTCAGAATTTATTACTTTTAAAGATAAAGTTTAAGGGTAATTTCTTTACAGTAGGCAAAATCCCACCCACATTGCCAAAAATTTTTTCTTTAATATCAAATATCTTTTAGGTAATAAAGTAAAGGAATTTACTTTCATAAATCAATCCCAAAATTATTTTAAATCACTTCTAGGAAAAAACTGGCACTTTCAAGGCTTAAGTTAATAAATAAGATAGAGGCTTTTGAAACTTTTTGTAAGCTGCAAAATATATACTAATACTAATGGCAATTCAGTTATGCAAATATTTCAGTCTACGAAATTATATGCAGCAGAAAAAAGAGAGTTGAAATCTTTAATGCATAAAATAAAATAATATTTAACATGCTAAAATAATAATTTTTCCTACAAACTAGGAACTTGGTTTTAAAATACATACTAATACTGAAAATAAATCAGTTATACAAGGATTTCAGTCAGAGAAATTATAAGAATGTAGCAGAAAAAAAGATAGTTGAAAGCTCTAAGGCATAAAATAAAATAATATTTGACATGCTAAAATAATAATTTTTCTTACAAACTGGGAACACACTAACAAACTGGGAATATAATAAAATATATACTAATTCTATAGATAATTCAATTATAGAAATATTTCTGTCTAAGAAATTATATGCAGAAAAAAAAGATAGTTGAAAGCTCTACTGCATAAAATAAAATAATCTTTGACATGCTAAAATAAACCTGTCAAGTCTCCTGTTTTTTAACAAAGACTCCTGTATTTTACGACTACAGGACTGATTGTGCTCCGGAAAAAATCTGGATTTCCGGAATTTTCGCTAACAGTGATCCGGTAGTTTCCGTAGATCGAAGGTTCAGATGTTTCAAAAAATCATTGATCACAGAAGTTTCCGGAAATCAAATTTTCAAAGGTGGAACTTAAAAACACAGTTTATTTTATTTGTTTGTAAGGAAGAGTCAGAGAGATATTTTATGAGCTTATATTCATAATTAATATTCATTTTTTATCAGTAAATAGTTGTTATAATCATAAAAGCAAGAAAGAAAGACTTATTTGTAAATTTTAATTACTTCTCCAGGTCATCATAAGTATGTGTAAAATTTTAAATATATTTTAAGTAAACTAAGAAATATTGAGAAAAAGAAAAAAACCTTGTTTAAATTTTACTTCAATTTAAAAAAAAATAATTTTTTTTTAAAGAAATTTTCCGGAATTTTGACTTGGGCTCACAATCACCCCTGCGACTATCTGCTGTTTACCCGTACATTCTCAAATTTCTCCGTATTTGTTGAAGAAATTTTAAAAAAATAAAAAATGGTGATAAAATATCCACTGATGGCAAAAGTACGACTCTTATTTCTCAACAGATGGTGCTATTGCCAGTACTGCAATATGTTGAGTGTTTGTAGTTTAAGTAGAGCCGCAATCGCCCAGGGGATATAGCATTTGCCTTCCAATGAGGTGAACCGGGCAGCTTGCACTGACCACAGTGCTGACGTGAAATATCCTCAGTGGTAGCCCAATCATCATTTAGAGACCTCTCGTGGTCAGGGTTACCGGGGTATGCTCTCGTGGTCTTCCTCTCCATGTAACACAAATGCGGGTTAGTTCCATCAAAAAGTCTTCTACGTGGGCAAATTTTTCCAATACTTGATCCTGGAGTTCCCTTGTCTTCTGGATTTGGTTCAAAATTACAAGGTTACAGAACTGAGCATTAATAGTCTTAAACCCAAACATTGGGTCGGCTGTTCAATGACGGTTATAATATAATTTAAGTAATTATATATAATGGTTTAAAACATTCTTCTTTAGATTAAGACTTATATATATATATTTTTTTTACTTCGCTAAATGTAAGTGCTAATATTTCCAATTTTGAATTTCTCTTTTTGACTTACATGATTATGCATGATGTAACATAACTTTACTCGTAGCCTAAAAAATGTCACTTGTAAAATCTTGTTGTTTTATTTCCCCAATGTTGACAATATTAAATAATTAATTTTTCTTACAAACTAGGAACTTGGTTTAGAGAAAGCTCTGAAAAAGATGAAAGAGGAGTGGCAAGATATACGGTTCGTTACAGTAGCTCACCGAGACACAGGAACTTATGTTCTGTCCTCGGTAGATGACATTCAGACTCTGCTGGACGACCACATCGTGAAAACTCAAGCCATGAGGGGATCTCCTTTTGCGAAGCCTTTCGAAGGAGAGATCAAGGTACTTTTCGGGTATCAGTAGGGCAGATTTGTTGGCCACTCTTTCAGGGACGCCATATTAGGTGGGCAAACGTTACTCCCACTGTAAGGACAGATAGTACAGAGAATGAAAGAACATCCATGCCTTGTCCGGGAATCGAACCTAGGACCTTTCTGGTATGAGTTCAGCTCTCTGTCTACTACACAGTCCTGTTGGCGAGGTGAAAAATATTACATTTATGGTTATGAAATTACAGCTTAAAACACTGTTGTATTTTTCTGCGTTAAAGGTAAAATCTTCCGGAAAAACAGTTATTAGCCATTGAAATTACTTGAATTATAGCAAAATCAATCTTTCAAAATTATTGCAAAAAGAAAAGAAGAAAAATTAAACTACTTTTTTAGGGTTTTATATTTTATATTCACAATTATGAGAAATTAGTAGAACAACTGACATTTTGGCATTACTTAAATTCTCAAATTTTAGTACATGGTTGGTTGGAAAGTATAGAAAATTCATTTTTTTTATGGAAAGTCTAGTGTCATAATTTTATGGAAAAGTTAAATGTCAATGCAAGAAGTTGTTATTTGATCAACTTTCTGATGTTTTTTCACACTTTGATGCTCTTTAACTCTTTAAAATACCACTTAACATTTTTCTATTATAGTATAGTAAAAATAAGGTTTAAACCAACCTTAAAAAATTATGAAAAATCGTTAAGTACCCTTCTCTTAGTAAGTGGAGAAAAGTTAACCATGCAACTTCTGAACTATTAATCCTATTAAGTCTTTTACTCTCATTCAATTCAGAGTAAAAAATGCATAAGCAACAATACCTCACTTGTCTAGATAGCAGCATCAGATGCTTAAATAAGTACTAGTTAAATGTTTTACTTTTTGTACATAAAACCTTTATAAATTCTAATGTATTTTTCTTATTGTCTTGTAATTAGTGTTATTCACTTGAGCATGAAAAATACAGAGCTTCAATTTCTTCAAGTTCGTCGTCCTTTACCCTCTCCTTTCTGACATGTAATTTTGTGCAACTGTTAAATATCTTCTATTCTAAAAGAAGGATACTTAACAGTTTGTTGCATGGTGTTTATATGTTTAGTTTTGACATTTGATTTATTTTTGGATGCTTGGGTTTGACAGTATTTATCTATTTTTATTGTCTATTAAGCTTTTCAATTGCATTTCAAACTGATTTTTCCACTATATAGGATTAATAATTAACACTCTTCAATCAACTGATTTTATTAGACGGTCAATTAAAAAAAATCATTAATAAAAGTGTAATTTATAGTTTAATTCACTATACTACCCTCTTAAAAAATGTGAAGATGAATCTTTATAAGTATGTCAAAGAAATCTATGCTGTGAAATTGAACAGTGGACCTGTTAAACCAAAATGAAATGTCCAATACCAGTGGACTGGAAATAGTTAAACATCGAAAAGAAAATCAGAATTGATGATATTTTTATTGAACTGTCGCTTTTATTTAATTTTATACCATATGTTACTCAGTTTTTCTGATTAAAACTTTTAAAATTGTTATTGAAGTTCTTTTGCTCTATTTGTAGGAATGGGAAGATGTTCTGAAATTGACTCAAGACTCCATTGATGAGTGGCTAAAAGTGCAAATGCAGTGGCTTTATTTAGAGCCCATATTCTTCTCTGCCGATATATTGCAGCAGATGCCAAGGGAGGGGGCTCTTTTCCAATCAGTCGATCACATCTGGAGAGATATAATGCGAAACACAACTGAGAAACCAAATGTAAGTATTCAAATGCAGTAAATAATTGATAAATAAAAAATTGCCAGCATTTGGTGAATGATGGTTCAAATAATGCCCTGCAGATGTGTGTTAAGTTTATTCAATAAATTGAAGGATATATATTGTTTTTGTTATTGAAATAATCATTCTCGTCAAAACTAAATGTTACGAAAAGATCTTTTTTATTATATTGACCTTTTGAATTTATATAAAGTTAAATGTGAAGAAAACTGTTTAAAAATGTTACTCAGTTTGTATCTGAAGTGCTATCTTAAATTTTTATTCTGATGAAACTGCAACCTTTAATACCATATTTAATATTAAATTTCAACTAAAATGTAGTATTCATAATATCAAAATTGTGTTCTAAGAATTTAGTGCAATTTTTTTTTTTTTTAGGTTTTAGATAACACTTCAACACCAAAAGTTTATGAGGAACTCTGCAATTGTAACAGCATGCTTGACAAAATTAACAAGGGGTTGAACTCGTACTTAGAAAAAAAGAGACTTTATTTTCCTAGGTAAATATTGTTCCATTTTTGACTTTAAAATATTCATATTAGAATGTATCACTTTTTATTGTTTTTATCATTACCTTGACTGACAGAATGACTTGAGGATGCTACTTCTTTAAAACAATTACAATTTCATAATGGATAAGATTTTTAAGTCTAAAATTTATGTACACGTCAATTACGAAATTTTATATAAAAATATATAATAAGAAATTTATATACATGTTATATACATATTATTCATGTCAATATTTTTTATTTATACTTTTGGATTTTTTTATTTTGAAATTCATAATTACTGCATCATTAAAACAGACCTCCCAGTTGTCCTATATTAATGCATTTTTGAGAAAACTTCCTTAAAGTGTCCAATATTTATCCTATATTTTTAAAAGCAGTGTTTTTTTTATTTTTTCCTTAAAATAAGGCTTTGATTCGGCATTTTTAGGACTTCTTTGAAGTGTAAAGCGAATTTGTTAGTTTGCCAAAATGGGAAGTGAAAAAAAAAGATCTAAAAGAATACAAGGAATTTTCTAATCACAATTATCATTCTTTCACAATCTCTATTATCAGTTACATAACTTTTCTTAAAAAAACTTCTTACTTCAGATTCTTTTTCTGAAATGATGAGGTACTTAAGATTTCTCACAAAGCAAAAAATTTACTTTAATTAAAATTTATACTGATTAATATTTTTTTGTTGAAAAAAAGCTGAAAATTATATATTTTCATAACTTAACTCTTATTACAACTATCATCCTTTAACTATCTCTATTATTAGTTATTTTCTAATTTTTTCCAAATTATTCTCCCTTCAGATTCTTCTTATGTAAATAAAATGCATCAAATTAAAAAAGTTCAAAAAAATGTATGCTTTTTGTTCTCATTTTTATTCTGATCACAATTATCTTCTTAGACTATCTCTATTCTCGGTTGCGTAACTAATCCCAATTATTCTCTCACCAGATTCTTCTTTCTGTCAAATGATGAGATGCTGGAGATTCTCTCTGAAACAAAAGATCCACTGAGAGTTCAGCCTCACTTGAAGAAGTGTTTTGAAGGCATAGCAAATCTGGACTTTGATGAAGACTTGAAAATAACGGGTATGCTCAGTAGTGAGGGTGAAAAAGTATTTTTCACGAGTGTTATATCAACCAAGGATGCTGGTGGCCAAGTTGAGAAATGGTTGCTCCAGGTATTATTGAATTGTTTGTATTTAATTAAAAATATTATATATTTACTCTCCAAATTGAAGAATCTTAACCTTCATGACCCTCTTGGTCCACAAACTGGCTGTTGTGATGAAAACAGACTGGAAAAGTCAGGAAAATTTTGATAAAAGCCTGAAAAAATCAAGGAATTTTAAAGAAAAGCTAGAACTTTTTTCTTAATTTAAACTACTTTGCAATCAGTTATATTTACTTTATTTAAACGGAAATTTATCGTCAGACAGTTGAAGTATCATCAACATAGCAATGCTTTGCTTGCGTTAAAACGCTCTCCATTATTGCCCTGCTAAACTAGAATGCCATATGAAACTGTCCCATATTGCTAAATGAATGGAGGAACTTCTGATTTCTATGTAGATAATGGGACTAAGCAGTTAAGAAAAGAAAAAAATTGTGGTGGAGATTGAAGAAGGGGTTAGGATATTTGTTTCTGTTTATAAAATTAAATTTTTTTATCTTCTAGGCTGAATTGATTTATTGTTCAAGTTTGTTCCGATGCTTTGGTGGTATTTTTTTTATTTTAATTATAGCTCGTTCACTAGGAGTTGGCACTTGGCTCCACCTNAAAAGATCCACTGAGAGTTCAGCCTCACTTGAAGAAGTGTTTTGAAGGCATAGCAAATCTGGACTTTGATGAAGACTTGAAAATAACGGGTATGCTCAGTAGTGAGGGTGAAAAAGTATTTTTCACGAGTGTTATATCAACCAAGGATGCTGGTGGCCAAGTTGAGAAATGGTTGCTCCAGGTATTATTGAATTGTTTGTATTTAATTAAAAATATTATATATGTACTCTCCAAATTGAAGAGTCTTAACCTTCGTGACCCTCTTGGTCCACAAACTGGCTGTTGTGATGAAAACAGACCGGAAAATTTTGATAAAAGCCTGGAAAAATCAAGGAATTTTAAAGAAAAGCTAGAACTTTTTTCTTAATTTAAACTATTTTGCAATCAGTTATATTCACTTTACTTAAACGGAAATTTATCGTCAGACGGTTGAAATATCATCAACATAGCAATGCTTTGCTGGCGTTGAAATTCTCTCCATTATTACCCTGCTAAACTGGAATGCCATATGAAACTCTCCCATATTGCTAAATGAATGGAAAAACTTTTGACTTCTTTGTAGATAATGGGACTTAGCAGTTAAGAAAAGTATAGGATATTTGCTTCTGTTTATAAAATTAAATTTTTTTGTCTTCTAGTTCCTAGGCTGAATCAATATATTGTTCAAGTTTGTTCCGATGCTTTGGGGGTATTTTTTTATTTTAATAACTTATATATGTGTTAATTAAATTTTTTTGAATTTTTATTCTTGAATTGGTTGAATTTAAAAGTATTTACTATCAGATAAAAATTAAATTAATTAATTGAACTTTCAAAATTTTTCGATTTGAGTTTCTATTAAGTTTTACAATTTTAATATTTATTCTTTATTTTAAACTTATGTAGTTTCTAATTTCATTTTTTTCTTGCTTGTATTCAGTGATTCAAACTAAGAATATTAAAAATAAATCAAAATGGCTCTCTTTCATGTGAATTACCTAACTTTACATTTATTAACAATCCCTTTTCAACTCAAAGTGCAAGTGAGAGAGTGTTCTCTAAATTTAAAATTATCAAGTCTCGTCTTCATGGATGATTAATATTTAATAGTATTTGTTATGATGGTTACTGAAAAAGACATATGGAATTCCTATTAAAAGTGAAATTGTTTGTGTGAAACTAGCTCAGAAATGTTTGAAAAAAAAACCCAGTTTTAACTCTTTAAAAAAGCAGTCTTAGTTCTTTAGAAATATTATTTAAACCTGCAAAACCTTTTTTCAGTATAAAAATTTAAATATTGATGTATTTCTTTCCTTTGTACTAGTAAAGATTTTATTGATTCTTATGCTTATTAGTATAGACAATTTATTGGTGCATTTGAAAAGCAAAATTTTTGGTGAAAGCTTTTTTTAAGGATTTTATAATATTTTTTTTAAATTAGTGTTTCTTAATATTTTAAAATATTATCTCTGTTTTTATGCTTCTACCATTTGAATTACAATTTTAATTTTTTATTTATTTTTTTGTATTTAATTTATTTCAAAAATTGAATAATTTAAACTAATTTAAAAGTAGTATAACTACTCGAAGAATTAAAAATTAAATTTTCCAATTTATTACATACATATATATTATTACATTCATATACACATATACTTACATATCACACATCACTCCCTAAAAAGTCTGTCCTAGTCCATCCCTGAGTGGCTCCATCTATGGCCAAAAATTCGAATTCTGCCTCACACATATACATCACAGCCTGTTTTACGGGAAAAACACATGCGCACACATCCATCTGAAGATCTAAATATTAACCTGAACCAGAGCACAATCAATCTCTGATCCAGTACCCCCAGAGGTATTGATTTGATCTTCTCAGGCTTTAACTCTGATGCATTGGGCCTCTTCTCATGCATGCATAATGTATCCATAGAACAGATGCAATATTTGTAATTATTTTAATTATCTTTTTCGTACTTTAACATATTTAATAATGATGATGTATAAAAGTGTATCATAAGTAAATGTTCGTAATATAAAAATTAAGTATAGAACCAATTTAAAATTGATTTCAAGTACAGAATTGCATTTATATAAATTTAAAATTTTTTAATTGAATTCAGAATTGCACAACCATTATAAAATATAAAAAAAGTATACATTTGGGTAGACTATGTTTAGTTCTCTCTTAAGATATTTGAGTAAGAGCTTTAAATTCCAACATATTGTTTCAAAACTATTATTAAATATGTGATCAAGAAAAATGTCTTATGTTATAAATTTTAATTGTGTAAATTATCTTGTAATAGGTCTTTTTTTTTAATTTCAAAAGGTTCAAGATGTTATGTTGGTGTCAGTAAGAAGTGTTATCTTTGACGCTCACAAGGTATATTTTAATTTTCTGTAACTTTGTCCATTATGCTTGCATTTTTACTATCTTAATTTATTTCAATTTATTTATCTTTATTGCTAAACCAGTTGACATTTTTTTAATCATATTTCATTTTAACTTATGTGTATCCAATGCAGTGTGTTGCATTTGAAGATGGGACTGTATATGAGTTTTTCTCATTGCACAGATTAAGATATCACTCATCCTGTATACTATGTATCACTCATCCTGCTACGCACTCTGTGTAATAAAAATTTTCTCTTTTAAATATTTATTATTGCATATGATTAAACTATTATAAAACTATCTTTATTGAATAGTCCTACTCATTGGTTCCTCGCATCAAGTGGATTGTGGAGTGGCCAGGACAGGTGGTACTGTGCGTGTCGCAGATCTACTGGACTGCAGAAGTGCATGATGCAATTGCTGGTGGGATGCAATCCATGAAAAATTTCTCTGGTAAACTGAATGAGCACCTGGCTGAAATTGTTGACTTGGTGAGAGGAAAGCTGACCAAGCAAGTGAGGACGACCATCGGAGCATTGGTGGTTATTGACGTCCATGCTAGGGATGTTGTTCTAGATTTAATAAAGAATGGTTAGTCAATGATACTATATTATAAATTTTACACTGGAAAGAGTCCTACCACATGTTACTGAAGCTAAATTTTAATGTTTTATGTCTTGTTATTATTTTAAATTTGGGAAGTTAATGCTTATTTGAAGAAGAAAAAAAGACAATTTGTTTCCATGCTCAATATCATTACATCAAATTTTAAACTAATTATATTTTGTTTTAAATATTACTTATGTTATGCTGCCCTCAATGTATGAAATCCAACTTTCCAGAGAATGCCTAGACATGCTACCAAAGGGCTAACTCATGTATAGCCAAAATTTAAAAACAATCAAGCAATTTTCTCTGCTGTTTATCCTTTTATAGGGACCAAAAAAACATATTTCTCCAGTACCTATATTAAATCTGTACAGGATTGATGCAGTTTTATTAGAGACCAAATATAGTAATGTAATACTTTGTGTTACTGTACTTGGTATATGTTTAAACTGCTCCATTGCCATGCCAGTAATGCCTATTACAGAAATAATTTGAGCATCATAAGCGACAATAATAGTACGGTAGGTATGTACTTTATTTACATCACACTAGAGCTGCACAATGGGCTATTGGCGATGGTGTGGGAAACATCCCTGAGGATGATCCGAAGACATGCCATCCCAGTTTTGATCCTCTGCAGAGGGGATGGCTCCCCTGCTTTAGTAGCCCAATGACTGCTTGCGAAGATGAGCAATTTATGGTAGAACAGGTTAACGAGGACTGATACAGTGCACCCTCAGTCTTATCAAAGTGGTCACCTATTCGCTTACTGACCGCAGGCAATGAGGATTGACTTTGGTGTTCTACTGGGAACAGTGTCTTTACGATTTGTCCACTGTGGGACATAATAATATGGTGATGTAATAAATACTATGGATATAATAGTATTAGTAAATAGTGTGGTGATTTCTTACTTTTATTCTAAATGAATAAGTACCAGTTCTCCATTAGTTTTGATTTTTAGCACGCAACTTATTTTTTTAAATCTCGATTAATACCTATTGCCAAAATTAAGGCATCAATAATACTATAGTGATTCTTCACTGTTAGTTCACTGTTCACTGAATTAGTTTTATTTCTCCATTCATTTTGCTCTGTAGTAGGCAGATTGTTTTTTTATTCCAATTGCAGTAAAACATTGATCAATCTTTTTTCAAGAGACCATTCATTGCGGACGGTAGATACGGGAAAAGGTTGAATGCGGGTCAATATAAAATATTGACTTTAAAAGGTATGGAAAGTAATAAAGAAGTAATGTACTTGAAAATTACTAAATTTAAAATAACTGAAAGATCTCTGTAAAAATATTTATGATGTGAAATATAGTTGAATTAGCATATTTATTTATTTAAAACCGATAAAATTTTTGGTTTGATCAGTTTCTTCACATCTCAAACAAATTTTCGACACTTTTTCTGTAAATTAGTGTGAATACAAAATTTTCCCATCGTTTCAAAGGCTTTGAATCCTTTCCCAAATTTTGGTACTGATTGTGATTTCTTTTTCACTCCTCATCTGTATTATTTTGCCCTTCATTTACTACAATAAATTTTTTGTCTGACTTGAATTTTTTTAAAATTTCAATAAAATTTTAGAACGATTGATTGGGTAATCTATTAGTTCCTCTAAAACGATCTAAATGGGTATAAGATTAATAGAGACTGACCTCCCCCCGGAGGAGTTTTCGGATAAGGGTTCAACCCGTTGCCACGCGAGAACCAAACACTACAAAATGACAGTAAAGTAAAATTAAAACTAATAAAGATTGATACACATTAGAAAATATCACACTATCGACGACGTGTAAATTTAAAACAATAAATCAAGTATTTTAAACCATGTAGGAAAATATAAAATATGAAGTGAATAAATGAATGCAAAATGTGACCGTGCAAGAAAAGATAATTCAGCATCGCCAATGAGATTTATAAAATTTAAAATCAATCATAAAATTCCAAACGGGATTTATAGTTAAAGCCAATATAAAATTTTGGAGCAATGCATCAAAATGTATGGCTATCACAAAAGAGGTCACCGATGAACAAAAGTTCTCCATGGAAGGGAAAGGGCCAAGGACATCAACCAGTCCAAGTGTCCAGCTTAAAATAAAAAATTGAAGAGAACCAGAATTCTAAAAAAACAAATCAAAACCGCTTAAAACATCAAAAAGAGTAAAATTAACCAAAAATAAAAGTTTTAAAAATACAGTAAAAAAATGTATAAAGAGTAAAGTTAGGTAAAACTGACCTGAACATTATAAATAACATCTACGCCAAGAGAGTCAAAATCATGCCCAACGTATTCGTATAATTGTTCAGATTTTTAAAAAAAGCTCGAGTATTCGTAAAAGTAAGAACGAATTCTATTTATGATGGGACTGGTAAAACAAAGTGATGTGTGTGGGGTAAACAAAAGATGCGGGAATGATAGATTGAAGTTTGATTGTAGTAGCTTTAACCGAAATTAATCAAGCATCTTTGGCATCAATGACAGTAAGGATTATTTTTTTATCTTTCTCAAAAATGATTTAGTACTATTTTTCCATTAATTTTGCTTTTAGGAACTTTTTCTTTTTATTACCATTAATTTTAAATTATTTAGTTTTATAAATGTACCTTTTAAAAGCATAGTTACAAAAAAAAAACATCTTCCAGATTACATAACGAGTACTAATTTGATGACATAATCTGCCTATGCTCACTTTGATCATTGAGTTAATCTAACATAATGAATAAAAATACAGTGCACTCCCGATTATCCGGGTTAATCACCGGGACTGGTCGCACAGACAATCGCAAAACAAGGATAATCCGAAAACTCATTTTATTAAAGAAAAAATAAATATCAATACCAAAATATAAAAATTGCTGATATTTGCTTGCTGTATAACATGAAACTAGGAATTTTCCTTTTAAAAAAATGTGTAATGCGTCATATATTGTCGCATATTTTACAAACCGCATTAATGTCATCGTAATCAAATGCTCCCATATAAACTAATAAAGCTTCCACAGAGCAGCAGAATGAGAAATTGTATTTCCCTCATTTACTACATCTTCTGCATCAGTTACTATCATCATTATTTGATTTAACAACATAACGATGTCTTCATCTGTCAAATACTGGAAGCCAGGCTCACATGCATCACTTTGAAACCAATCTTCTGAATTTTCTTCATCAAGAATTTCGAAACCTTTGATTTCTTTTGCTTGTTCAAGAATACTATTATCATATTCTTCTTGGAGATCTGAAGAAGATTGTTTAACAAGAGGTATCATCTTTCTCCATGATCGTGATAACATAGACGATTTTACCTTCAACCATGCTTCTGATATTCTATATACTGCAATCCAATAACGAATATTGTTTCCAAAAATTGGGTAGTGTTATAACTTCATGAATCAAATTTTTTTAATCTTGAAAGTGTTTCTCTTTAAATTTTTTGTTGACTCCGGAATGAGCACGGATAATCCGCTAACCGGATAATCGAGAGTGTACTGTAATTAAGTATCTAAGTCTGTGCTACAAACTCATTTATTTTATTGATGATATCTTTAAGCAAGTAAAAATCAGTGAAAAACAGAATCATCAGCAGTTTCATTTATATCAATCACACTAGCTCTAAACAGATGAAAAAATTCCCTTTTTTAAGTGTCCTTCCTAAATAATCCAATTTAAATTTTTGAATGATTTTTCGGATAGAGGGGGTAAAATTGCCCTTTTCACTCACTGTTCAAGTTTTAGTACTCAAGCTCTTCTAGAGTTATAAGACAGACAGACGAATTCTTTGTTTTATTATTGCAGATTATTTTTTGTTTTTCATAAAGAGATATACTTTAAAAAAAAAGTTATCAGTAAACTGAAATTTAATTTTAAAGTTTTGATTTTTTCTATTGTACAAAATTGCATTTCCGTACTTCAATTTTATTAAACAAAAAAAGTGATTTAATTTTATAGAATGAATAATTTCATTTTAACAAATAGGTGTTGAAGATGAGCATGATTTCCAGTGGTTAGCTCAGCTTCGGTATTATATTGAAATGTATGAAGATGTTGAACAAGTTCGTGTTCAGATCACAAATGCTAATGTCAAATATGCATATGAGTATTTGGGAAACTCCCCTAGGTAAGATTTTTGCTGTAATGCAATATTTCATTAACTCTTTCAGAATTTCTGATCTTAAAAATTTTAGTGTTTAAGTCTAAAGCTTTATACAGGGTTGCCATTCCACAGGGAAAACCTGGAAAATATAGGGAATTTAAAAATCTCTTAAAATGCCAGGAAAAATGCTGGTGTAAGGACACAAGAGGATGGAAGGAAATACCATCACGAAGAGCTCAGTATTTTAATTATACATTCACACATCCATTCTACAATAATGAGTAACAACATAAAATTTACTTAAATGGAAAGTATTTTAAAGTTTTACCCAAACTGATTGAGGTAAAAGGGAACCAGGAAGGTTCGGGGAGCTCATCTTGCATTATCTCACTTGGTAAAAAAGAACGAAGACTATTTTTATTGTTTTTGCGGATAGAGGGGTAGTGCCATCTGTTGCTACGAATTAACTATCCGTTACACTGGATTTTTTATTTACATACTGGGTAAATTCAGGAAATTTTTGTTTTTGTCTTTTTAAAAATGGTGACCACCCAAAGCGTAATCTGTGGGATATTTATATGTGATATTTGAGTTATACTAAACTATTACATTTACTATGGTATTATTTAAGTATGTTCAGCTGGGTTTTTTTTCCCACTAAGTTTTTCACTCAATTAAAATTAGTTTAGTTATCCCAATATAGCTCACACAAGAGCACAGTAATTGTGTTTGCTCTTGATATATTGCTTATAATATGTTCAGGGGAAACACAGGGAATCTTTTTTTTCCTGCTTTGAGTGGCAACCCTGTTGAACCTTACCCAGAAGACAAGGGTATTGCTGGATCTATCATTGGGAAAAACTAGCTTTCATGCATAACGTTTTGATAAAATTAACCTTTATTTGCATTACATGGGTTAGGGGAAAACCTTTCAAGGTTAACTTGATGGAAAGAGGATTCTAATCCATGATCACTGAGGATATTTTATGTCATCATGGTCGTCAATGTGAAAAAGAAACGGAAATCGTATCGACCATCCAACCCAGGAATTCTGACCTGGGTCACCTCATTTAGAGGTGAGCGCCTTTCCCACTAAACCATAGTGGCTCCCATAATTATCCCTTATTGAATAACCCATTTATTTCACTAAAGTTGGCCGTAACCAATACTAATTCTTTATATTAGGCTGACTGTATATAAAAGTCTAATATTTTTGTTAAAAAGAAATAGGTCTTGTAATTTTTTTTTTTAATAAACCAATTCTATTAGCAAGTATAGGTCCTTTTTTTTACTATATTTCATGCACAGGGCTCGCGCTAAGCATTTGCCACCTCGCCAAATGCCATAATATCGTACATTTTTGAATAAAATTGTGTTTTGGCAAATGATTTTTTCCACTGTAAAGAATATAAAATTACGTCAAAATTAATTTTTCTAAACTAATCAGTATATTTTTTTCGATTACTGTACTTTTTGGTAGATGCGCCACATAACCAATTAGAATTGGGTCCACATAATATAAACCTGAAACAAAGTACTGTAAAATAGTGTTCTATGGGGAAAAATAATAATAAAATTTTTTTAAGATTTTCATTTACTAATTATTTGAAATCCTTAGAGCTGGTTCTGATGTATAAAATAAGGTGTAACTGAAACATTAATAGTATGCCACAAATTACAAAAATTAAGAAAGTTCAAAAAATCAATTTAAAAATTATGGTAAGTGTTGTTGTTCCCTCTCTATTTAACTAAGCCATAATATTTACACGTTTTAATTGAAAAAGTACTTTATCGAGTTTTTATTAATGTGCAGCATTTTATGATTTCAGATTAGTAATAACACCTTTGACAGATCGTTGTTATCGTACCCTGATTGGGGCATTTCATCTCCACCTGAACGGAGCTCCCGAGGGTCCAGCAGGAACTGGAAAAACAGAGACTACAAAAGATTTGGCAAAAGCCTTAGCTGTCCAGTGTGTAGTTTTCAATTGCTCAGATGGACTGGATTACATTGCAATGGGGAAGGTATGTTATTACTAACTTCTTGTGAATCAGGAAAAAAAAAAGTGGCACACTTTCAGAAGAAAAAAACATAACTGTTTTTGATTAATTTGATTAAAGCCTTGTTTTTCAAGTAAACTTTTAAGGAAAAAATATTTTAGTTTTTGCCAAAACTTAAAAAAGTGTAGGGTGCATCATTTTCTAAATAAATGAATGAATAAATAAATAAACCTGTGTGATGTTTGGACAGTAATAAAACTTTATTTGTGAAAGTGATGAAAGACTGGTATTTTTGTTCGAGGCATAACTTTAGCTTTTATTTAAAATTTTCATGTTTCTCTTAAATTGATTGATGTGTTTCTTGAATTGATTCCTCAAATTTTTTCTTTTAAATGTTCAGAAAAATCAAAATATATTCTCATTTTTAGCCCATTTAAAATATATGGTATTCTAAATTTTTTATTTTTCTTCATTTTTTATTTTCCCCAATTTCTTTATTTATTTTTTGTCTGTTACTTTATTTGATTCTGAAAGTAGTTTAAGTATAGTTGGGATATAAAATGCTTATAAATGCTATTAGAAGCTTTTTCTTTTCTTTCTTGTCTGTTACTTTATTGAGTTGAGTCTAAAAGTCGTATTATTATAGTTAGGATATAAAATGCTTATAAATACTATTTGAAGCAGTCAGTAAACAATTGTATTGTCATTTAACACAGTTCAAATTTAAGTGATTGAAAATTTGTTTTCAAGATTGTCCTCTCACAATCAAACAAAAGCTAGTTAAATAAGGCGCATTAAAAATGTTTATAATGCTTTTTAGTCTTATTTTGCTATGCTTTTTTTTTTTTTAAATTTTCCATTATTTTGTTTGAAATGATAGACAAACTAACTGACAATTTCCGATTCTTTATCGGTTTTCATTTCTACTCTATTTTATCAACAATTAATACAAAGCAGATGCCCCTTTTAATGTTCAATTTTGAAAACTCTTAATTTCTGAAAAATTATCCAGGGCACAAAAGAATACTCAATGTTAAATTTAAACTCTTATTTGCGGAAAAATAGTTTTAGAGAAATCGACCCACTTTTGTATTAGATTGAGAGGAGAGTTCTACTACTGTACTATATATATGTATACATATATATATGTATACATATATATATGTATACATATATATATATACAGTTGAGCATCGTTTATACGACGATCACTTATACGACGCTTACATTTATATGACGTTTTAGTGTGGTCCCAAATCATTCCTATTCATTTTAATGTCAAAATATATCGTTTATACAGCACACAGAATCGATTATACGTCGGTTTTTAGATTTTGTTCACGTTTATAAAATTTTTTTATTTTTTCTTGCGTATTTTAAAAAAGGGCGGAATTTGCCAACATGAATGCTTGGATGACGACCGTAATTTTTACTAGATGACTGAAAAAACTAGACAATGTTATGAAGAGGCAATAATGAAAAATTTTGCTATTCATCGACCAATGTCCAGCGCACCCATCGATACTAATTATTTTGGAAAATGTAAAAGCTCTCTTTCTTCCTGCAAATTGCACAATTGAGCTTCAGCCATTAGATTTGGCCGTGATTAGAAATCTAAAATTGCATCATAGAAAGCAGTAAGTTCACCTCGCTATTCAAAGCATTGTAGAGACTAATAGCAAGAAAATATAATTAAAGGTAACATACATTCAAATTGCTCACTGCAATTGTTCTTCTTTGGTTATTTGTTTGTTTTGCTTTCGTCTTATTTAGAAATTTATGTAAATCAACACATTGAACATTAAAATTAACTGAAAACAGAGTTGGTTTAAGCTTTAGAAGTAAAAATCGATTATACGATGTTTTTCGGTGGTCCCTTCGGTGTCGTATAAACGATGCTCCACTGTATATAAATTTTTTAGATCATTTAAGCAATTGGATTTTGTAATTCTAACAAATTTAGTTTAATGTTTTTTTTTTCAAAATTATTTGCTCTCCTGCACTTCATTTTAATTGATTTTCTACTTTCAATAATGCAAAATACCTTTTAAGTAAATTACTATAAATAGTTCTATTTTTCAGTACTTTGTTAATATATCATAAAGTAAATTATATTTAGGCATAAGACTTCTTTTAATATTAGCGCCTTAGTATACTTCAAAAATAAATTTTATCATACTTGTTCTTACTAATTGTCTTATTTTATTCCTAGTTTTTTAAGGGTTTAGCTTCTGCCGGTGCATGGGCATGTTTTGATGAATTTAATCGTATTGAATTGGAAGTACTTTCTGTAGTAGCACAACAGGTAATTTGTATAAAACTTAATTTTCATTCAAACTATTAATTATTAAGCATAATGTGGTGTGTATAATGTGGTGCAGGTATAATGTGTTGTGGTGTCTGATGTGGAAATTAATTGTTTGCCAGCTGGACTCCAATTTTATGATGACAAGCAAATCGCCTTTACGAGAAATAAGATACCACATTTGTGATTATATCACAGGATGCATAGCGTTTTCAAAAAGTGGTTAAAGGTGCTTCTTTTTAAAATACGTTTTTAAAAGCCCTTAAGGGTGCCTTTTTTTATTCAGGGTTTTTAAAAAGTGGTTTTTTTCTTTGCCGTGTCGATTGTTGTCCTAAATTACAAAAAAAGCATGATTTTTGCAATTTTCTTTGCAATATTTATCAGAAACTAATTATTTTATCATGATTATGGAAAGTGTTTGAAAATGTTTTTGAATTTTATTGATTTATTGTTTATAAATTAAGAACTTAGAAGGATGGAAAAAAATTAATTTTTGCTTCTGCACAGATCCTAATTATTATTTTTTCTTTGAAAAGTGATTAAGAATATTTTTTGAGTACCTAAAAATTACTTTAAACGTGCTTATTTTTTGTTAAAAATCTGGCTACGCACCCTGTATTAATGGTATACATTATTCATTATCTTTTCAGAAAAGGAACTTGTTCTTAAAAGACGACATTAGCATTTAAATGGTTAATTATTTCATGTATTTAAGCTTTTTTATTTAGTTAACTTACTATGCAAATGAAAAATTTTGAAAAGCATACTTTTATGTATTTTTCAGTATCTTCTAGATTATAGTTTTTCACATGGCATTCTGCAAACACTATTCACAGGTCTATAAAAGAGATTTATTGTAATATAGACATTTTATAAAAAGGAACAAGCAGCTAAGCATTCTTATTTATCAGTTTTATTTTCTGTAATAAATGAACCTTTAATGCTGAAGTAATACTATTTTCAACTTATTCAATAAAATTGAATGCATCTAAGCTTTTAATGCTGAAGTAATACTATTTTCAACTTATTCAATAAAATTGAATGCATTTAAGAAAGAATAAAAAAAATTTGGTACAAACATATTATGGTACATATTAGGAAAAACTCCCACATTGGTATACGATGCCATATCCAGGTTCTTGTACAATTCTAAATCTGTATGATGTGCCTTCTTCACCTCAAAGTTTAGTAAGTTTCCTCGTATAAGTAAGTTACCTCACCTCTAAAGTCACCATGTCTGTAGAATCATCATGTATTTAAATAAAAACCTATTTAAATACTTAAGAATTTATAGCTTCAAAATATTTTTCATTGTAGCGAGTATGTGAATAATCAGATAAGAAAATTGTTTAAGAGATTATATTTTATAACCCGCTTTGAACAACCCAACCCAATTTTTGGGGTTTACGACTACTAACGTTCACCACCCTAGCCTTGTAATTTTGAACCTAATCTAAAAGAAAAAGGAACTCCTGGATCAAATATTGGGAGATATTTGCCTTAATGGAGGACTTTCTGATGGAACTAACCCACATTTGCGAGAGGAAAACCACTAAAAATCTCCCATGGTTAGCTTGAAGGCAAGGGGACTCTTATCCGTGATCGGTCTACCACTGAGGATATTTTACGCCAGCACTGTGATCAGTGCAAGCCCGATGCAGAATTCGTATAGACCAATCATCGCTGGGATTTGAATCCAGTTCACCTTATTAGAAGGCAAACGCTATGTCCCCTGAGCCATCATGGCTCATCAGAGATTGCCAAATTGGTGAGAAAATTGTTTTGCCACAATTTTATATACATGAAAAATATGCCAGTAGTTCAAATTACTAACTTTACTAGCATGTGAGGGAACAGTGAAACAGTCCTAAATACTGAACTTCATTGTTATACTTTAGTTAGTTTACTGTGAACATTTAATTATTTCTGTTATTATGAAGTAACCTTTTTTAATTTTAGATCCTATGTATTATCCGTGCTGTGAGAGCTGATGTCAAAACCTTCACTTTTGAGGGAACTGAACTAAATTTAAATCCAAACTGTTATGTGTGCATCACAATGAATCCGGGCTATGCTGGAAGGTCAGAATTACCAGACAATCTCAAAGTAAGACGATAAACATGAAAAGACTAGTTTAAATAATAGTAGTTGCAGTTTAGAATTCAAAGCAATAAAGTTTCTGTAAAAACAGAAGCGGTTCTCACACTATAAATAATATTGAATAATTCATTTGTATGTTTGTGCTCTTTTCGTTATACATTATTCATTATAACATGGTGTGTCACATTTTTGAAAATTGCTTAAAGGTACTTATTTTTGATTTATGTTTTTTAAAAGCCCTTAAAGATGCTTATTTTTTTTGGGTTTGTAAAAATTGCTTAATTTTCCATCTTTTAAAAAGAAATTTTTTCTTTGCTGTGTTGATTATCCTTCTAAATTACAAAAAATTCATGGTTTTTTAAATGTTCTCCTCAATATTTATCAGAAACCAGTTATTTTATCATGATTATGTAAAGTTTTTGAAAATATTTTTGAATTTTATTGATTTTATGTTTTATAAATTAAGAGCTTTAAGCGATAGAAAAAAAAGGATTTTTATTTCTACACAGATCCTAATTGTGATTTTTTTGAAAAGTGATTAATAATATTTTTTGAGTGCTTAAAAAGGACTTAAAAGGTACTTATTTTTTGTTGAAAAATCTGGCTACGCACCCTGTTATAAATTAAAATTACTTTAACGAATTGTACTCTTATGGGTCAGGGTCGTAATTAAGCAATGTTGGATGAGATCAAACAAAAATTGAGCTACCAGGCTTTCGAAAGAATTGCAACCAAACAGGAAAGTAACCAATTACTATGCTTCCACAAATCTGTTACTATATGGAATAAAGAACTGTATATGTTGACTGCATCTTGCTTTTTTCATAATTTTAGCATTTATAGAAATAACTTATATGGCACTACAGCCTGCTGTAGTGCTATATAAATAGGAAATGAACGGGCTGACATGTTGGCTGAGAGGCTTCAGCATTGCATCCACCTTCTCATCCAGTTCCTCTTAGAAATGCAAGACAGCTTCTTAAGAGCAAATTCAGACAAAGAAAAATATCTGCTCTTTGGGACTTAGCTGATGGAAAATCCTGGGCTAGCCTTCTTGATGGCCAGCAGTGCTCTCATCTTTCCCTCCTTTCCAGGGCCGAGGGAGTTGCTTGTCTTAGAATAATTACTGAACATAACTACTTGCAGGCCCATCTATTTGAAATTAACCTGGTCAATTCACCTCTTTGTGTGCTCTGTAACATTTTGCCTAAGACTGGGGAGCATCTATTTTATTGCCCCTCTCTTCTTGACATTTGTTTCTGTGACAACTTTCATACCCTCTCACCATCTGGATCTATTTCACTATTGTATTGGACTGCCTTATGTCTGAAAAGATGATGGCGAGCGTAATTTTTAAAAAAATAAAATAAAAACTACAGCCTGCTGTGAGCATTGGCCTGCTTAACAATATCATTCCAGACTTTTTTATTTATAGTTTTAAGTTTTCAGTTTTTGGCCCTCAAGGTGGTTAGATCTCTGGTGCTATCGTCCATCCATCTATTTTTCAGTCTTCCTTTTTTATCAAGTTCAAAAGTTTCCAATTTAAAAGTTTTTTTTTAGATTTTATTTATCATTTAATCTTTCAATGTACACCAGCCATACCAAATGTCTGGATTTAATAAGTCGAATTATTTTATTTATTAATTAATTATATTTATAGAAATTACTTTTCTTAAGAAGAAGAATTTCATTCTAAGGACTACAGAGAGAAACCCAGTACCACTTCCTTAAATATTTTTTAAAAAAATGTTCAATATTAAATTAAAGAAAATTTATGACTTAAAAAAACCCTATTATTATTGTTTTTGGAGAAAAAAAACCTATTAAAACATTTTAATGAGTTCCAAGTTGGCAAAAAAAGCAATAATATTAAAATATTGTTGCTTTTTTTGTTTCCTTATTTTCCTCTCAAATATTGGGATACAAGTTTCCTCCAGTTTAGTCATTGTCCAAGCTTAAGAAGCATATGTCAAAACTGGCCTGTCAAGAATTTTGTAGAATATTTATATAATTATTGTTTTTTGACTCTTATCAATGTTTTAAAATTTATATCAGTAAAGTAACTTCTTTTTAATAAAAATATTGTCTTAACTTTCTGTCGTAATTTATTTTTGTTAGTAATTTTTAAATTATTATTTTTTAAAAGTTATCCTTCCTATAATAATATTGTGGTACTTATTAACAGGTGCTGTTTCGTACTGTGGCCATGATGGTGCCAGACTATGCCATGATTGGAGAGATCTCGCTATATTCCTATGGATACTTAGACGCCAGGAATCTGGCAGTGAAAATAGTGACCACCTACAGACTGTGCTCTGAACAGCTCTCATCCCAGAGCCACTATGATTATGGAATGCGAGCTGTAAAAGCAGTTTTAGCTTCTTCTGGAAATCTGAAATTGAAATTTCCCGATGCGGAGGAAGACATACTGGTACGTTTATGAACCTGTCAAATACACAACAATTTATGGAGGAGATCCCTGTGGCTGAATTTTTTCAGGCTTTCTACAAAAAACTTCCCTAGCACCAATATATTGCTTTAAAATAATTTTAATTATAACAGTTACTAATTTAAAGTAACAGAAACGTTAGGTCTACAGAAGAAAGTATAGAATATAAAAAATTTTAATTGTAAAAGTTGTATTTTTTTAATTCTAATATTATATGCAATATTCTCGCATTTTGTAGGCGGAAAAATGCACTAATTATTTCCTCTTTCCAATTTTATAAATCATTACACAAATTAAAATTCGTAAATAAATCAAATGATAGGAAATTAAGATTCGTACATAAATTAAAAGTCGTAAAATCCGTGCAGTAACTCCCAAAGTAAAGATCAAGAATCACATGAATAGGACTCTTTAAAAAGGAGATACTCAAATAAGTATATGTAAAATATAGAGTTCTTTAAAGAAAGAAAATGAAAGAAAGAACATCATTTCTAGAGCGAACTATCTTTTAAACTTTCATGATTTCTGAATTTTTTATTTTAGATTATTATTTTGAATTTCTAGCTGAAGCCAGTCATTACAGATTTATTTTTAAAATCTCAAATGAGAATAGAAAAATCCAGATTGTTTCTTTCCTTTTTGATGAGCAAGAAAGACATCTTTGAAAAAAAAATTCTGCAGAAAAGGAAAAACATTTTTCGAGAAATTAAGCAGAAAAGAAAACCAAGATTTTTTCCTGTCCAAATGAAAAATCTTTTTGAAAAAACTCTGTAACGTTCTGCCACAATGTCGCCGTGTCGCCTCAATTCTGCCATGGGGGGAGGAGATATGAAAAAAAAATTATGTAGCATCCTCTTGTATGCGCAATTCTCCATCCAAAAATGAAGAAATTAAACACCAACAGATTTATTTAGACAGAATAAAATCAAATTTTTAAAATAGCCTCTAAATTAGTTTTAGAAAGAGAAAATAAAATGATTCTGGGTACCAAATTACTTTGCAGTTTTTCCTTGAGGCAAGTGCTTGATGATTTCTTATTTAAAAACTTGTTTTTAAATATAACATGTATTGAAATTCTATTTCGTTTATCAATATATAGAGTTCTTATAAATCGCATTGTAATATACGGATAAAGAATTTATAAAAGGAATTTATATATAACGAATTTATAGTCGGCACATTATCACAATTTAATTTATATGTTTGGTTTTTTTTCATCTCGGAGAAAACTTGGAGAGGAGAAATTTGAAAGAAAAATTTAAGTTGCAGATGATGAATATCAAATTAAAATCTTTTCATTTTAAGGGAAGAATTTAACAGAATTGTAATTTATCGTGTTCTGATAAGTATTTAAAGTTTCTTCAAATCAAATTCATTATCATACTATCACAGGTACTTTGCAGAGAAATAATATAATAAGCAGAAAAATGCTTATTTCATCTCTTTTTATGGTATCAATTAAAAAAAAAAGAAAAACAGAAACCTATTTTTCATGAATGAAGAGGGTAAAATCTTTACTTTTTTTTTTATTTGCCTGCAATTTTTTCTCCATTTTTTTTTTTAATAATCTGAAATAGAAAATTTGCAGACGCTGTGAAGATTTGTAGCTCCCACTGCTACCTGGCTTGCAAGCAAACTTGGATCAGCCAATCAGGTTCTATAAACGCATGTGACATTGCTTGCAGGTATCAAATTAATTCTGCTCTGACAATTGATTCAGTGTGATAATTAGCCCAAGCCAAGCTGTTATGTTAACTCAGCATACTCAACCATGTGATTAGACATTACCGTGTGATTAATTGCAAGTACCCAATTGCTTATGTTCTATAATATCTTTTTATAGGAAATGAAAATAATGCTTTTAATCTGGCTAATCAAAAAAATAAAAAATACAAAATCTTGCAGAATTCAAATAAAATATGTTTTGTGGTTATGTGTAATCAGTTCTGCAACTAATGACTGGCATATATTTCCAACCATTTCTGCAATATGGCGTACCATTTTTCAGGGTTATTTAAGCCATTGGGGCGTAACTACCACTAATAATATTAAATTCCAATTCAGTAGTATCTAAGACTTGTTGACTTGATTCTATCAAGAGGCTCTTAATGGTAGAAAAAGGTTGACAGGGTCGATTTCAAGATTCCCCCATAATGGTGACCTGCGAACATGATATGAACTCTTCAACATCGATAGATGGTTCACATTAAATGGTTGATTACCTCACAAAATAGCGCTAAAAAATCTGGTTAGGTAAATAAATTTCTCCCGGCCAAAATATAAAAATGAAGAAGAAAAAATAATGAGCAAAATGCTATAAATAAAAAAAATTCATAAATAAATAAAACAGCTTTAATCAACAAGTGATATTGATTCATTGAATTCTATAACAGATAAAAATTCTGGAAGGGGAGAAATGTCGCGTAACCATAACTAATAATATTAAATACCAATTCAGTAGTATAAAAGACTTATTAACTTGATTCTATCTTCAGTTACCTTTTGATCGATGAAGGTTGACATAGTCGATAATTAAATCCCCACTCTACCTCTGACCCTCATAACCTTTTTAAATAATTAGATCTTATTTTCACAGATTATATGTTAACAATTGTTTCTACTTTGATGAAAAATACTGACCATGTATTATAATTTTCAGAATATTTTTCTTAAACTAACATGTTGATATTGGTGCAAAAAAATATCTTGATTTCTTCTTTTAGCTTCTGAGATCTATTTTGGATGTGAATTTGCCAAAGTTTTTGTCTCACGACATTCCATTATTTGAGGGAATCATATCAGATCTTTTCCCTGGTATCACTTTACCCAAACCTGACTATCAAGTGAGTGATTTGCATTATTCACATAACAATGATGTATATTTATTGTGTGATACAATAAAAGCTGCATTATCAGGGCTGGGTGGGTAGCATTTTTAAAAAGTGCTTAAAGGTGCTTATTTTCGATTTTCGTGGTTTAAAAGTGCTTTTTTTAATGGGTGTTTTTAAAAAGTGCTTAATTTTTCCCTTTTCCAAAATGAAATTTTTTTTCTTTACCATGTTGATATTCGCCACGAATTATGCAAAAAGACATTGTCCTATTCAACGTTTTCACGATTAATTCAACCCCAAACTATTTCGGCTTGCCGTTGGTCCGTAGTGTTTGAAAACACCATTCTTGTTACATGTTTGATAAAATATTTGCGAGTCCACATTTGCATATACTGAGCTGGATTCAGTGCGAAGGATTTTCGTCTCTTATGTGCAAAAGAGCAAAAGCGCAAAAGAGTGTCATTCTTTCTAAACTAGACTAACTTCTACTAAAACTTGCTTAAGAAAAAAAATTTCCCATGTAAATTTCCAAACATTATGTGTTTTTTTTAAAACTTTGCTGTTAGCCAAATTCTGGATTGTTTGACTTTTATTGTTAATACTGGATTGCCACTCCGAAGAGAGAACAGGGAAAACATGGAAAAATAAAGGGAATCACTTCAAAATAACAGGGAATTTTGTTTCTCATTTTTGTCTTTTAAAAAATGGTGACCACTCAAAGCACAATCTATGGGATATTTAACAATGATTTTTCCAGCAATTAAAACTAGTATAGTTAGCTCAATATAGCTTGCGCTAGAGCACAGTGATTGTATGTTTTCGCTTGATATATTGTGTACATGTACAGGGAATTTTTTCCCCTCCAAAATAGAGTGGCAAACCTATATTTTTGTTTTGAATAAACCATTTAGACCAGGGTTTTCTGACNGTGCTTAATTTTCCCTTTTCCAAAATGAAATTTTTTTTCTTTACCATGCTGATATTCGCCACGAATTATGCAAAAAGACATTGTCCTATTCAACGTTTTCACAATTAATTCAACCTCAAACTATTTCGGCTTGCCGTTGGCCCGTAGTGTTTGAAAACACCATTCTTGTTACATGTTTGATAAAATACTTGCGAGTTCACATTTGCGTATACTGTGCTGGATTCAGTGCGAAGGATTTTTGTCTCTCATGTGCAACTCTGGTGCATTTTGTAAGAGAGATTCTCAATTTTAGAATTAATTTTCAGCCCTTTGGAATAGAACCGAAAAAACTCGAATTTTTGCTGATTACGGGGACCCACTAAACATTGTCAAATTTTTTTCTCTAATAGCGATAGAAAATCTTATTTCTTTTGTTAATTTCATCGTTGGTGACGCGCCATCGTCTTCGTCCCTAGCAAACAAGTAAAACCATCAGTAGTCAAAAACTTGCCAACCCTGTCTAATTATGATATTTTTTTAAAGTGCTTAAAAATGTGTTTTGAGGGCTTGAAAGGTGCTAATTTTTTGTTCAAAAATTTGACCATGCACCCTGCGTGGGAGTGGCTAATTCCATATCTTTGAGCAATTCCATATTCCATATCCATATTCCATATCTTCCATATAATTAATTCCATATCTTGATCTACAAGCTTGATTTTTAATATTACCTTGTGTTTAAAAAAAAGGGCCACGTCTTAATAAACATAAAAAATTATCATAAGTGACTCTTATTGAAAAGAGTAATGATAAAGAGATAAAAACTATTATAGTTATCCATAAAAATTTTTAAATGTAAATAAATATAAAAAGTAAATTTCTAAGTGGGGAAAAAAGTGCAAAAGAGTGTCATTCTTTCTAAACTAGGCTAACTTTTACTAAAACTTGCTTAAGGAAATAATTTTCCCATATAAATTTCCAAACGTTATGTGTTTTTCAATATAGCTTGCGCAAGAGCACAGTGATTGTATGTTTTTTCTTGATATATTGTGTACATGTACGGGGAATTTTTTTTCTCCAAATTAGAGTGGCAAACCTATGTTTTTGTTTTGAATAAACCATTTAGACAATGTAAATCACTTCATTTAACAAGTAGAAAATCGGTGTTTTAGGTTTTCTTGGGAGCCGTGAAAGAAGTCTGTGAAAAAAGGAATCTCCAAGCAGTGGATGTATTTATTTCTAAAATTATCCAGACGTACGAGATGATGGTTGTTAGGCATGGGTATGTGAATTTACATGTATAATTGATTTCTAATGATTACTGAAAATACTCTAGATGCAGCATATTCTTTTCTGCCATTAAATCTGTAAAAACACTACATTAACCCATTTTAGACTGAGCATAGAAATTTTATAAAATGGGGTATTTTCGTTGAAATATGCTTAAACTAAAAAATTCGTGACACAAAAAAATTCGTGCATAAAAAATATTTTTTTTACGAAATAAAATTATATGCATGCATTCTTTATGACATTTCTTTTACTTTTATTTTGTTCACAGATGTTGCAACTGCATTTGCCCCAAACATTTTTAAAAAGTCAAATTTGTCAATTACCATCTCAAGTTCAAAAGCTTGGTTTAAATATTTCTCAATAGAAAATGTTTACTCCAATTGAATTACTAACATTTTATAAATGACTTCAGAGTTATTAAAAATATTTATCGAAATAGTGCGTTTACGCACCTTTGGCCGAAAATGGGTTGTATAGTAGAATTTGTCTCGTGACACACTTTTGAAAAAAGTGTGAAAATAACCACATGTTGTGAGGATAACGCTCTCTGTCCACAAGAGAACTGCAAAGGTTCATCTACTGGAGACCACTGACAACTTAATATAACCTATGAATTACTGAAACACTCATGAAGACTTCAACATATTTTTATTGACAAATATGATAGAATAAAAAATGCAACACAAATATACAACTTAAAAAAGAATTAAAATGATGATGAATGCAGCACAAATAAATTATTTACGCTAACACATTAAAAAAGTGACTTAAGCAGCATAAAAGTATGAGTGATAGGTTTATTTAAATCCATCTTGAGTTGCATTAGATCATTGCCAACAGGATCTAACCAGAGTGAACTGTTATGATTGTCTTTAAATTTAAAACAAAGGCAAACTCTAATCTTTGAGGTAGTATGACCCTGCATTCAATTAACTGCTTCTTGGTGATAAACAACGTATTCACTCAAATAGGTGAAATTAACAAAGAAACCCCATTACTAACTAAACCTAAGAATTTGGCTGCAGAAAGGCCGATTTGATGTCATCAAATGAGAGAACGTTACAAACTACACAATCAATTCAATCGTCTAAAGTACTAGAAAACTTAAATCAAGTAAAAGACCAAGTTTATGGTTGTAGTTAATCTCATATTTTGGTTTGTTGAATTATTTATATATGTCATCCATTTTGTATGAAAGATAATACTAAGTTTTTGCAGACCCTAAAAGAACCTTTCATTAACTCTCAGAATATCAAATGCTGGAAGCCTTGAGTTTATTTATATATTATTGTAAAAGATTATAGATCAACCAATCCAAAAATAAATTGATTTAAGACATAAAACTGAATAAAAAAGATGCACTTATTTTTAATTTACTTTTTTTAAAAGCCTTTAAAGGTGCTTTTTTTTATTCAGGGTTTGTGAAGGGTGCCTAATTTTCTATCTTTTAAAAAGCTAGTGTTTCTTTGCTGTGTGGATTGTCATTCTAAATTACAAAAAATGCAAGCTTTTCACAATTTTCTCTGGAATATTTATCAGAAACTAGTTATTTTATCATGATTATGTAAAGTTTTTGAATTTTATTGATTTCATATTTATAAATTAAGAACTGTAAATGATAGAAACTTTTTTATTACCTCACAGATCCTAATTATTTTTTTTGAGGGGGGGGGGAAGTGATTAAAAATATTTTTGAGTGCTTAAAAGGTGCTTACTTTTTGTTGAAAAATCTGGCTACTCACCCTGAAAAAAAAGGTGAAGCATTTTGTTTTTCTGGTATTTCAACTTTCTCTTAGAGTAGTTTCATATAAAAAAAAATCATGATAGGATGTCAAATAAAAGCTAAAGGTAAAATTAACTTAAACTTGTCTTGTTTAAATTGAACATTTGATAATTGTAGATCTCCAAAATAATTGTTTTTGTTTTAAAAAAATGTATTATTCTGTTCTGTATAATTTTTTTTTATCCTGAAATTTTGTCTACAGATTTTAATACACATAAATGCAATCAATTTAAATTATGTACCTTTAGAAAATTCTTTGAACTTTACATTTTACTCACAAGTTAGCCTCAGTTTATTATTGTTTACTATTCTATTAAAATTTTTTGCTAAATACAATACTCGATATTACAAAATTGTTTTATGTAGAATTGAAATTTAAACTTGATAACGTTATCATTTGTTATTATTATTATTATATTTTTCTCCAAAATATTCATCAAAATATTTTCAGACCAAATTTTATTTATTTATTTTTCAAATTTTGTCTGCAATATTGCTTGCTTTGCTTAAATTTTATTTTATACTTCTCATTAAACATTATAAGTGATGCGTAATATTTTAAATTAAATGTTATTGATCCACTTAAGTTTTTATAATTATTCTTAAAAATCATTTGATTTTTATTTCTATTATGAACTTTTTCCATCACAATCACTCTAACTCTATATCTAAATTTATAGCTCCTTGATGTAGCATAACATATTCTAATTTCAACAACACTGCTAATTTTATCTAAATTTGGGTTAGTAATATTTTGCGAAATAATAATTTAGAAATTACTTTTAAAATGTCGTATTCAGAAACATAATGCTTTATAGAAATTCCAATTATTATTTTTTAATTAGGCTCTGAGTTTAGTTGTTGGAGTACTAGAAAATGAGAAAATTTGTCAGTTTTCAGTATTTGTTTTTTTAAAACCTGCTGTATTTAGAATTGTTTCTTTCTGGATAGTTTTATGCTTGTTGGTGCTCCAAATGCTGGGAAGACATCCGTCTTGCATGTCCTGGCTGACACCCTATCCCTCCTCAAAGAAAGAGGTGACATGGAGGAGGAAGCAGTTACTTATCGAACTGTGAATCCAAAGTCTGTTACGATGGGACAACTGTTTGGAGAATTTGATCCTGTCACATATGAGGTTAGTAAGGGTCTCTTGAGGGCGAATCTCTGTTGATGGCAGGCATTTAGTGCCCATGCATAGTTAGTCACTAACGGTACATTGCCCTTTTAAACTTTGCTAATGTGGGGTGAAATTAACAGCATCAACCACAGGGCGGTAAAAAAGTTGTCAGCAAGTTGCCACCATATTAAGGGGGAACCCCACCCTGAAATGGTAAAATATTAACGTTTTTCTTGAATTTTTTTTAAGTAATAGAGACAATGCAGAGACTCCTTGTTTTTTTATGTTATTTAGCTACAATTTAAGTGTGTTTTAAAATTTTTTCTTTTTCAAAATAATAAAAAATAAGTTGGTGGCAGCTCCGTGTGTGGCTGGTCATCAAAAAGTAGCACCTCACTGGCCTCATGGATTTAGAAGTCCTGAAACATAGGAAAACGATTTTGTTTAGATTTTCTGAAACATAAAGACATTATCTAAAAAGTAGCATAGCGGTTTTTTGATATTCACAAAATTACCAAAATGGCGGCAACTTGAAAAAAAAGTTAAGTTTTCCATTAAAAAAATATTCATTAAAATACTAATATAAAATCGAAATATAAAAATATAAAAAAATCCTGTGCTACTTTCTAAAGAATATATTTTTACGTAATTTAAAATAAAGAACAGCTTATTTCGTTGTGTAGATCATGAGATAAACGGTAGGCCAGGTCAAAAAGCAGCGTTTTGAGAAAAACTTGTTTTAAGTTTTGGCTTATGTTCAATCTATTAAATTAGTAATGACGAACCTTTATTCCGTCAACAGAATGGATGAGACACAAAGAGAATGTCGCCCCTCCTAATCCGGCCGAACGCGCCTTTCTACTTGCTTAGGGACGACTCTCTCATTTCCGGTATAACTTCCAAACAAAGCTAAGTACCGAGAAATCGTTTTAGACAGACATTGGGAAGGGTACAAAGATTCGAAAAATGCAAAAAATAAATTTTCAAATTTTTGAAATATTCAGGATGTCCTTAACACTTGTTTCTCGAAAATGCACCCCATGTATTATTTTTTTAATAAATATGAAATTATGAATGTTTTACAATATTCTTAATTGCTTCATTTCACACTTGTTTCATTGTGCTGGAAAAGCCTGGTTGGTACGGCATGGAGAATATTTGCTACGATCTGCTCAGAAAACTAAGTTTATTTGCTCCAAAACACATTTTTTTCTGCTCCAACATGATTATGCTACTGTTCCATTCCTGGATGTATGAATGGGTCTACCCTCTAAGCTGTGGCTGACGACGTGTTCTCTGCCATGGATGGGGTCACTAAAAAACAAGAAATTCACCCTCTGCCCTAAATTTGCTTGGTTTCACCAAGCAGGCTTGCTGATATTGGCAAGTGGGATTAGAAAAAACAATAACAACACTTATTTCATAAATTTTTTCATCATTTTAGAAATCCTGCCTTGTAATGATTACCATATTTTGAAAAAGGCTTTTAAAAAATGTGTCTTCCATTATTAATAACCACAGTTTTTTTTTAATTGATTCAATTCACAATTTTTGGACATGTCGCTACGTGTTTTTAAAAAAAAGTTAATCTTGATAAAATTTTTAGAACTGGCCACTGATTTTGCCCTAGAATTGCTAATGCAGTGAAAGCTGTTAACTTTTGTTCTCTTCTAAGTTGACCTCTTTTACCAAGAAACTAAGTATATTTTATATACTGAAATAAAGAAAAATCCTTTGCAACCTGTCTATGTTGTATGTTGACTGCTGAAATAAGTCAAATTTGTTTAGGAGTGTTTTTAAGTGCCCTTCATAAGTCGACCAACAAGGAAGAAAAACAGGAAGTTTTCTATATTATGTTTATTAGAACTTTATTTTATTTACAAAATAGTATTAAGAGCTAACTACTAGATTTATATGCAGATTTTGTACTCTTAACAGTATCTGCTTCTTAAAGATTTCAAAAATCATAATGTTTTTAAGAGGTAATTAGGGGAGTAACCCCTGGTTCGTCGACGCTCACCAACCCCGATGATTGCTTTGCTATGATTGCTGTTTCTTTGCATAAAATAGTTGAAATTATTCAACTAAAAATATATGTCCTAAAAAGAACACTTGTGCCTCCACTTTCCGCTTCAAAATATTCCCCTTATGATACTATTAACATCTATAAGTGGAAATAAATCATTCTTCTAAGTAATCATTTTCTAGAATAACATTTATAATTAAAAGTATATTGTTATAACGAATTTGGGCAGTTCACAACTGTTGGTGAGTTTTTGCTTACCAAACAGACGAATGTATATTTTAAATACAATTTTTGCATTCATCACTTTGTGCATGAAGTTGAAAGTTAAGTTCTAAATCATTTAACGAATCTCTTTAACCATAATAGTAGGTTAATGTAATTTGCTTCAAAAAAATAATAATTGTAATACGATCAGACACTGTTAATAGATAGTAAAATCAAACACTGAGTTAAATAACTTTATCTTAAAATATAACTTAGAATTACATTATTCTAATACAGTAGGGAACCGATTATCCGGAACGATCGGGACTCATCGCTATTCCGGATAACTGATTTTTCCGGTTTTCTGAATCGCTACAAAAAGCCGTTTTTTTATTGTTAAACCCAACTAAAAAAATATTTTTTTGTGGAAATAATCTTAAAAAGAAGAAAAAACGATGGAGTAATACACTAATGATTATTTCCAAAATGATGGTAAGGTAAACATCTTTCAAAAAAGAACGAAAAATCCTGAAATCTTATGAGGAAATTTTTTTTTTTTTAAAAAATGGTGGGAAAATGTATCGAATTTCTTTCCGGTTTTTTGGTTTTCCTGTTTTCTGATTTCCGGATAACGGGTTCTGTACTGTTATAATAAAAACAATCTGCCTAAAGTCTTAATTTAGACAAAACAAAATCAAAAACCTAATAATAGCAGTATAGGATATTTAAGCCTTTAAATAATGGAATTAAAAATATTTATAGGAAAACAATAAATTTATGACTTACCTCAATTTTATGCTGATGACAACCAAAACAAATTGAAAATAGTGTGGGAAAACTGGATCCTACCATGTGATTTTCAAACTAATAAAAATATATTGACAACAATGAAAAACTACAACACCATCATTACATTTATATATATAGTAAGAAATAATGATTATTTATTATTATAATTTTACTCCTTGTTTTTTGATGCTGTTATTTTAAATAAAAACCTATGATTGAAATAATATTTAAATGAGGTACCTTTTGTCAAAAGTAAACATGTAATTTAAAATCGTCATATGTCTTAATTCTCTATATAGTGGTCCGATGGCATTGTGGCTATTACATTTCGGGAATTTGCTTTTTCTAAAAGCCCTAACAGGAAGTGGGTAGTATTCGATGGTCCAGTTGATACCCTCTGGATAGAAAGCATGAACACTGTCTTGGATGATAACAAAAAAGTAAGGTTTATGTTTTTCTATTTGTATACTGTATACTTTCTACCTATCTATCAGTATGTATCTATATCTATGTGTGCAGATTGTGGCTTTTGAATGATTCTTGTTGCACCGTTTTCCTTAATTTAGCCAAAAAAGTTCTGAAAACTGGATAGGTTGGAAAAAAAAATATAATGAAATTTTTGAAACATCATATCAGTATACAGTAAAAGCTTGTCATAACAAGAATTCATAATAACATCATATTAGCTTTTTGCTATAAGCAAATACTTATATCGTAATAAAAAGACTAAAAAAAGGTAATAGGCATATTTACCTTTATTTCTTCTGTTTTGAACAACTGTTTTGAATTAATATACGCATATAGAATAGATTGCTTTTGTCTATAGATTGTAGAATAAATTCATAGCTGCCAACTCTATTGGATTTTCCAGTAGACTACTGGATTTTGCCAGTTATTCATAGTCTACAGGTTTAATAAAAATTCTCCTGGTTTATCAAAAGTTCTCCCAGTTTTGGTACATTTTAGAAAATTCTCTAAAACTGAATAAGTTTTCTAAAAAAAAATCTTCATTGAAATAGAATTTTTAGTATAGATTATTGCTTGCTTGAATACTTAAATAAGCATGTTACTAATGCATCATGAAGCATGCCTCATTTATAGAAATCAGTTTAAAATTGTTTTTTTTTTTCTAAAATGTTCAGTTTACTTTTATTTAGAACTCTGTTTTCAATAAATTGAAAAATATTGACTCTCTTTGATGAATTAAATGCCTATTACTATTCAAAGTTATGAGTAAATATAAAGCGTAACATTTCAAGTTTGTTTAATGTCAATCATAACTGGAAAATATTGCAGTTTTATTATTTTGATGACTATAAAAATCCCTAAAATTTCCTGTGTGTAAAATATTTATAACATCATGCAACAATTATCATGAAATTTATATTTCCTGAAATCTACTGGATTTTTTCCTATCCATATTGGCAGCTACATAAATTACATAGCTCTGTACTTTTATGAAAGGCAGAAATGTCTCAGAGAAATATGTTTGAACAACGAGTTTCTAAATCATAAAGGGAAGAAAATAAAAGGAAATGCAATACATTTTGATATCATTGATTTTAATACAAAATTTTCATGAAAGGATATAAAGGAGTGTGATATATGTGCTGTCAACAAAAGGCACATACCTTTGAAGGGCATGAAAAGATTTCTTAAAATAGCAGAATTTATCTTTCGTTAAGAAGCAGATAGCTTTTCTGATTGTTGCCCGCATAATGCACTATAAATATAAGGGGTTAAAATTGTAAGAAGAAAACAATTTTCCTTTTTTGCTTTCACCTATTGATTCCAGAAATAAATAATTATAATTTATTTTATTATTTTTCTTTCAAACTTTTCTTTTGTTAAGAAAAAATAGCTTTTCTGATAGTTGCCTGCATAATTCAAAATTTTTTCACTTTTTATAGCTTTGTCTGATGAGTGGAGAAATCATCCAAATGTCTAATTTAATGAGCATGATCTTTGAAGTCATGGATTTATCACAAGCTTCAGTAAGTGCGAAAATGATTTGCTATATTTTTGCTTTTTGCAGAGCCTGTTTTTTTTAAATTTATTATTCTTGCATAATCTTTTAGCATTTATTATTGTTGCAATTATTCCAACCTTACAGATTAAAATATTTCTTTTTAATATGTATTTGAATTATATATTTTATAACCAGTGTTGAGCAGCTGACCGAATTTTGACTGAATTTACGACAATCAAAATATGTAATAGATAGCAAGAACAGTAATTATGAGTCTTAATTGTATCGTGTTTACCACTAGGATACTCAGGCTCGTGTCTATTCTATTCTGTTTCGTCTGCCAATTTTATTATCTTCTAAAATTTTCTGTCCCTTTTTTTTATTCTGTGTCAATTAATATTATTTTTGATTATTTTATGAATGCAGTCTGTTTATTTGTTTTATGTGATATATACTCGGATGTGTCAACTATTTAAACAATCGAATAGAGAATAGAAATGCATTGGATGAAAGATATAAAAATATCTTCAAAAGATGCATTCGATAACACCAAACTTGACACCCCCTTTCAACTACTGGGGTTATGGAACAGTTTTTAAAATCTTATTCTTACTTATATTTTGTATTGCAAATTTGGTTTCTCCAGAAGAAAAAAGTGCCCCAATTTGTTCTACATTTTTCTTAGGCATTTCATTTCACATAATGTGCTGCAATCGCAAAGTAAAACTAAGCAAATAGTATCAAATAAATAAGGAAAGCAAGAAAACAGTTGCCATCTTTTTTTTCTTTCTGCCCATTAAATGTGGGCATAGTTTGTTTTCAAATTTCAGTTTGGTTAAAGATTTTCAGAAAGTAGTGTACTGTGGTTTGAAATAGGACTATTTTTAAGTAGGTTTCAACACTGTTTTCCTTTTGTAATTTGTTTGTATACGTTACTTTTGTATTGTGTATTTCTTTTCTCTTTTCCTGGAATTTTTACAAAATCTTTGGTGTACAGACAGAGCAATTTTTAGCTATTTGTCGTGCTCTCTCGATAGAAAAGGTTTTGTGTTTTTATGACTTCAGGAGCTGGTACCCCCTGACGACATCAGCTTCAGTTGTCATTTTTATATTTTCATTATTTTCTTATTTAAAATTTTCTATCAGCTGTTGATAGTGAAGCTTTAGTAGTGCTGAGCTGATAGATTGAATATCTGCCTGAGAATTTTACTTTTAGATGCTTGATCGAATGCTCTTTTCTTAAAATATTTGACAATTTCTATACTTTTTGGACACCCTGTTAATAATACTTTTCCTATTCCTTTTAGCCAGCTACAGTTAGTCGGTGTGGTATGATTTACATGGAACCCACTGCTCTTGGTCGGGTGCCCAAAGTACATTCATGGCTGAATACTATCTCGGATGCTTGGAGTGCTGATAACAAAGCTCTTATTTTCGCCCTCTGCAACTGGCTGATTGAATCAACGACAGAATTTGTGAGGAAGCATTGCAAAGTAATTTAATTTTTTTGTCATTATAATACCCACCTTCTTCCCCTTATGATAGGTCAAACATTTGGCTTTTTGCAAATCACCGTCATTTCATTTTGTAGTATGCTTCACCAATGGTTTCCAACCTAGGGGCGATGGCCTTAAAGAGTCGGGTCGATAATCCCTGGGTTTTTTAATTAATAATAATAATAAAAAAGTCAGCAAATCTCTCCATATCTGGATCCCTTCAACATGTTTAGTAGAAAGAATATTTAGTTTGGTCATCACAAAACAAAGAAGTAGATTGGACATTTGCTTCAAAGGAGACCTATGCTTAAATTTGATGAACATAAAGTCCCCTGAGGCAGAATTTCTGCGATCTATCTGCGACAAAACTCTAGCACTAATATCTTTCTGCAAGATAGTTTTACTAATAACAAACATATACGTTATTAATTTAAAATAACAAAAACGTTGTGTTTACCACAAAAAAAACTATTATATATGTTTTTTTTACTTGAACTTGTAAAATTTTTTTATTCTTATATTATTAGTGATATTCACGAATTTTATTTGGGGGAAAACTCACTACTCTAGAGAAATCAATAGCAATAACTGCCAAAAATTAGATAGAATCATTGCCTTAAAAAGTAAATACTCAAATGCATGATTCAAATTTTCCATATTATTTGAAATCTATCGGTATGTTTAAAAACCATGGGAAAATTAATATCAATAACCGTCGAAAATTAGATCGAAAAATTACATTGATTTACGATACTAACGGCGTAAATTGATCGAGTCCAAAAGTGATTATCTAAATGCATGATTTAAATATTACATGACAATTTCTGTGGAAAAGTAAATTAAAATTTTTTTACTTTTCAAAAGAAAAGTCTTTCTGCAAGAACTCCGTAACGTTCTGCGACAATGTCGCCGTGTTGCTGCGATTCTGCCACTGGGATAAAGCCTGATATCCAAACTTTAATTTAAATCCACCAAGCGCGAGGCAATAATTGAGAAAGTAAAAATGAATAATTCAGTTATCAATTTTTCCGCATTACATTAAAAAAATTCATTTGAAAAAATGTATTCTTGTTTCAATTATTTTGCTTGAAATAATATCTCTTTTTTTTTTAAAAAAAAAAAGGGATGCACATTTTGAAAGAAAAAAAAATACAAAAGTGACTGGATAAAATTACTTTATTATTTACATTTTAATTTAAATTAAAATCAGGTATAATTTAGCATATATTCAAATTTATTAATGTTCACTCGTTACAATGTTATGTCTACAATGTCTTTTTTCTATCAAAATGAAAAAAGGGGCGATAAATGTCAGCCAACTTGTAGAGGGTGGACTAGACTATAATTGGAAAATTCATTAATATTTAATAATTATCCTAACAAATTTTAGAATTATTGCGATGAACTAAAGATTTGAGTATAATAAGATTATGTGCCATCCTTTGCTCAATCAACTTGATTTATTTGACGCTAAATAATTTACCTGTATTGATCTTAGCTGTTTCGATCTTAATCAACAGGAGGTGATTCCAATGAGTGACAGTGAAAAAGTGGATTCTTTTCTCAAAATGGTGGAGATGATCATGAGTGATGCTTGCGCTGATGAGGAAGCAAAAAAGATACAGAATGACAAAAAGATTCTGAAGGGATGGATCATAGGAGTTTTTATGTTTTCTACTGTGTGGTCCATTGGCGCTACTTGTGATGAGCAAAGTCGAGAAAAATTCAGTGATTTTCTTAAGATATTGACAATTGGTGAAAATTCAAACTACCCAATACCGACTGAAGTTGGAATGAAAATTGATTGCACTTTTCCAAAAGAACTGTCTGTGTATGATTATAAATTCATGGTAAGAAGTAAATTTAGTTGCATTTTTTGCAAATTATTTTATCAATGTAACTTTTGCTTTAGAAATTATCCTCTAGTAAGCCATAAGTATTCAAGCGTAGACTATTTTTTGTACCATAATTTTCCTGAAATTTGATCGAAATAAGTCTAATAGTTTATAGATTGAAATCATCCTTCCTTGAACAAAAAGCCTTAAAACTTTTTTAAAAAAAAAACTTTGAATTCAAGATTATAGTCAAGTAATAGTGTTTAAATTATGTGGAATGTTTTATAAAGATTTGCATAAAATCCACTTTTTAAAATATTGCATATTTTTTTCATTTTGTGATAATATTTGAATATAATGAATTCATAAAGTAGTGTACATTTTTAAACTTAAAACTATGTAAATGTTGAATGCTCTTAAGATTCAAACTGTTATGTTTTAATTTAACTTTGTATAAAGATTTTTTATGTTGAATGCTCTTAAGAGTCAAACTGTTATATTTTAAAAATTTAACTTTGTGTGGGGATTTTTTTACATTATGTTCAATTATGATTCACTAAAGTAAATTATTTTTGAACTTTTGTTTTTAAAGATAAGGGGCAGAGGTCAATGGTTTTCTTGGAGAGACTCCATAGTCCCTTTGACCACTACAAATATTAGCATGAGAGACATCATAGTTCCCACTGTGGATACAGTAAGATCCTCTTACCTGATGGATCTTGGAATACGTCACAAAAGGTATTTTTTAGTTAATTATTCTTTGACTTTTTGTTTCTATATTAATGTTCATGGCAGTTTTTTAACCCACGTTCTTTAAAGTCTTGGCATACGTGCCAAGTCTCCTGTTTTTTAATGAAGACTCCTGTATTTTACAACTATCTCCTGTTTTCTCGTATATTCTCAAATTTCTCCGTATTTATTGGGATTTTAAAGAAAAGAAATTTGGCAATAAAATATCTGATGGCAAAAATACTTCTCTTTTTCCTCAACAGATAGTGCTATTTCCAGTACTGCAGTATGTTTTGTGACAATAGTTTAAGTACACGTTGCAGTCAGGTTAACCATGGGACGTTTTCATGGTTTTCTTCCCCACGTAACGTAAATTCTGGTTAGTTCCGTCAAAAAGCCCTCCACGAAGGTAAATTTCTTCCAGTACTTGATTGATCCAGAAGTTTCCTTATCTTCTGGATTGGGTTTAAAATTACAAGGCTACGGAGTCGGACATTGGTAGTTGTAAACCCAAAATTGGGTCGACTGTTTAACAATGGTTATAAAATAATTTAAGTAATAATAAATAATGGTTTTGAAAAATCTTTTTCAGATTAAGATTAATATATATATTTTTTGCTAAATGTAAATTCTTATATTTCCAATTTTGAATTTCTCTTTTTTACTTACATGATTATGCATAATGTACTCGTAGCCTAAAAAATCTCGCTTGTAAGATCTCCGTTATTTTATTCCTCCAATATTAGCAGGTAGATCTTGGGTTCAAATCCAGTGTATAGGTAGCAATAGCAAATGGAGAAAATTTGAATCACGATAAATGATTTGCCTTTTATGTTCTCTTATAACAATTATTTTCATCTTGTGTGACACTTTTATGTGAATTTTTTTTAAAAATCTGCATAATGCTTATTACAAAGAGTCTTGTTTCAAATCTATATAATAGAAATGGGATCTATTTATTTTTTCTTCTTTGTTTCATATATTTTTTTATTGTATTTTCAAAATAAGTTGTTTAGGTAAAAAGCCTCTCAAAAGCACCATTCTTTTTTGTGAAATCCCCCCCTTGATGAAATAAAAGTTAATTTTTTAACAGTAAACTTGTATATTTACAGTGGCGTAGTTTCAATGTATGTGCGAAGAGGGTTATTGGTTATCTTCTTCTGTTGTTGTTGTTTAAAGCAGATGGGGTGCGACTGTTCTCATTTTCCAGTAGCGCCATCTATGGCCAAAAGTTCGACTTCTGCCGCACTCATACGTCACATCTGTTCATAGGGCGAACCCATTCATTCATCCACAGATCGTAATTTTGACGTGAACAAGAGAACGATCAATCTCCAATTCAGTACCCCCAGAGATATAATTTTTTATGGTAACATGGAGGACTTTATGACCCGACAGATTTAACTAGCACTAGTTACCATTTACTGCACAGGGAGTCTTCGGACACTGGACTCCCGTTCTCACAAACGTGAGTCCAGTGTCCTGCCATCCTGGATATCCCGTCCCTATCTCTTTCAAATATATATATATATATATATATATTATAAATGTTTTAACTACAAAAAACTGAATAATAAAAACTTTCTTATATTTACATCCTACTCACCGTACAATAGTTAAGTAATGAAGTAATATATGTAATTTTGGAGGGGGTTTTGTCCCCTAAACCCTCCCCAAAACTACGCCACTGTATGCTTATGGAAAAAGTTGTTTTTTTATTCAAAGTAATAATATTTGGGTTATATTAAATTAATGTAATTTTACTATTTCAAGATTTTATAATCATATTTTTATTATGATTTATGTCATTTTTCGATAATTAAATAAAATGTGTTTGTTCATATGTAATGGGACATTATGTAGGGAGGGATCATACAGAGAGATTCCCTTTAATTTAAATTTTCTTTCAGTGTTATGTTCCTTGTGGTTTTTTGTAAACATAAAACTTTTCAGATAGTTTATACAGCGATTTATGCTTTGCAGATAATTGAGGAACCAAGGTTTTGACACGTTAATCAGGTCAAAATCTCGGTTCCCAAATTTTTTTTTCCTAAACGAATTTAAAATTCTTAGTTCAAAAAGATTAATGTGAATACATCACTGTACCTAGCTGAAAAAAGTTTAGACAAACATTTTTTATACAAACAGGTATATCATTTCATAAAACCAATCTACTAAAACATGGTGCGTAGTGTTTTTAAAAAGTGCTAATTTTCCATTTTCGTTTTTTAAAAGCACTCAAAGATGTTCTTTTTCATGGGGTGTTTTTAAAAAGTGCTCAATTTTCCCTTTTCGAAAATGAGAATTTTTTTCCATGTCGATTTTCGCCACATATTATGAAAAAGCGTACTTTTCACATTATTCTATTCAGCTTTTTCACAATTCATTCAACCACTATCTATTTCGGCGTACCGTCGGTCCGTAGCATATGAAAGCACCAATCATTTTACATGTTTTATGAAATACTGAGTCCCCATGTGCGTCGACAGAGCTGGATTTGGTAAGATTCTTGCACTCTTACGTGCAACTCTGCTGCATTTTGGAAGATATTCTCAATTTCAGGCTTCATTTTCCACGCTCTGATATCAAAGCAAAAAAAATCTTGATAATTTTATAATGGCTAATATAATCAAGAAAAGAGTTTTTTTTGTCAGAACCTAGTTATTTCTATCATGATCATGTAAATTCTTTGAAAATTATTTTGTATTTTGTTAATGTATATAGTGCTTAAAAATAATTTTTGAGTGCTTAGAAAGTGCTTATTTTTTCTGAGAGATTTGGCTACACACCCTGCTAAAAAAAAAGCTTTAATACTCTTTTAGAATTAACATAATGCTTTCTTTGACAATATGTAGCTCCTGAAATTTATATTTTAACTATATTTGGATTTTTATTTAACTTAACCTACTGGCGGTTATGCACATAAAAAGTCGTATTTTAACCTGCAGTCTTCACCGCATAGCAAAACCAGTTTTTCTATGTTATTGGATAGGGATATAGTGTATTGGGGAGAAACATTCCCTCAATCTTGCCCTTTTGCTAAACCTCCAGTGGGTTAATACCATATTTCTTTTCAGACCTCTGTTACTCATAGGTCCAACAGGAACAGGCAAAACAGCTTATGTTCAAGATAAGATGATGAAAGGACTTGATAAGGATGCTTTTATACCTTCTTTTATTGCTTTCTCCACACAAACTTCAGCTGGACAAGCTCAAGTAAGCATTCTACTGATGATTTATTTTTTTATCCAAATTAATTATTCACTGATGGAGTTAAAAATACAGAACTCTTTTTCATTTCCTTTTTTTTTGTTGATAGGACATGATCATGTCAAAACTGGAGAAAAAAAGGAAAGGTGTTTATGGACCACCATTTGGGAAAAAGTGTGTAATATTCATCGATGATCTGAACATGCCTGCTGTTGAAATGTATGGTGCACAACCTCCTATAGAACTTTTGAGACAGTTTTTTGACCATGGAATATGGTAATATAGTTTGTATTCAGCTATCATGTATTTTATTTAATAACATGTTGAAAAGCCAACCTATTTTTTGTATTACTACTGTTGATGCTCATGTAATTTTGAACCCAAACCTGCAGTCGTGAACTAGTAGTTCATTGGGACAAACTAGTCTTTGTGGAGGACTTTTATGAAACTAACCTGCAATTACATTACATAGAGAGGAAAACCACAAAAACCTCCTGTGGGGAGAGGAGTTATCAACAATGTCAACCTTCATCTATGGAAAGGTACTTCAAGATAGAATCGAGTTAACATGTCTTATATACTAGTGAATTGGAATAGATTATTGTAGTGGTAGTTACACTACATTGATCGAGACTGAGTAGCAACAGTGCGAGGAGAACAATACCGCAGTCACAAATAGCAAGTCAGCTGTTCAATATGTTCTATCCACTGAAGTAGGCATGTTTAAAAGGAAGTGAGCGTTGCTGCCAAGATAGGGGTGTTCAGATTACTCTCCAAGGTCACCAACGTGGGGAGAGGAGTTATCAACAATGTCAACCTTCTTCTACCTAATGGTACCTCAAGATAGAATCGAGTTAACATGTCTTATATACTAATGAATTGGAATTGATTATTGTAGTGGTAGTTGCACTACACCTCCCATGGTTAGTTCAGCGGATAAAATGTTACCCACAGTCTATTTCACAGGAGGATATCTTATGTCGGCACTGTGATTGATGTGAGCTGGGTGCAAAATTTGTAATGACTAGCTATTGCTGGGATTTGAACCTGGGTCACTTTATTCGAAGGTGAGTGCTCTATCCTTGAGCCACCATGACTCAACTATCATGCATGACATTCTGAATCTCTGTATTTTTGGAAAAACTGTTATTGTTGTGATCAGATTTTATATTTTACCCACGTATAAGAGCTTAAATCATTTCTCAATGTTGTATGGAATCGACTAAGCAATAGAGAATAGATAAATGAAAAAGATTGTGGTCCATGGAGATCAAGATTCAGACAGAAAGTAAGAATTTATTGACATTAAGCAGACAAATTTTTCGCAAATTTAAAAAGAAGGCCATATGGCAGTATAAAAAAGAAAAAGACTTTGTAGAAATCCTTCCCTGGGAATGACAACTAAGATTAATGGAGATAAAGAGATAAAATAGACTTTTAGAGCTATATAAAATAATAGAGACTGTGTTCGGTATAGATAGGTAGAAAAAATATAGAGAGAGACTGATAGAGGAAATAGCAGAGTTGGATATTGATAGAGAGACATAGATTAAATCGATTTATGGAGATAAATAGATAAATCAGCCTGATTCAGATTGATAAATAGGTAGAAAAATAGTAAAGATGAAAACTGATAAATAAAGTACATAAAAGAGAGATAAGAGAGATTGATTAATGAAATGGAATAATAGACACTTTTGTCTAGGCATTTTGTATTAGAGCTTTTAGAAAGCTCCCCCATTTATTATTGTTTTATGATACATTCCCATAGGAGAAATATTTTATATATTTTTCAAAGTTTAAGTGATTTTTTTCCCTTTTTCTAAATAAAGCTTCTAAAAAAATGAAAATCTTATTGTAAAGTTATTGTAACTGTGTGGGGAGAGTTGTTATCGACAATGTCAACCTTCATCTAGGAAAAGGTACCCCCTTCATAGAATCGAGTTAACAATTCTTATATACTAGTGAATTAGAATTGTATTTTTGTAGTGGTAGACACACTACAACTATTTTTTTCTTCTATTCTATCTCATTCACTCTATTTTTTGATTGATTTATGTGCCATAAATTTGTGATATTTATGTTGCTTGTTAAAATTTTAGGTATGAGAAAAAAGAGAAGTGCGAAATCCGCCTTGTAGACACTCAGTTCATAGGAGCGATGGGTCTTCCTGGTGGAGCTCGTAACAATATAACGCCAAGACTCATGCGCCACTTTGGTATCATAGGCGTCAATCCTTTTAGTATATCGACTATGATCTCTATTTTCTCTTCTGTGATAAGCATCTATTTTAAGGTACTTATGATTCCTGTTGATTTAGACTTGCTTAACCTTTTTGTTTCTATACACATGGTGCATAGCGCTTTTAAAAAGTGCTTAAAGGTGCTTATTTTCGATTTTCGTTTTTTAAAAGCCCTCAAAGGTGCTTTTTTTATTAAGTGTTTTTAAAAAGTGCTTAATTTTCACTTTTCGAAAAGAAATATTTTTCTTTGCCATGTCAAATATCGTCACATATCATGCGAAAGCGTGATTTTCACATTGCTTTTGGTGAAGTTAAATTATATTGTAAATAAACAGTTCAATGTGAGAAAAATAAATATTTTAATTAAGGTTATAGCATGATTATATAGTTAAAAACAAACTTCGTCGATAAACGACACTTCTATTGATGTTTTCATAATTACAACAATAAATGTTGCCAAAAGGAAAGAAACAAAAAATCAACACATAATTTAGATTACATGCAGTAACCTAATTGGTTGATTCTATCATCGTTGGTTTTATCAATTAATCATTACTTTAGGTTTATAATATTTGGTTAAAAATATGCCTTATTTCTTGTTCTGGTATTTGATATTACTTTCAGTTTTTTCAATGTTTTTACAATTAATTTAAACAGGATGCTTTTCAGCTTACCGTCAGTCCGTAGGTGTATGAAAGCGCCAATTGTTTTCATGTTAAATTAAATACATCCGGGTCTGCATGTGCATATACTGAGCTGAGTTCCGTGAGATCCTTGCACTCTTATGTGCAAATCTGCTGCAATTTACTAGATATTCTCAATTTCAGGCTTCATTTCCTACCCTCTGAAATTGAACTGAAGAATCTCTCCATCTTTTTATGGTGGCTAATATAATCAAGAAAAGAGATCTTTGTCAGAAACTAGTTATTGTATAATGATCATGTAAAGTTTTTGAAAATTATTTTGCATTTTGTTATGTATATAGTGCTTAAAAATATTTTTTGAGTGCTTATAAAATACTTAAAATATGCTTATTTTTTGTTGAAAGATTTGGCTTTGCACCCTGAACAAACAATGTTAAGTGGGAAAGAAAGGTGTCTGGAAAAACTTATCAAATAGTGTAATATTAAAGGTAACAAAATATTTAAAAAGTAACAAAAATTTGAATTATGCACTTAAAAAATTAAATTAGGTGCTTTAAAGCCAGAAAATGCTTAATATGTATATATTTTTGATGAAAGAGAAAAGTAGTTAAAATTGATTGGCAAGTAACATTACTTAAGATTTTATCCTTAATTGTAAATAATTTCATCGTTGTATTTCTGATTTTCAATAGTGCAATGCCATAACGAAAGTTCTTGAAATGGGTTTTCTCCCTGCCCTCCTTTCAACCACCACTGGGATTGAACTGTGATGGTTCAGGGAAAAGAGCTTTCGTAGCATTATCAATGTAATTGTGCTTAATTTACGTAATAAAGGAAACTACAAATTATTGGTGTTTATAAATTTGTCCAGCTGCAAAATCTAATATTAAAATAATTTTATGTGGTTGAAAGTTGAGCATTGAATGTCCTTTTTTCTCTCCCTTCAGAACAATCATTTCCCCCCTGAAGCCCACCTGATTGGTGAAACAATAGTGATGGCCACAGCCGACATTTACAGCTCTGTCTTGAAACATCTGCTGCCAACTCCAGCAAAGTCCCACTATACATTCAATTTGAGGGATTTTGCCAGAATCATTCAGGGCTGCTGTCTCATCAAGAAAGAATCGCTTGAAAAGAAAAAAATACTCACCAGGTTAACACTCTCTCTTCATTAATCATGATATTTTTCTAATCTTAAGCTGCTGCAAAAACCGACTTTTCCCCCCCACACCACTCAACTCACTTTTGCATGGCTCTTCTTTTTTAACAACGTGGAAGGAATGCCACTTAATTTTGGTCAAACAATGCAACCCCTCTGTCCAAACTTTTACACTTCAATCATTGAGAATTTTCTCCAATTTTCCCCATTTTGTAATGCTCCAAAGGTTATTTTTCGTCTTATTGCCTTAAAGATTTTTTCCACAGGCAATATAGATATTATCTTAATGACATATGAAAGTCAAATGCATAAAAGAACTATGCTATTGGAATGAAATCATATATAAACAAAAAATCAAGAATTAAAGTCTCTGGCAATGTCAGAAGAAGATGCTGTTTTTCATAACAGCTGAAGTGATAGTGAAATGTTCTGCTCATAAAGGGCAGGCAGGACTATCCGCCAACTAGAATTGATAGATCCAGTTCACATGTACTGTGAAATCCCCAGGAAAGACCACCTCTATATAACGACCTATTCTATATAACGACGTCTTATATTTATGATCACTTTTGGGAGGAACGGAATTTGTCCCATGGACTTTGCGTTGAAGAAAACTTTTAGGAGAGACCATCAAAACCTCTGCCAGTGATCACGCCAAATACAGAAAAAGTTAATAAAAGAAACACGAAAAAATATCAAAACAAAAAATATCAGCAAAACAAATAAGTAGATTGAAATATATTCAAAATATTTGTGTGAGGTTTTTATTTAGAGAGCTTTTTTTCACAATCTCTGATGCTGCATGTTGCAGTCAGAGTGCAGTTTTAGTTTTTTTTATGTGTATCTTGCAATTTTTGATTAAAGATTTTTGATAAAGATTGCAATTTTTGATAAAGTAAAAAGCACTTAGATATATAATTTTGTTATAAGCTTTTTTTTTTTAGAATTTAATTGGATTTTTTTTCTTTTTTGCAGTCATATGAGGGTTTTTTTTACAATCAAATGACTTTTTTTTTCTGATTCTGATTTGAAATTTTTTTTCTGATATTTTAATATAGTTTCATTACTATCAGTCCCGCAATAGACTGCTCATATATATTGCTACCCGGTCCTGGTTAAACTTTTCTGACGTCAAGTGCTCGAACTTGCTCGTACCATCCCATCTGCAAAGGATCAAAATTGTGATTGCATATCATCCTCAGGGATGTTTTCCAGAAGGTTGCCGTTAGCCCATTGTGCAGCTCTAGTGCAACGTAAATAAAGTATCTACCTCTTAGAAATTGTATTTATAATTAATGTAAAATTTAAATTTCATTTCATCTCTGAGCAATCATTATTCATCTTAAAATAAAATAAAAACTTATTAGAGTTATTTGATTTTAAAACTAGTTTAACCCTTTTTTAAACCCTTTAACAGTCCTGCATATGGGTAATAGTGATTATACTTACATTCTTTCCTACATAGCAAAATAATTTTCCTACTTTTTTAACAAGGTTAAAGAGATTTAAAGCAAAGTCATTGTTTGATTAGCCCATTTATGAAATCTAGAAAGGATTATTATAATCTATTATTTAATATTCCAAGATTCAGATAGAAAGTGCAACTTTTTTCCATCTTTAATAATAAATATAAAATAAAAAAATAATGAAATTTTCTAGATATTTATTATATTAGGTATTTTTTTAAAATCTAATATATGTTTTTTTGAAAAATGCATCTCAACTACTGGTAGAGTTTGGTATATTTTCTTCTTTTTTTTAAAATCTCATATCAAAATCCTTTTTAACTTTCCAACAGCCAAAAAAATTTTGGTATGTTATGTTCTTTTTTTTTAATAGTGCAAAAATCGTTTAGCTAATAATTTTTTACCTTTCTAGTAAAATTTCAGAAAGTGGGTGAAATAGTTTTGAATCATGAGATTCTTTGAGAAAATATTCTCTTTTTTTCTAAGAGCTCTTTAAAATGTAATTTGTTCTTCCTTATGTAATATTGTTTACTTTAATCAGGTTATGGGTGCATGAAGTATATCGTGTCTTTTATGATCGTTTGACAGATAAGGAAGACTGCGATTGGCTGTTTCAGTAAGTATTACCACAAAAATGGAATAATGTATAATGTTGTTTTCTACTAAAGTTTATTTTTTATTCTGTATAAACTGGATTGTCAATATAGATACATGTGTAATAATAAAATTATTTTTAGTGGTACAAAATAATAATGGTTTTAATATGAAAGCTGAGTGACTAGAACTTAACATCTTAAGTGACATTTCATTGAATTATCATTTAAAAAGCTGTCAACTATTATCTTTGAAGATTTTACAATTAGTGTTCTTTATATACAATTCATAATATCCAGAAAAAATATGTGTTGTATTAAAATGTTTGAATTAACATGTGTATTATGAATATTCAGCATTTCATGAAAGATCATAGCTTTTATTGAAGCATTGTTTTAATTTTCTATTTTTTTTTAAACTCAATGAGTTTAAGTAGTAATGTACAGTTATATGTAGTAGTAATGTACAGTAATAATTATATAGTAATGTACAGTGCACCAAAAAACAAACCACCCTGAATAACTTGTGATCTAATAATTGGATCTTCACGTTCTAGGACTCAATCCTAATGGTTTGAGAGGCTGACCTCAAATATGCTAGTTGATTAGTACAGATTATATCTTAAGTTACAAAATTAGACGCAAAAGCGCATTTTCTCTGAATAAACATACCATTTGTTCAACGGATTCGGATTTCTGACCCCCAAAATATAGGGGGTAATCGTAATCTGGGAAATATGGTTCCCATAGTTTAGCCCCTAGTGCGATCAAAAGTTCAGACCCCTTAATGTTAATTTTACTTTTTGCATATTTCACCACATCTCGAGAAATTTTTAAGTGAATTAAAATTTTTTTTAGTTAATATTTATAATAATAAATTTTAGTAAATAGTTAAAGGAAAATATAAATTTTAGCTAATATTTGTTATTTTATTTAATAATAGTCGAAATATAATACGACTAATATATAACTAAATTTCAAATTTACTACTTTCTTAAAATTCGATTTCTCAGGAAACTATTCAACCGATTTCGCTCAACTTTTGCTTTTGGTCATACATAATTACTTACTTTAAAATGATGCAAAAATTTTATACCTTACTCTTCAAAATTTTTTCGACTATTATTAAATAAAATAATAAAAAGTAATAAATATTATCGAACATTTATTTTTTCCGTTAAATTATCTTTAGATAAACCAATTTTAGAATTGTATACAAAAATTTTTGCAATTCGCCTAAAAATTTCTCGAGATACAGCAAAATACACAAAAAAATAAAATTAACATTTAGGGATCATAATTTTGGATTGCTCTCCTGATCAAACTTTGGGGACCATATTTCCCAGATTGCGGCGATGTTTTGAGGATCAAAAATCCAAATCCGTTGAAAATAAAATATGTTTATGCAGAGAAAGTGCGTTTTTGTGTCTGATTTTCATATTCAAAATTGTCCTGTTTTTTTTCCTTCTTTTTTTGCACACTGTACACTGCACAAAATGAAAAGTGAACATCCTGTAGTACTGATCGAACTTTCATGTTTTAGAATTCAATTTTAACAGCTGATATGTAACCTTAAATATGTTAGTGAATTGGAACAGATTATATTTTAAACTACAAAATCAAGCACTCAAACATACTTTCTCGGATTCAGAATTTTAAATGAGGACTTTTTAAAAATTTGATAACTTATAAAGTATTCAACTGATTTTGCTAAAATTTGCTATTTTGCCTTTTAAAATTGCATTGTTTAAAATGTAAAAAAAATGTAAACTTCACAATTAAATTTTTTTTCTTTTTTTGCGTGGAATTATTTTTGGATAAAGGAAATTTATAATTGTGAGCAAAAATTTTTTCGATGAGGTCAAAAAGTTTTTAAGATATGAGAAAATGCACATTGAGGCTTAAAACTTTTGTCCTCTCGCCTGACCAAACTATTGGGACCATATTTCACATATTTCGGCTACCCTACTTTATATTTTGAGGACCAAGAATGTGAATAGGCTGAAAAAAAGGTACATGTGTTTATGGAAAATACATTTTTGTGTCTGATTTTATAATTTAAAATATTGTCTGTGTTAATTAACTAGCATATTTAAGGTTAAGCCATTGAACCATAAAGATTAGTCATAGTATCTGAAAATTCTATCGTTAAATCAAAAGATATTGAGGGTTTAGGTTTTTTATATTATTTAATGTACCTGATCCAATTAAAAAAAATACTGTAATAATTTTCTATGCAATGTTTAAAACTTAAGTCTTTGCTAAATTTCAATCTTAATGATTTGAAAGGTTTAAGAAAATACCATATTATTATCCTAAAATATACTATTTATTTGACTGAAACATATAACAGTGATAACCCAGGTAAGAACACCTCTATTTACGACCACGTTTGGAAGGTGCAGAATTTTTCCATAGACTTTTGTGTTGAAGAAAACCTTTAGGGGAGACCATTAAAACCTCTCTCTGCGACCGGGCAAACCTCTGCACCAAATGTGGAAAAGGTCAAATAAGGAAATATGAAAATATATTAAAACAAATAAGTGGATTAAAAATATTTGTTAAGGTATGCAAATTTTTATTATTTTTTTTTAATTGACAAATGTAAAATTTGAAGTAAATCAAATATTTTTGGCTGTGTAATGAAATTTCCAAAAAGTCATAATATTAAATTTTTATTTCTCAAGAAATATTCTTCTGATAAAGTTAAGTTTTTTGCCAGTTTAATTAATTTAAAATTACACTTTCTGTACCTCAAAAATCTTTTTTCATCATTATATTAAATAATATATAGTATATTCTCGATGTCTCAAAGTTGAAGGGATGCTAAAAGAAATTTCGACAAAGTGAGTTTTCGAGATAATAAGATCAGAACTTAAAATGTTCTGAAAAGTAAAAAAATATCTTCTGAAATATTACTCTAAGTAAGATAAAAATAATGATCAGTAAAAGGAAAAGAATTGGTTTACTTACACTGTAATTTTTCCAAATTTTTTTTTTCTATTTCTAAAAAAATATGACATAGCAAGGTTTTGAAAAGAAACCTTTCGACATAGGAATTCAAATTAATATTACTAGGTGGATATATCAGCCTTTTATCCCTTCAGTGGTTCGATAAATGAGTACCAAGCATGCTTGGGAACTAAACACTGGGGGTTCCGCATTTGGCTGACCACCTAACCGGAACATCTGCTCCTGCACACCAGAGCCCAAGGACAAGAAAACTGAGATGGGCACAATAGGCCTTGGCCCTCTATGGGCTGTCATGCCACTGAGTTTATTTTAGTTTTTAGGTGGATATATAGTACCAAGAGGAAAAATATTTTTTTGACATAACAAGGTTTTCGAGATATGAAGAGTAAAATTGATAATTAATTTACTTATAATTAATTTGCTTATTTAAATTAAGACATTTAAGCCGCATTAAGACTGTAGCTGATTATTAGATCAAAAGTTATTAGGGTGTACTGTTTTTTTATTTTGTATTTTATATATGCTTTTGCAGACAAACAAAGGAGACAATGGAAATACAGTTCAAAGAAAACTTNCAAAATATAGGGGTAATTGTAATTTGGGAAATATGGTTCCCATAGTTTAACCCGTAGTGCAATCCAATGTTCGGACCCCTTAATGTTAATTTTACTCTTTACATATTTCACCACATCACGAAAATTTTTTAAGTGAATTTAAAATTTTTTTACTTAATATTTATAATAATAAATTTTAGTAAATAGTTAAAGGAAAATATAAATTTTAGTTAATATTTATTATTTTATTTAATAATAGTCAAAATATAGTACGACTAATATATAACTAAATTTTAAATTTACTACTTTTTTAAAATTCGATTTCTCAGGAACTATTCTACAGATTTTGCTCAACTTTTGCTTTTGGCCATACATAATTACTTACTTTAAAATGGTGTAAAAATTGTATACCTTACTATTCAAATTTTTTTGACTATTATTTAATAAAATAATAAAAGGTAATAAATATTAACTAAAATTTATTTTTTCCGTAAAATTATCTTTAGATAAACCAATTTTATAATTGTATACAAACAATTTTCAATTCGCCTAAAAAGTTCTCGAGATACAATGAAATACACAAAAAGTAAAGTTAACATTAAGGGGTCATAATTTTGGATCTCTTTCCTGATCAAACTATGGGGACCATATTTCTCAGATTGTGGCTACCCACTATATTTTGGGGATCAGAAATCCAAATCTGTTGAAAATAAGATCTGTTTATGAGTCTGATTTTCATATTCAAAGTTGTCCTTTTTTTTTCTGCACTGCACGAAATGAAAAGTGAACATCCTGAAGTACTGATTGAACTTTCATGTTTTAGGATTCAATTTTAATGGCTGATATCTAACCTTAACTATGTTAGTGAATTGGAACAGACCATATTTTAAGCTACAAAATCAATCACTAAAACATACTTTCTCTGATTCAGAATTTTAAATGTAGGGCTTTTTTAAAAATTTGATAACTTATAAAGTATTCCAGTGGTGCGCAAACTTTTTTCGACTGCGACCCCTATTGTAGAGAGAAAATTTTTGGCGACTCCTAGAGATAAATGTTCGCAAATACGATGTATATTTCGCGCATTTCTTTCATTGCATCGAATGAGAACATCATCATATTTGACTCATATTAATTTTATTTATAATTTTAAGAAAATACTTTTTGTATAACACAAAAATCAGTAATTGCCCTTTAATGAGATGTATGTGGCTACAAGTATCTAATTATCTCATCGATGTTTGAATGTATGTTGCTAATTGCAATTCGCATATCATCTTCAGGGTTTAAACGCGAGCGGTATTTAGTTTTTATTGAAACTAGTTTGCTAAATCCAGTTTCACACAGGGGGTTCCGCATTTGGCTGACCACCTAAATGGAACATCTGCTCCTGCACCCCTGAGCCCAAGGTCAAGAAAACTGAGATGGGCACAGTAGGCCTTGGCCCTCTATGGGCTGTCGCACCACTGAGTTTAGTTTAGTTTAGTTTTTAGGTGGATATATAATGCCAAGAGGAAAAATATTTTTTTGACATAACAAGGTTTTCGAGATATCGAGAGTAAACTTGATAATTAATTTACTTATAATTAATTTGCTTATTTAAATTAAAACATTTAAACCGCATTAAGACTGTAGCTGATAATTAGATCAAAAGTTATTGGGGTGTACTGTTTTTTACTTTGTATTCCATATATGCTTTTGCAGACAAACAAGGGAGACAATGGAAATACAGTTCAAAGAAAACTTCAATTCACTTTTCAAGCACTTGTGTTCTTCAGCAGATTGGAAAGTAAGAAGAATTTATTTTATAATTCAGTTTTGTGTTTCTGGAATTTGTAAAGCAACAAATACTCTGAGGATTGAAATGCGATAAATTTGTATAATGACTATGTTGTAACTTTCATTATGTTTCTGCAGATTATTTGATTTTAGAAGTTTAATCATATTTGGGCAGTTTAGAAAATTATTAAATACTGAAAATAAATATTCAAACACTTGGCAAGTTTAGAGCGGTTAACTTTTTAAAAGCGAATAAATATATGTCTTCTGAATGACTATTTATAAAAAAAAATTGAAAAATTATGATTCCAGAATGGTTATTATACAAATTACGAAATAAATTACATTTGTATAAAACCATTTGCTTGCAAATCTTACATATTAATACAAAAGTGTTTATATTTTTACGATACTGATCAATTCAAAATGAAAGGGAAATTATAAAATTACTGTTGTACAAATAATCAGTTTAAAATGGAAACGTTTAGACTGACGCATTTTTGCTAGCTGATTTGCATGTTTCTATTTTTCTCAACAATTGAGTTAATTAAGTGAATTTAAATGAAAAATTCAAATTCAGAATATGTTCACTTTTATGATGAAATATGCTATTTCGTGACAAAAACCAAAACATACAATCTTTTCTCATAAACTGATGATTCTAGGTACAGTTGATAATATTTTAGGATGGTTTTTGTCAAATTTTAGTGGTCTCCAACCAGCAGACCACCGCTAATTTTGAGCTGTGTAATGATGCGACAGTGCTGGATTAATTTATTATATTTGTTATAAAACAATCTTTGCTTTCTTGAAAAACAGTCAAAATTTAAATATTATGACATTTATAACTAGTTAAAAAAAGCAATTTTATTTTTGCTGTTTAGGTGTGTGATGATGATATGAGAAATTTAATGTTTGGGACATTTATGCAGTACGAGGAGCCTGTTTCCGACAGGCGATATAACGAAGTGACAAGTGTCGAAGATTTTCAAACGGTTGCCAACAAGTGCCTGGAAGAGTACAATTCTATCAGCAAATCTCCCATGAATATGGTTATATTTAGGTATTTTGCTAAACACATTTCAAGTTCATGAACATTATATTTATGATGCGGATTGGTTAAGCTTTTTCAACTATTATAAATGCATTGGATTGTCCATGTATAAGTATTTCAAAATAACTATTTTATGAAATATACATATAAAAATAAATGAAGATGGCATACTACATTATTAGTTTTAACTTGTGTTGTTATTTTAACATGGTGCGTAGCATTTTTAAAAGGTGCTGAAAGGTATAATTTTCGTTTTTTAAAAGCCCTTAAAGGTGCATTTTTTTATTGAGAGTTTGTAAAAAGTGCCTAATTTTCCCTTTTCGAAAAGGCAAATGTTATCTTTACCATGTCGATTTTCACCACGTATTATGTAAAGGCGTGCTTTTCACATTGTTTTATTCAACGTTTTCACAATTCATTCAACAGTCTATTTCGGCGTAGCGTCGGTCCATAGCGTATGAAAGCACCGATCATTTTACATGTGTGATGAAATACTCTAGAGTCCGCATATGCCTCTACTGAGCTGAGTTCGGTTTGAATATTGCACTCTCATGTGCAACTCTGTTCCATTTTGCAAGATATTCTCACTTTCAGGCTTCATTTTCCACCCTCTGATATCGAACAGAAAAATCTCGGGATCATTTTATAATGCCTAATATAATCAAGATTCTTTGTCAGAAACTAGTTATTTTCTCATGATCATATAAAGTTTTTGAAAATTGTTTTGCTTTTTGTTAATGTATATAGTGCTTGAAATTTTTTTGAGTGCTTAAAAGGTGCTTATTTTTTGTTGAAAGATTTGACTACGCATCCTGAACTAAATACAGTCTTTATTTTGAGTGCTTAGCATTTAGATCTTTTTTAAAAAAATCTTTGCTTTGTACATTTTAGGTATGTTCTGGAGCATTTGTCTAGGATTTGCAGAGTTCTATCTATGCCTGGTGGAAATGCATTGCTGGTGGGTGTTGGTGGTAGCGGGAGACAGTCAGTGACAAAACTCGCCTCGTTTATTAATGGACAGTGGCTGTTTCAACCAGAGATAACGAAACACTATGGTCTGAATGAATGGAGAGAGGATATCAAAGTAAACACTGTTAACAAAGCAAAACTTAAATATTAAAATGAAACTTATATGTTTGTTTATGGGCACGAAATACAGCATATCGTAATAAAACCTTTTATGCTATTGTTGTGGGGATAGTAATTATCGACTATGTCAACCTTCATCTATGGAAAGGTACTCCAACGTAGAATCAAGTTAACATATTTTATATCAGGGGGCGTAGCGTTTTTAAAAAGTGCTTAAATGTGCTTATTTGCGATTTTCGTTTCTTAAAAATCCTTATAGGTGTTATTTTCATTGGGTGTTTCTAAAAAGCTTTTAATTTCCCCATTTGGAAAATGAAATTTTTTTCGTTTTTCGCTACAAATTATGCAAAAAGACACAGTTCACATTTTTTCTACTCAACACTTTCACAATAAATTCAACTCCATTCTATTTCGGCATATTGTCAGTCTGTAGCGTATGAAAACGCCATTCGTTTTATATGATTCAAACTTTCATGATTTTTGACAATTGTCAGAAACAATGTCAAAAAGTTTTGACATAAACCCTTCTACTGTCAAAACCTTTCCAACCCTGCCTAATTATAATATTTTTTAAGGTGCTTAAGAATATTTTTGAGTGCTTGAAAGGTGCTTATTTTTTGTTGAATAATTTGGTTATGCACCCTGTAAAATAAAACTTATATGTTCGTTTATGGGCACAAAATACAGCATATCGTAATAAAACCTATTTTACGCTATTGTGGGGATAGTAGTTATAGACTATGTCAACCTTCATCTATGCAAAGGTACATTTACGTAGAATCAAGTTAACATATTTTATATNATAGAATCGAGTTAACATGTCTTATATACTAGTGAAATGGAATTGAACAATTGTAGTGGCAGTATTCGATAATTGGATACCACTAGTTGATTCATTGCTGTTTTGTGAGAAACCTGGAGAGCTGTATTAAGTTCACCATACTTATTGAGTGCTGATTGCGAGAGCTGTATTAAGTTCACGGTCGTGGCCATTAGTATATATTTAGTATTTTTATAATTTTATTTAATAATAAACTAAAAACTTTTGAGTTGTGAGTTATAAAATTTTTCTCATTTTAAAGAATGCAATTTTAATTGTCAAAGTATAAAATATGAGCATACTCAATCGAATAGTTTCTGAGAAATTTAGAAAAAGTCGTATTTTAAAAATTCAATTTCTCATGAATTATTTGACTGACTTTACTCAAATTTTGTATTAAAAATATGACTAAAAAACGCAAAAAGTAAAATTAACATTAAGGGGCCTGAACTATGGATAGCTCACCTGACCAAACCCTATATTTTGAAGGTTAAGAATCCTAATATGTTAAAAATGTATACATATATATGTTTATTAAGAGAAAGTGCATTTTAGTGTCTGATTTCATAATTTAAAATATCGTCTGCACTAATTAATTAGAATATTTGAGGTTGCCCCCTTGAACCATTAAGATAGTCTTAAAATGCAAAGATCTGATCATTAGATCAAAAGTTAAGCACAGTGGTCGATTTTTTTTTGGTGCACTGTACATCAGGTAAAAATTCGTTTTCCCATTTCAGAAAGTCATGAAATCTGCGGGTGCCGAAGGTAAGGGAACAGTTTTCCTGATCACAGATTCCCAAATTAAAGAAGAAAGTTTCCTGGAAGATATAGATAACTTACTCAACTCTGGAGAAGTCCCAAACCTTTTTGCTATTGATGAAAAACAAGAAAAAATCGAGGTATTTTTTTACTATCTACCTGATTTTATACTTTTTTTTCATTTGCTTCATGTTAAAATGTCCTGCTCAGAGGATTTGGTATAAATATTTATTTTTTCTTTATTAACTTGATTTGTTTTATTTTTTAGAATATTTTGTCATGCTATCCTGACAACAATGAAGGAGATTGTACTATATTTGAATAGAAAATCAGATAAGCAGGCATACTAGAGTTATAGCTTTAAAGTCTATAGTGAACTTGGGATATAATAAAAACTCAGTTGTGGTGAAAGTCCAAGTGCTATTTAACATGGTGTGTAGCTTTTTTAAAATGTGCTTAAAGGTGCTTATTTTCGTTTTTTAAAAGCCCTTAAATGTACTTTTTTCTTTAGGTGTTTTTAAAAAGTACTCAATTTTCCCTTTTCGAAAATGAGATTTTTTTTCTTTGTGTTCTTTTTCATTCCTGTTCTTTGTTAATCTTAAAAGAGTTTGTCACTTTCCTTTGAAGGGACATTGACTTTTTTCTCTGATTGTGTTCTTTTCCATTCCTGCTCTTTGTTAATCTTTTAAGAGTTTATCACTTTCCTATGAAGGGACATTGACTTTTTTCTCTTATTGTGTTCTTTTCCATTCCTGTTATTTGTTAATCTTATAAGAGTTCTAACAATACAACTGAAATGTCTTACAAAAATATTTTTTCAGAGATGTTGGGTAGTTTTTAATGGATGAAATTATTAGGTCTATAGACAGCTCTTTTCGACTGTTTAGCAAAACACTCTTTGTGAAGTAGTAGTCTAATTTTCATTTGTATCATTGTGTAAACTTAAAATTAGATTTTCAATAAACCAAATGAAAAGCTGAATATGTTTTTGAGATTTGTTTTTAAATACTTAGGCAGTACGCCCCCTGGTGGAGAAAGAGGAAGGTGCCGATTTGTCTCCATTGTCCCTCTTCTCTTATTTTGTGAAGAGATCGAGTGAGAATCTACACATAATCATCGCTATGAGCCCAATTGGTAACACGTTTCGAATCAGACTGAGGCAGTTCCCCTCCCTCATTAACTGCTGCACAATAGACTGGTTTCAGGTGAGTACTACATTCAACTTAAAGATAAATGCTTTATTAATTTATATACTATTTTTTATTGCGAAACCAGTGACGAAATCTATTAGTTATAGTGCGTATGAAATGACAGATTCAGGGTATTTGCCCACCTGGAAAGTCATGAGAAATCATGAAGAGTCATGCATTTCGATATTGAACAAAATTTGTCATGAAATGTAATGATTTTAACTATTTTTTTAAAAAAAATCATGGAAAGTCATGGATTTCGGTCACCAAAATTCAAATTTTTAAAATGGAATTTAGCCCACCCCCCACACACCGCATTTCATGGTGTTTCGAATATCTGAATTTATGACAAAATCCCTCACTCACAGTCATATTTTATTAAGATATAAAATGTTTTTATCATGTTCTTTAAAAATTATGGTGTCCTTTCAAAAAATGAAAGAAAAAACATCATTTCTAGAGCGAATTATCTTTTAAACTTCAGAGATTTCTGAATTTTTGTTATTATTTATAATTTTTATTTTATCAGTTTAAAATTCTAACTGAATCAAGCCAGTCATTGGCGAATTTTTTTATTCCGAAATGAGAACAAAAAAAATCAGAAGTATTTCTTTCTTTTCCGATAAATAAGAAAAGTATCTTAAGAGCATTGTTGTGTTTTTGTAGGAGAAAATAGTAACTTCGTTCAGTCATGAAAAATTCTTGGAATTAGTCATGGAAAGTCATGAATTTGAAATTCTAAAATGCAGCAGATACCCTGTAGATTTTTAATTAAATGTACAAAACCTCATATCTTTTCTTAAAAGTTTTTAATTTTATAAAATTGTGCTTGATATTTAAGGATGATATTTCTACTATGCTAAGCTTTTTTATTTAGTATAGCATTATTTGTTTTAAGTATGTTAACATGGTGTGTAGCGTTTTTAAAAAGTACTTAAAGGTGCTTATTTTAAATTTTTGTTTTTGAAAGCCCTTAAAGGTGCATTTTTTCATTTGGTGTTTTTAAAAAGTGCTTAATTTTCCCTTTTCCACATGAGATTTTTTTTCTTTATTATGTCGATTTTCGCCTCATATCACGCAAAAGTATGCTTTTCACATTGTTTTATTCAACATTTTCACAATTCTTTCAACCACAATCCGTTTCGGCATACCCTCGGTCCATAGCGTATGAAAGTGCCAATCATGTTACACGTTTGATGAAATACTTGAGAGTCTGCGTCTACTGAGCTGAGTTCGGTTTGATTATTGCACTCTCATGTGCACCTCTACTGCATTTTGCAAGATATTCTCAATTTTAGGCTTCATTTTCCACCCTCTGATATCGAGCCAAAAAATCTCTCGATCATTTTATAATGGCTCATATAATCAAGATAAGAGTTCTTTGTCAGAAATTGGTTATTTTATCATAACCATGTAAGATTGAAAATTATTTTGCATTTTGTTATTGTATATAGTGCTTAAAATTTTTTTTTGGAGTGCTTAAAAAGTACTTAAAAGGTACTTATTTTTTGCTGAAAGAATTGGCTACTCACCCTATCTTAAGCTATTTCTTATTTCTTTAAGTTTTTCCAGCAATTAAAACTTTAAAGCTTGACTAATATAGATCACTCAAGAGCACAATGATTGTGTGTGTTTCCTGTTAATAAATTGTGTATAACATGTACAGGGAGTTTTTTTCTCCAGATTTGAGTCGCAATCCTGTTTTTACTGTTAGACAAATCTTTTAAAATGCTGTTTAGGTGAGCTATTTACTCTGCAGATTCCAATTAAATATTGATGGAATTTCAGGCATGGCCAGAAGATGCTCTGGAGAGAGTGGCTGAACACTCCTTCCGTGACATGGATTTGGCACCTGAAATGCAAATAAGTCTAGTACCAATCTGTAAATATTTTCATATAAGAGCTCAAGATTTATCTACTCAGTAAGTCATACTTTTGAGTTGTTTTTTTCTTTTATAAAAGCCCCAAGTTTTGGAAAAACCCACATTAATCTGAAGGGTTCTATAGCTAGAAAATACACAATAAGCTTTTTAAAAGTTGTGTAATTTGCAAAATTGTTATATTGACATGTGTCGGCATAAGCCGAGTGGTTAAAGTCGTTGTTCTGGAGAGACAAAGATACAGAGTTCGATTCTAAGAGCTTGAGGAAAATGTAAAAAATCTATAAAAAAATCTATAAGCTTTTATTTATTATTTTAGAAGTTTCTAGAATGTTCTAAATTGTCATTTCCTGTTCCGTTATTTAGTCCCATATAAGATCAGGTGTTTCAAGCTGAAACATAAGTTACTTTGTTCCCTGTTTGAAAGTTCTTAATAAATCTCTCTAACTTTCTGAACTGATGTTGATTCATTCTACGTGACGATTTGATTTTGAATTAAATTACTACAACATAAAGTATGTAATGAATTGAACTTTTATTTTTTATTTAATATAATTATAAATTTTACGTATTATTTAAATGTAACTACTTTTAGAATTTTTTTTTGTATAATCTAACAAAGCTCTAGGGAGGGAGTGACATAAAACAATGTTTTTCATCAAAAATATTGGATACCATCCAAAAATACTTAGTTGCAACAAGCTTCTTAAAAAATAGGTTACGGTTAAGAAAGTTCTTTTGCTACTAAATCATTTTAAATGGTCTTTATTTAAATTTAACTTCTTTTAGAACTTTTTTTGTATAATCTAACAAAGCTGTAGGGAGGAGGAGTGATCTAAAACAATGTTTTTCATTAAAAATATTGGAAACCGTCATAAAATATCTAGCTGCAACAAGCTTCTTCAAAAATAGGTTAGAGTTAGGAAAGTTCCTTTGCTGCTAAATAATTTTAAATGGTCTTTAAACTTAAAAATATTTTTCATTGTATCATCAATCTGAAAATAAGTGACAAATGACAAAATTTTTATATTCATTATTTTGCATAAAAGTTGAGTTTGATTTGCATTCATAACTATTCTCACAATAAACTTGTTTTTTTATTAAATATATAAAATTATGAAATTTGACTAAATATAAATAATGTGGAACATAGGGGTGAAATCAAACTTTCATATCATAAACATGAGGGGGAACACTAAAAAAAATGATACTGAAAATTTGAAGCATCAAAAAATGAATCTTTTATAGGGCCCCCCACGGATCAGGGAAAACAGGAAAGTGTTAGGGAATTTTATTTTGACTCTAAGAATCAAGGAATAGTCAGGGAAAGTTGCAATTTTTTACAAAAAAAACCCCCTGAAGATTCTTACATCACACTTAGAAAATAACCAGTCTTAGAATTGTAAGTAACAATAATCAGATATTGAGATTCAAGTTAAAAAATTCTAACATCTATTACAATTGTTTTTATAAAGTTCTACTTTTCAGTGAGAATTTTTCATGCATCCATTATCAATGTTTTTGCGCACAAAATATTATATGTGTTATTAAAAATAAAAAAATTAAAGTTTTCTGATGAAAAATTGCATGGTATAGCTAAAATATAGTACGGATTTTCATTGAAATTTACCTGATATACCTGAAAAGTAAAGGAATTTTTTTTTCTGAAATTGAGTGGGAACCCTGATTTTAATAAAATATTTTTCACAATTTAATACAAAGAATTCTGACATTTTAAAACTTGTATAATGTGTATTTACTTCAGCGAAACAGTTTTTTCAAACAGCATCAATGTTTGACTGTAATTTATGTTGATTAAATTATCCATTTAATCATAAGAGTAACAAATGCCTTTTCGTTATTTTATATTTTTTTTACTTTTTAAAGGAAAAGAATATAAAACATGCATTAATTTCAGTTCTCTTCCATTGAAGGGTTTTTGTCTATGGTTAATTTTTTTGCCTAATCAAACATTTAACTTAATAATCAATCAATAATAATCGTCGTTTATTCTTTTTAATAATATGATTAATCAAGGGATATCAGTGCCATTATTAGTGCCCCACACTGACACTGATGTTTTCAAGTTTAAGTGCCACTGCCTTGTGTACATTTGCACAATATGCATTTGCCTGGTATATTCTAAACTGTTTTTTTTTTCGTTCCAAATCCTACTATTAGTTCACACTTTCCCCATATATATTTATGTATCTTCAAATTTTCAATCATTAAAATACTTTTTATTCATCCATTCAAGTTCAAATGCTTTTTTTTTTATTCTTTTAGTGGATGACGCTTGTTACAGTTACAGTTTTTTCAAATATTAAGTCATTAATTAAATTTAATAAATTAATTTTAGTTTTATATGAGAGAAAAATTGTAATTAATTAATAAAAAGTAACTAAAATAAAAATTTTCTTTATTGACCGAAGTAGGAATTGACTTTAAATTTTTTTATATTACGGTAGGGAACCGATTATCCGGAACGATCGGGGCCATTGCTATTCCGGATAACTGATTTTTCCGGTTTTCTGAATCGCTACAAAAAGCCGTTTTTTTTTGTTGTTAAACCCAACTAAAAAAAATTTTTTTTTGGAAATATTTATAAATATTATAAAAAGAAGAAAAAATGATGAAGTAATACACTAATGATTATTTCCAAAATGATTCTAAGGTAAACATCTTTCGAAAAAGAAAGAAAAATACTAAAATCTTATGAGGAAAAAAAATTTTTTTTTTGAAAAATGGTTGGAAAATGTATCGAATTTCGTTCCCGTTTTTTGGTTTTCCGGTTTTCTGATTTCCGGAAAACGGGTTCTGTACTGTACTTGTTTTTTTTAATTAAGTGCCATTGACTCTGGTATTCTCTATACTGACCATTGAGGTGAAAGGTTGCCTTTATTGTTTCTGATTTGCTCACAGTGATTTGGTGATTTTTTTTTAACGGTCCTCTTTAATAGAACAGTACTTTCATTTCTTGTCTCGCCTATGTTTGGTTATATTTTCTTGCTTAATTTTTAGATAAAAATTCTATAAAGAAAAGAACTGTTATTAATATTATCATTGTTGTTAGTTCTTAAAAAGTGTTTAAGTATGAGAATTGAAAAATAGAATAATTATTACTTGTAGGTTTTTTAATGAACTTGGCCGCAACACGTACATCACACCCACTTCATATTTGACATTGATTTCGTCTTTCAAGCAGCTCTTACATGAGAAGCAGGAAGAGATAAAATCATCCATCCAGCGTTATAAAGGTGGCCTGGGCCAACTTGAGTTCTTTTCTATCACAATCACAGGAATGCAAAAGGACATTGAAGAACTGAAACCCAAATTAGTCATTGCTCAACAAGAAGCTGAAGAGTTTATTGAAGTTAGTGATTTTTTTCTACCTTAATTTTAGTTGATTTTTCAATAATTATTATCATGTTTCCTTTGTGTCTACTTTATTCTTAGGAAATGTTTTACTATTATTATTAAACGGACTCTTAAACAACCCCATTTAAACATGATACACACGTTTTTTTAATCTCTTATCTGTGGTTCACTTTACATTGATGCTAGCTGTTGCCCGTGCTGAAGTACTTTGATTTTAATTGTTTTCAAGAGATATTGTCAAATTCTCTATTTAATAAATTTTATTAACAATTTGAAATCTTTCTGGCAGCATACAAACCAATACAAGGTTGAGTTCAGAACATTTCATCACAGTAGGCAGCAGAAGTATTAAAATTATGACTTCTATGTCTTAAATGGTAATTAAATTTTATGGATACATTTTTTTCTTTGTGATACAATATTCTATAATGATACGTGGAAATAAATCATTGCTACTCAACTATCTATAAGTAAAAATTAAAAAAAAAATTAAATATATAAATATTAAAAATAATTAAATCTTAAAAATATTTCATGTCCCAATCAATTTTACTTTTATAAAAATAAGCTTTGCAAATATCAGTTCTTTATATGGGAAGAATTAACCACAACAGTTGGATAAAGTGTTACTATCTTATAAACACCGTGGAAGAATCGCAGCAACATTCTCGCAGAACGCTACAGAGTTCTTGCAAAAAGAATTTTCTTTTGAAAAGTTACAAAATTACTTTTTTTCAAACACAGTACTTTTCTTATTTGAAATTCGTAATATATATGTTTGTTAAGTATCGTGCGGAAAGATAGTGCTAGAGAGTTTTGTCGTAGATAGCTTGGAAATTTTCTGCCTCAGGGCTTATAAATACAGTGCTATGTAATCAACAATGGACTTGTACTCAACAAATGATGTTATTTATTTGTGTAGAAAATAAAAAGAGAGTCCCAAGATGTTGAAAAGGTGAAAGCAGTTGTGAATAAAGATGAAGAGCATGCGAGCGACAGAGCAAAGGAGTCATCTGCTTTGAAAGAGGAGTGTGAGGCAGATCTGGCTGAAGCTTTGCCTGCTCTTGAAGCTGCACTGGCTGCTTTGGACACATTAAAAGTAAACCCCATTCCTCTTTCTCTCTCTTTCTTTTTGTAAAAAAAAATCCTTCTTTTTTCTCTGTTCTAAAAAAGGATTAGTCCAGCTATCTTTTTTTTTTTACTGACAAACAGTACCGTCTTTATGCATAGGCACAACCGGGCTTGAGAATCTTACTTTTTATGAATTGTATTTAAAAAAAAACTAAGAATAAACCACATTACATTATATATCATGGTGCGTAGCGTTTTTAAAAAGTGCTTTAAGGTACCTACTTATTTTCGATTTTTGTTTCTAAAAGCCCTTAAATGTGCTTTTTTTATAGGGTGTTTTTAAAAAGTGCTTAATTTTCCCTTTTCGAAAATGTAAATTTTTTCTTTACCTCGTCGATTTTCGCCACTATCGTAAAAGCGCCACTATCGTAAAAGCGTGTAAAAGCGTGCTTTTCACATTGTTCTATTCTATGTTTAAACAATTCATTCGACCGCAATCCATTTTGGCTTACACCCGGTTTGTAGCGTTTAAAATTGCCAATCATTTTACATGTTTGATGAAATACTTGCGAGTCCACATGCACGTCTACTGAGCTGAGTTCATTAAGATTCTAGCACTCTCATGTGCAACTCTGCTGCATTTTGCAAGATATTCTCAATTTTAGGCTTCATTTTCCATTCTCTGATATCGAACCGAAAAATCTCTCGATCATTTTATAATGGCTAATATAATCAAGAAACGAGTTCTTTGTCAGAAACTAGTTATTTTATCATGATCATGTAAAGTCTTTGAAAATTATTTTGCATGTTGTTAATGTATAGAGTGCTTAAAAATATTTTTGAGTGCTTAAAAAGTACTTAAAAGGTGCTTATTTTTTGTTGAAAGATTTGGCTATGCTCCCTGTATATATTTTAAAATAAATGCATCCTCGTGTAAAAAGTGTGCATTTTTTTTCTGTAAATAGTAATTGATTATCATGCAAACACCAATAATTTAAATAGTTTATCACCAGGAAAAGTTGAAAAGGCAAACGAAATCTATTTTTCTACATTAAAATGAAGTTTTTCGAAACTTAACTTTCTAATTCATAATGTTTCTAAATATGCTTGACCACCAGCAACTCTGTTTGGTATTTATAATTAGTTAAATAAAGCAATAATTGAAAGAGTTTAGAATTTCACAGCATTATGGGACAGTAACTTTTAAACTGGTTATGTCTGATGCACATTGAAAGATGTTTTAATAACTGACTTCAGTTTAACGAAATGATTCATAACTTTTGGGATTTTTTATGTGTTACTCCCTTATGTTTTTTCAATTTAATTACTTTAATTAGCTTCTTAGTTTCAAAAATCATTTTATTATTTGAGAATTGCAACTGGTTAGCATATAATTTTTTTTTTAAAATTACGCATACTTTAAAAGTGTTTTATTTTATGTGCATTGAATTTTTGAAGGTAATAAAAATGTGTTTAAGTTTGTTAAAATTATTGCAAATCTTAAAAATGCTTTATTTTATGTATATGAAGTTTTTTAGTTTGATTTTAAACAGTATGACACATCATAGGGGCCCCAATCATTTCTGGGCCTGAGGGCCCTGCTAACAGCAACTAATTTTAAGTGCAGCCCCATTCTTTTTAATATAATAACACATAAACTAGTCTTACTGGGAGGCTCAAGTAATAGGAGTTTTGTTATTGATAAACTGATTTTTGAACTAACTATTAAACTCATTTTTGTTCATTTAATTAATTGTTAATTAATTCCCAAAATTGTTTTTGAAATGTTTATTCAAAGGAATTTTTTATTTAAACTGTATTTTTTTTTTTGTTGTTGTTTTTTTGATTTCGCTATCTCATCCCTAGTTTAATTCATGATCCTAATATTTTTATGTTTTTATTCGCTATTGATAGTTTAGATCGTATATAACTGTTTTTACTTAATTTTATTTACTTTGTATCGTTGTTGTTGTTGCTTATCCTCTTCTGCCCTTACGAAGGCAGACCAGATCTGTGAACCCGTTGATCTGAATAAAATCAAAGACCAAAGGAGGAGTACAGTAGATATCTTCCTAGAGAAGACCAAGACAGCCCAGGATGTGATCGGCGGAAGCCCGGTGTAGATGACTTTGTATCGTACTGCCTATGTACCATTTTTAATGTTTTGTGTAACTTAAGTGTATTTGCAATTTTGTCTAATTTTATATACCTCATACTTAAATTGCTATATACCATTTTACCAATTAAAATATTTTATGAAAATTAATTTATTTTTTGATGAGCTTTAATACACTGTTTGCTGCAGCATGTCCTCTTTTGGACTTGTGCTATTAAACTCTACATTCAAGCAATCCCATGCATGTTTGTCAGTTTTTCATATACTTTCGATAAAAAAAATATTTTAGAACTAGTTTATCTAAGTTACTGATTGTTTGTGAAAAAATCATTCACTATTTTTACAGCCATCAGATATCACTCTAGTAAAATCCATGAAAAATCCTCCCAATGCTGTGAAAGTCGTTCTTGCTGCTGTGTGCATCATGCAGAACATAAAACCAGACAGAGTGACTGATCCAGGTACTGGAAGAAAAGTTAGTATCTTTGGTTTTATCTTAATTATTTAACCTGCCTTAAAGATAGCATATTCATAGTTCCTTAAATAATATTGTTTGATTTTATTTTTTATAACCGTTGTTGAACAACCAACCTATTTTTTTGTGTTTATGTCTACTAATGTTCAACTCTGTAGCCTTGTAATTTTGAATCCAATCCAGAAGGAACTCCTGGATCAAGTGTTGTGAGAAATTGTGCCTTCATAGAAGACTTTTTGATGGAACTAACCCGCATTTGCTTTACATGGAGAGGAAAACTTCCCACGGTTAGCCTGAAGGCAAGGGGACTCTAACCCATGATCCATCTACCACTGAGGATATTTTACATCAACACTGTGGTCGGTGCAAACCGGTCGCTGAATTTACATCAACCAGCCATCGCTGTGATTCAAACTTCGGTTCACCTCTTTGGAAGGCTAACGCACTATCCCTTGAGCCATCACAACTCAGTATTGTTTGATTTTATAACCATTGTTGATCAACCGACCGAATTTTTTTGATTTACGACTACTAATGTTCAACTCTGCAGCTTTGTAATTTTGAACCCATTCCAGAAGACAAGGGAACTTCTGGATCAAGTATCAGGAGAAATTTGCCTTTGTAGAGGACTTTTAGGGGAAATTAACCCGCATTTGGATTACATGGAGAAAAAAAACGCAAACAGTTATCCTGAGAGCAAGGGGACTCTAACGCATGATTCGTTTATCACTGTAGATATTTTAAGTAAGCACTGTGGCTGGTGCAAGCCGGATGCGGAATTCGTATTGACCAGCTATAGCTGGGATTACAACCCGGTTCACCTCATTGGAAGGTGAACACTCTATCCCCTGAGCCATCACGGCTCAATATTGTTTGATTGTTCAACATCAGTATTTTGTGAAATGATTCGTGAAACTTAATATTTTCTATCTCTCACAGGGCCGCCTTTGAGTGAAACACTTGGTTAGTGGTGTTTTAGAGGAAATTTAGGATTGATCCCAGATCCTTCACTAAATATATTATCCTTAAAAAAAATTTTCTTGCAATATTTTTTTTATAAAAATAAACTCTTTATAGTATTTTTCCCTTTAAAAACCCAGGAATTACCCTTGATTGCAACAGTGTTAAAAAAATTTATAAATCAAAATTGTAATCATGTTTTAAAAATCTCAAAGTTTTCTTTTGAAAATAGCTCATCAAATCTGTGCAAAATTTGTCATCTTTAGAAAGTGAAAAAAGTTTAACACCTAATAAAGCTGGATTTACCTCTTTTGTCTTTCTTTTAAATGTTCAATTTTTTGACGTGGATTTATAATTTCAATTAATATTTCCATTTGTCATTGTGCATCATTTTACAAATTTTGTTAATTTAGTCTGAAAAATTGTAAATCAGTAGTTTGAAAATAACAAATATTACCTAAGTTACTGTTATTCGTTGTGAAACCAAGCTTTAAGCATCTCCTTCTTTTAATTAGTGCAGATTTTGTATTAATACTAATAGAACCAATTCTGATGATCTTACAAATGCGATACCAGCTTTAATTTGAGAAATTTTGCAGGGCTTTTACATCTAAGACACATTCTTACAATTGAAAATTCTGCTTCTCTAGCCCCCCATGATTCGAATTTTTTTTTCGTAAACTGTACACAGGAAATTTTTCTATCAGTGATCATTACTGTAGAGATGTAAGAATAAGTTCTGAATAAACTGAATTCATTTATGTTATTGTGTTTGCAGAAGTTGGTTGCAAATTTTTAACTCTCTCTTATATGCCATAGGTTCTGAAATAATTAGGTTATTTACCAATTATCAATTATAGGTAAATGATTATTGGGGACCATCCAAAAAACTACTTGGGGACATGGGATTTCTTCAGTCTCTTAAGGATTATGATAAAGACAACATTGATGTAAGTAAGATATTGATTTGTATATTATTGGTCGTTGTTTCAATTCTGTGTCCCCCTGTTTCAATTCTGTTGCTTAAATGAAAATGATGAAATACCCATTTTATTTTGAACTTCTTAAAGCATGGAAATTAATTTATGAGGTATTTTCGGAAAGTAAAGACTGTTTCTTTCTACTGTCAGAGTACCATACGTGCGCACACAGGTATCTGGTTGATTGTCCCCCCCCCTGACAATATTACAGCAGAATTGTTTTGAATTTATGTGTGTTAGTGAGCATTCAAAATGTTGAAGATGATTTATGATACCACCAACTATGTAGTGCATTAATACGATACTATGAAACATTTTATGTATTATTTTAGAACCATTGTTAAACAACCGACTTTATTTTGAATTTACGACTGCCAATGTTCAACTCCATAGGCTTGTAATTTTGAACATAATCCAAAAGACAAGGGAACTCCTGGAAGTACTGGGAGAAAATTGCCTTGGTGGAGGACTTATTGATGAAACAGCTCGCATTTGCGTAACATGTAGAAGAAAACCACCCACGGTTAGCCTGATGGCAAGAAGACTAACCCATAATTCGTCTACCACTGAGGATATTTTACATCAGCACTGTGGTCGACGCGAGTCAGGTGTGGAATCCGTATTAACCAGCCATTGCTGAATTTCAAACTTCTCATTGGGAGACGAGCGCTCTATCCCCTGAGCCTCCAAGTCTCCCCGTGAAACATTGCAAAAAATGTGATTCGAAGGAAAAGATATCGAATGCTCAGTTAAGGCTGCGTATTGCTACATGAGAATACATGTCGCCATTCTACAGATGTCACTCAAAACCTTATTCATTGAGTATCTGTGCACCTGTAAAGTATAGAACAAAATTTCAGTATAGAACAAAATTTGTCATGAAACGTCATGATTGTAGCTATTTAAAAAAAAAAAAAAAAAATTATAAAAAGTCATGGACCCCGCCTCCAATTTCATGGTGTTTGGAATATCTGAATTTGTAACAAAATCACCGCTCACTGTCATATTTTATTGAAATAAGAAATTTTTTTATCATGTTCTTTAATTATGGTGTTCTTTCAGAAAATGAAAGAAAAAACATCATTTCTAGAGTGAATTATCTTTTAAATTTCTGTGATTTCAGAATTTTTGTTATTATTTTTTATTTTATCAATATAAAATTCTAGCAGTAGCAAGCCAGTCATTGGCGAATTTTTTTTAATTCCGCAATGAGAACAGAAAAAAATCAGGAGTATTTCTTTCCTTTCCGATGAACAAGAAAATTATCTTCAGAATATAATTCTGCGGAAAAAAAGAAGAAAAATTATTTGCTTTTGTATTTTTTTCAGCTATTTTATTGCTTCAACTCTTTTTTTAATTCTGTTTTTTAAATTTAAAATCAATAAATATGAAGATGCAAAGTATAACAGTTTTGGTTATACTTATCATTTCAATTAATGCTATTATATTTTTTTTAAAAATTTGTTATGTTTTTGTTGGAGAAAATAGTAACTTCGTCAAGTCATGAAAAATTTTAGGAATTAGTCATGAATTTGAAAATCTATAATGTATCAGATACTCTGTATTCAACAATTTGGTAATCCAGTGTACTGCGATAACCTCCCACTTTGAGACTACAGCTCTTTCTTGAATTTTAAACACCATTTTTATAGAAACGTTTTGATCTCAATGATCACTCAAAAAATGATGTTCTGCAATGGCTGTCTACAGTGAAAGCATCTTTCTTTGACAATAAACAAGTTGTATTCATTTTATGAAAAATGTCCAAATGCTCTTGCATGTAAAAATAAATTTTGTTTTAAAAAGAAAAAAAATTTACGAAAGTATTACCAAAATGGTTTTTATTTTTTGGCAATGCCTCAGCTAGACATTGAATAGCTTTAGACCTAAATTTTATTATTTAAGGAGTAGAGTTGTTATATTTAAGTTCTGAAGTCAAGTGGTTATAATAAAGTATTCTTTTTTGACAGCCTGTAATCATGGAAAAAATACGCGGTGAGTACATCCACTTGCCAGAGTTCAATCCTACAAATGTTGCAAAAGCCTCTTCTGCTGCCGAAGGTCTCTGTCGTTGGGTTTTGGCTATGGAAATTTATGACAGGACAGCTAAAGTATACACACCAATTGTTCTTTTTTCTTACTTTTTTTACACTAGATCTAAACTTTATGCGTGTGTTTAAATTATTTATGCGTAGTGAGGGACAAAATTCTGATTCTAAGTCATTAAAGTATTAAGTTACATTAACATGAGACAAATTTTTTCTCAGATACATTTTTCTGAAGCTGTATAGTGTGTAAAATATTGACTGTATACAATTTAAATAAAAAATTAGAAACCAAAAATGAGCAGAACGACATTTTAAAGATATGTATGTTACTAAAAACCCGCACTTCATCAGGTGACACATTGTCTGCTAACACACTGGAGCCTTTGTGTAGCCTGTTTTTTTTAAAAATTGTTTACATAAGACAAATTTGGCTTTAGCACTTTTCAATTTTGACTTATTATTTTAAAGTTTTTTTTCCAAAAATCTTTTAAAATCAATTTCATACTTTGATTAGATATTGACTGTCATGGTGCGTAGCGTTTTTGAAAAGTGCTTAAAGGTGCTTATTTTTGTTTTTTATAAGCCCTTAAAGGGGCTTTTCTCATTGGGTGTCTTCAAAAAGTGCTTAATTTTCCCTTTTCGAAAATGTTGTTTTAATTCTTTACCATGTCGATTCTCGCCATGTATTATGCAAAAGCGTGCTTTTCACATTGTTCTATTCAACGTTTTTACAATTCATTCAACCACAATACCATCGGTCCATAGCCTATGAAAGCGCCAATCATTTTACATTATTTTATCATGATCATGTAAAGTCTTTGAAAATTATTTTACATTTTTTAAAATATATATATAGTGCTTAAATATTTTTTGAGTGCTTAAAAAGTACTTAAAANCATAGTGTATGAAAGCGTCAATCATTTTACATTATTTTATCATGATCATGTAAAGTCTTTGAAAATTATTTTACATTTTTTTTAATATATATATAGTGCTTAAATATGTTTTGAGTGCTTAAAAAGTACTTAAAAGGTGCTTATTTTTTGTTGAAAGATTTGGCTACACACCTTGACTGTATCATCATGAGCTTTTTATTTTTATCATTAGTTTATGCAAATTGTATTTTAAAAAAATCCTTTTATTTTGATTTTTTAAAGGTTGTAGCACCCAAGAAAGCAAAACTGGCAGAAGCTGAGGAGCAACTAGAGCTGATTATGGAATTGTTAAATGCCAAACGTTCTGAACTGGCAGCTTTAGAATCTAAACTGGCTGCTCTAAAAAAAGATTGTGATGAATCAATACAAAAGAAAAAAGATTTAGAAGCGCAAACTGCTTTATGTGAAATTAACTTACAAAGAGCTGAAAAACTACTTGGAGGCTTAGGAGGTGAAAGGATGAGGTATAGTAACAAATAATTTATATTAAACTTTGATACTAATTCTAAGAATCCTCACAATTTTTCTAACTTATAATTTTTAGAAAAATAATATTTATAAAAATTTTAACGATGCATTTGACATGGTGCATAGCGTTTTTAAAAAGTGCTTAAAGTGCTTATTTTCGATTTTCGTTTTTTAAAAGCCCATAAAGGTGCTTTTAAAAAAATCATTAGGTTTTCTTATAAAAATTGCTTAATTTCCCTTTTTCGAAAATGAGATTTTTTTTCTTTACCATGTCGATTTTCCCCCTGTATTATGCAAAAGCGTGCTTCTCATGTCACAAAAGCGTGCATTCAACGTTTTCTCAATTCATTGTACCACCATCCATTTTGGCGTACTGTTGGTCCAAAGCGTATGAAAGCGCCAATCATTTTACATGTTTGATGAAATACTTGCTAGTCCGCATGTGCCTCTACTGAGCTGAGTTCGGTGAGATTATAGCACTATCATGTGCAACTCTGCTGCATTTTCCAAGATATTCTCAATTTCAGGCTTCATTTTCCATTCTCTGAAATTAAACCGAAAAATCTCTCGGTCATTTTATAATGGCTAATATAATCAAAAAACGAGTTCTTGGTCAAAAACTAGTTATTTTATCATGATCAAGTAATGTCTTTGAAAATTATTTTGCATTTTGTTAATGTATATAGTGCTTAAAAATATATTTAGAGTGCATGAAATTACTTTAAAGGTGCTTATTTTTTGTTGAGAGATTCGACTATGCACCCTGTAGACGCACAAAAACATTTTTCCCCTTTCCAAAAAATGTCGCAGTGGACTAATCGCAGAGACATGGTTCCCAGTGGAACACCAAAGTTAAGCATCACTGGCTGCAGTCAGTAAGCAGGTGGGTGACCACTTTGATCAGCCTGCATAGGGACCGAGGGTGCGTAGTATCAGTCCTCGTTAATCTATCGTGAAGTGCTCGACTTTGTGCTCAGGTCGTCGAACTACCAAAGCAGGGGAGGCATCCCCTCTGTAGAGGATCAAAATTGCGATGGCTTGTCTTCAGATCACCCTCAGGGATGTTTCCCAGACCATCGCCAATAACCTATTGTGCAGCTCTATTGCGACATAAATGAAGTACCTACCCCTGTGGCAGAATTTTTTCTGGCATTCTGCGACATACCTCTCTAATACTAATATCTTTCTGCAAGATACTTTTAAAAATAACAAATATACTTGTTACTAAATTAAAGTAACAAAAGCATCAACTTAAAAAAATTTTTTTTTGCATCAAATAAAATTATTTTTTGATTAAATATGTAATAATTTTTATTCTAATGTTATGGGCAAAATTCTCGCATTTTGTAGGGGGGAAAACACACTAATTATTCCCTTTTTCGCATTTTGTAAATCATCATCACATTTAAAAAAAATAACAAAAAAGTTGTGAAATCCACAGCAGTTTCGGTAGTAACTGCCGAAAAAAAAAGATCGACGGCAAAATCATACGAAACGGACTCTTTGAAAAAAGATTACTAAATGCGTGTTTTCATTTTAAAATGCAGTTGTTGTAATAAATTATATCGTTATAAAAATATTGGATTTTAAATACTGTGTGGAAATCAATAGTAATAACTGCATTAAAAAATTAGAACGAAAATTTCTACAGGGAGCAAAACCAAATTTTACTTCACTATTCTTTATTTTTTATTATTCTCAAATGAGAATAGATAAATCACAAGCATTTTTTTCCATTCTGATCAGTGAGAAAGACATCTTTTTAAATATAATTCTGAAGAAAAGATAAAACTTTCAATATTTTTGAGGGAAGAGAATCCAAAGTTTTTTACTTTTCAAAAGTAAAATCTTTCCGCAAGAACTCATTAACGTTCTGCGACGGTGTCACCGTGTCCCCAAGATTCTGCCACGGGGGTACCCACCATCTACCCCTTCCAAAAAATAATAAAATTCCAAAAAAAAATCATCATTAAATGGAATTATTTCTTTCAGATGGGCAAACGAGGCCAAGAGTCTTGAAGTGAAATTAGGGAACTTATCAGGTGATGTCCTCCTGGCATCCGGAGTCATTGCTTATCTTGGACCTTACACTTCACATTACAGGAGTCAATGCATTGAGGATTGGGTCAGATATTGCATCGTAAGTAGTTTTGTCATTTTGAGCTATTCAAAACTGCTCTAATTATTGAAATTTATGTTCTGCTTATGGATCGTGTTTTCTTGGTGCGTAGCGTTTTTAAAAAGTGCTTTAAGGTGCTTATTTTCGATTTTCATTCTTTAAGAGCCCTTTAAGATGCTTTTTTTCATTAGGTGTTTTTAAAAAGGGCTTATTTTTCCCTTTTCCTAAATGAGATTTTTTTTTCTTTACCATATAAATTTTTGCTTCCAATTACTCAAAAAGCGTGGTTTTCACATTGTTCTATTCAACGTTTTCATAATTCATTCAACCACAATCTATTTCGGCATACCATTGGTCTGTAGCGTATGAAAGTGCCAATCATTTTATGAAATACTTGCGAGTTCGAATACTGAGCTGGATTCGGTTGGAAGGATTCATGCATTCTCATGAGCAACACTGCTGCATTTTGAAAGAGAGATAATCTTTTTAAATAATAGTTAAATTAATTATTTATAATTTTGAATACATTTTTTACATAATTGTGTAAAGTAATAATAAATTTTAAAAAATTTAATGATTCACTCAATATTGAATGTATTTAAAATTGTGAAATTGTTTTTATGGTGGCTAATATAATCACAAAAAGAATTCTTTGTCAGAAACTAGTCATTTCATCATGATCATGTAACTTAGAAAACTATTTTGCATTTTGTTAACATAGATATATATGAAGAAGAACTTTTAACAATATGAGGGAAAAAAATTATTAGTGTGCATATCCTAATTATAATGGTTTTTTAAAGTGCTTAAAAATATTTTTTGAGTGCTTAAAAAGTGCTTATTTCTTGCTGAAAAATTTGACTATGCACCCTGCTTTTTACACTAGGGAGTGCTGCAAGCTCTTGACTGCCTATACTTCTGGATTACTATTTTTCGTGTGTTTTGAAGCCATTTGGCTCACAAGGTGATCATTGTGGTTTGAAGCAATCTTGAGTAGTATTTCTTGTACACATGTATTTGTTACCTGATTTATTATTTGTGTTTAAAAGAAAAATTATTGTAAGAATCGTCCTTTGAAGACCTGTTATTACAACATTTAATAATTGTCATGTTGAAACAGAATCGTTATGAAACTCTTCTTACCTTGTTAATATTATATCAACTCTGAAATTTTAGCCGAAACAATATTTTGTAAAATAAGCTTTATCTCGCTGCTCAAACAATAATATGCTGACATTAACGTATGATGGTGCACAGCTTGCACCAAAAAGAAACAGTAATAAATAAGTAAAAAGAGGCCAAATCAGAACTGCCAAAAAGCGCAAGCTCTTTCTAAATCTAGCAACCATGCCACCTAGGGTCGGGATAGCCTGGTTGGTAGGGCACTGGGCCCATGTCCAAGAGTTTGTGGGTTCGATCACCGCCGGCCGAAGACTCCCCATGTAGTAAATGGTGACTGATGCACGTTAAATCTGTCGAGTCGCAAAGTCCTCCATGTTCCCATAACAAATCAGTACCTCTGGGGGTACTGATCCAGGAGTTTCCTTGTCTTCTGGATTGGTTCAAAAATTACAAGGTTACGGAGTTGAGCATTAATAGTAGTGAACCTAAAAATTGAATCAGCTGTTCAACAACGGATAGATAAAAAAAATTTAAAAAAAAACATGCCACCTTTTTTAACAATGCATCTCTAAATAACTAAAACAAATTTTCACTTCAAACTCACCAGAATTAGTAAATATTATTAACATCTTAGAAAATACAGTAGATTTGAGATAAAAAAAACTATACAATTTAGTTCTTTTATTAAAAACAAAATTGTCTGTCTGAAAATATTGCCTTGCAGAATAAGCTATGTTAAGCAGCTGTATACTTTCTAACTAGACACAGAGCAAGTTAAAAGCTCGAAATTGCTGTTGTTTACATTTATATTGAAAACAGCATCCATAGGATAGTTTTCAGGTTATTTTATTAAAATTAACTATTAATCATTTAAATTTCTTTAATAAAGAAAAAGTACAATTTAATAATGCAGAACCCCAATTAATTATTTTTTTATGGAACATCTCTTTGCAAACAATAGAAAAAGGGAAAAGCAGGAATGCGAGTCAGTCAATGCTCTTGATTATTGATAAATATACAGTAGGTGTAAAAAGCTGACTTCACTTTGCGCTTTTTCAGTTTCTGCAATAATTTCCTAAACCGACAATACTGCAAGCTTCAACATTTATGTCAACTGAGCATAAATATTGCTGTGACGGTGATCGTTTTAAATTAATTAGTGGATTCGCACAGGTAGCATTATTGACTTTAAGCCGTTGCAGATACATCTTAATTTGGATGTAGTAATATCATGATAATTATTTCAAAGAATTGAATAAAATAGATTAAAAAAATTGATTTATTAATTATTGAAAAGGGCTATAATTCTAAATATAAAAATAAAGAAAAACCCCTTAAAAGGATCAAGAGAAATCACTCTTCATATAGAGCATTTCTATTAAGATTTCTATAGAATGGTTGGGACTGGGTGACCCAAAAGGCACCCCAGTTGCCAAAAATTGGAAATTGAAAGTAAATGAATTATTTTCAACGGACAGTTAGGAGCATGGGTAGAGATCCAAGGTTGGCAAATTATCGAAAGATAGCATAGTCAAAAATAAAGCCAACCTCCCATAATCAACATTAGATTTAAAAAAAACTTTTGCAATCGCGAAACGCCAACAAGGCTTTTGAAAATTTAGTATAACCATGTAACTGATACATATTTGTGGTAAGAAATAAAGAATAAAGAGTTATAAATAGATTTTTTGTTTTCGATTATTCGCGACAGTGAATTAATGAGTCTTACATTAATATTGAAATAAAAAGTTAACCATTACATGATCGATAAGAAAAGAATAAAATATTTTGTATTCGCTTTTTATAAATTGTAATAAAAATTTAATGATTGATTTAATTTAATTAAAATTTGATTAAGAATGATTAAAAAAAATAAGTTTAAGAAATTGAAGAAATTTTAAAAGCTAGGAAATATGTAATGCCATCACAAATATCAAACATGCTGTTTAAGGTGTTTCCCACAAAGAGAAACAAATCCTCTTTTTTTTTCTTCGTTGTTATATCAGGAGAAACTGTTTTTCTTCTCAAAACGATATTTTCTATTTCAAATTGGCCAGATGTTCTTTTTTGTGTTATTAATGGAATGCTGTTAAATTCTTTGTTTTCCCCCATAGAAACATAGAATTCCATGCACTAGAAAATTTTCATTGAGTGAAACTCTTGGAGATCCTGTAAAAATACAGTTTTGGAATTTGAATGGTCTGCCCAGAGACGCTTTTTCTACTGATAATGGTGTCATCGTAGAATATGGAAAGAGATGGTGAGTAAAGCACAAACTCATATTTAAAAATTTTAGAAAGTTATTAATGTTTTCGAAAAACTGAACTGTAGTGTTTTTAAAAAATGCTTAAAGGTGCTTATTTTTGATTTACGTTTTTTAAAAGTCCTTAAAGGTGCTTTTTTTATTCTTAGTTTGTAAAAAGTGCTTAATTTTCTATCTTTTAAATGGAGATTTTTTCTTTGCCATGTCGATTGTTGTTCTAAATTACAAAAAATGCATGATTTTCACAATTTTCTCTGCACTATTTATCAGAAACTAGTTGATTTATTATGATTATGTAAAGTTTTTTAATTTCATTGATTTTATGTTTATAAATTAAGAACTTTAAACTTTAGGAAAAAATAATTCTTATTAATGCGCAGATCCTAATTATGATTTTTTTTTTTTTGGAAAGTGATTAAAAATATTTTTTGAGTGCTTAAAAAATACTTAGAAGGTGCTTATTTTTTGTTGAAAAATCTGGCTACGCACCCTGATATTGCTATCTTTTTCTTTGTGGCTTAGATAAAAGAAAGCCTGTTCCAAGCGAAGTGAAATATTTCAATTACTGCTTTTGAAGTTCTCTCTCGCTCAGCATGTCTTGAACAAACATCTGCTGAGTGTCTAAATGAGAAGGGGATAACTTGTGTGAGCATTTTTTGTATGGAGTCAAAATTGATCAAATTAATTTTACAATTTAACAAGCCTTAAACTAAACTGAATAATGCCATTATATCAAACTGATTATTTTCTATCCAAACCGGGACCTTAATATATTTAAACGAACTATTTTGTTATTGAAATTAATTGAAAAAGCATGTCACTTCAGTTTCAACAGGAAATTTTATGTTAAACTTTGCTTCCATTATACTATTAGAGCGCTTTGGGGGAGGTGACGTAGGACTAACCCTGTCTATTTAATTTATATTTATCAATTGTATGAAACAAGAGCTACACATTTGATTCAGTTAAGTATCGTAAAATTTTTTAAAGCTTACATATTTATGAAAGTAACACTATTTATATATATTCTGACTTTTCTCTTTTTTGTTATGTTTTAAACAATTTTTTCAATTAAATTTCATGTTTCAAAAAATGCTCTTTTCTCAGGCCCCTCATGATAGATCCGCAGGGTCAAGCAACCAAGTGGGTGAAGAATATGGAGAGTAACTTGGCGGTCGTGAATCTCACTGACCCTGATCTCCTTCGGACACTGGAGAACAGCTTACAATTTGGGTGGCCAGTTCTGTTGGAAAATGTGGGGGAGGTATTGGATCCTTCTTTGGAGCCACTTCTTCTCAAGAAAACCTTCAAACAAGGTAAGAAAAGGAAAGCATTAATCATTTTATCTCACATCACAAAATTTTTCACTAATATGTGTTGTACTCTTCAGGTACTATGGACATGGTACAGATTGGAGATACTGTTGTGGAGTTCAACAAAGATTTTCGCCTGTACATCACAACCAAGCTACGAAATCCCCATTATTTGCCCGAGATTTCAACCAAAGTATCACTACTAAACTTCATGATAACTCCTGAAGGTTTAGAAGATCAACTCTTGGGCATTGTTGTAGCTCAAGAAAGGTAAGCATGTCTAACTCTAAAGAGCTACAGTGTTGTTTTGTTATATCTAACTACTGTGTCATTAAGTTGTGCATTTGCTTGCTTGTGTATCCAACAGGCCAGACTTGGAGGAAGCTCGCCAGCAGCTGATTGTGCAGACAGCTGCGAATGAGAAGTCTCTGAAAGAGCTTGAAGACAAGATCCTCTACACCTTGGCACAGTCAGAGGGGAGCAACATTTTGGAGAATGAAGAGGCCACAAATATTCTGGATTCATCAAAGTTTCTTGTGGATGACATCAAAGCAAAGCAAAAGGTATCTTTTTTTTTGAATGGCAGGCACTTGGGTCTATTTCCTATTGACCTCAGAAATGTCAAAATTGCCCCTTCACTACTCAATTGCCCAAATAAGACTGTAGCAAGTTCTGTTTCAAGTCAGTGGGAGGTTCATTGGTCATATTGACACTGCTTTGTAAAACTGACACATTAAACTATAATAATAAGTGATTAATATTAGATAACTCAACTTCCTATATTGGTCACATGTCTATTGGTCTTTATGATTATTATTCTCATTATGATTAATAAGTTTTTTATTTAATGGTGGATATTTGGGTCTATTTCCCACTGACCTCAGAAATTCCGGAATTGCCACTCTCATCGTTACCCAGTGGGCAACTGTGGCTAAGCCACGGCGGTGGCGTAGCGTCTCCCACGTCATACAACAGGGTTGCCACTCCACAGGGAAAACACAGGGAATTTAAAACCCACCTAAAAATGCATGGAATTTTAATTTTTTCTTTGCAAACTGGAAAAATACAGGGAATTTTGTTTTTCAAAAAATGGTGGCCACTCAAAGCATTATCTATGGGATATTTAACTATGATATTTCAGCTATACTAAACTATCTCATTTACTATAGCATTATTTAAGCATGTTCAGCTGTTTTTCCAGCAATTAAAGCTAATAAATATAGTTAGCCCAATACAGCTCACGCAAGAGCACAATAATTGTTGTTTCCTCTTAATATATTGTGTATAATATGTACAGGGAAAACACAGGGAATTTTTTTTCCAAATTTGAGTGGCAACCCTGTACAACCACAAACACATTTATAGGATGGGTTACATTCACACAGAAAAAATGACATAGAAGAACAGAGAGAGAGAGAAAGTTACATCCATGCCTATGGTGGGACTCAAACCCACAACCACTGGCCCTGTAGTCCAGTACAGTAACCACTAGACCAGTGATCGACATGACCAGTGATTATGATACAATATGTAGTATATGATAAAAAAATACAACAATAAGTTATAACCACTAGACCAGTGATAGACGCAAGGCAAAAGGTTATTCACTTTACTTAGCTATTTATTAATTGATTAAACTAAGTTCAACTACTCTCTAACATTTTAATAGATACTGACATCCGAGATTGTTGCAGAATATCATTGTATCTGTTAGTCAACAGAACGAAGTTTTATAAAGCAATAAATTTATTTAAAAACAAGACAAATTATCACAAACAGAGTGACTAGTGAAAAGAATGAATACGAGCAATAAGCTTAGATACTCTTCAGAAGCTTAAATACTCTTTAAACAGATAACGGATGACGTCATGATCCACGCGAGAATGTCCAACAGCAAATGAAAATTAACTGGCTGATCAACGCAGACCATGACGTTACCGACGTAAGTTGAATGCATGAGATCGTTATCTTCGACGACTGACGAAGTTCGAACCTTATACCTTTTATTTTTATGTTATTTAATCAAAATAGAAAAAACCCTTTTAGCATTTATTTATCTAACAGATGCAACTATAGTTTTTTTTTTTTTTTTGAATTTCATACATTAAAATTCATGATAATATCTTCCTTTACAGATTGCTGATGAAACCACTGCAAATATCAATGAGTCTCGACTTTTGTACCAACCTGTTGCTCAAAGATCCTCTGTTCTGTTCTTCTCCATAACAGACCTTCCCAACGTTGATCCTATGTACCAGTACTCTCTTAACTGGTTCATCAACTTGTTTTTGAGAGCCATTCAACAAAGGTTCGATAAATATGGTGTATTACAATTTTTTTTTTATTTTTACTCTTTCAATATTGCTAATAATTGTCCCTCTTCCAGTGAGAAGTCGGATGACTTAACTCAGCGACTGCAGAATCTCAGTGACTATTTCACGTACAGTTTGTACTGCAATATATGCAGATCCTTATTTGAAAAGGACAAGTTGCTCTTCTCCTTTGTACTCTGCTGCAATTTGCTGATGTATGGATACTTTTTCTTTCTTTATTCACACATCTTCATTTTGGATGTACACTCAATTAACCCTTTCATTATTATGACCAATGCACAAAGCCTCGTTCGCTATTTCATAGACATAATGTTATTTTAATGTCCATTAGAACATCCGCACTGGACCATTTATTCCGATAGAACGACTGAAATTTGGTAATTTGATTTTGAAAAATTTTCAAAGAAGATGTTAAAGAAATTATTTATTTATCATTTGATGTTAACCACATGACAAATCAGGGAAAACAAGTTTTAGATAAAAAGTCAGAAAATTATGTGGGAAAAATCTGCGATTAAATGCAGATTAATGTATAGTTTTTTTTAAAATATTTTTTTAGAATGACTTAGTTGTTAAAAAGTTGTTCTTTTATTTTATTGATTAATAAGTTATCTCTTAATATTTAGTTTTCTTTCACTTTGTTTCATTTTTTTGAATTTTTTTTATTTATTTAATAGCTAAATGTTAAAAGTATTGCGTTTTTATTGTTTATTTATTTTTTTGCTAGTCTGTTTAAAAACACTTTTTTGATTTAACTTAGTAAATATAGATTAACTTTAATTATATATGGATTGTTTATATATTTGTCAGTTTCTTTTTAGGACAGTTTGATAATTGGTGTTAAAACATTTTGTTTTAATTTATTAATTTATTGTTATAATTTTATATTATTTAATTATTAATTAATTAATCTTTTAAATAAGTTTTGCTCAATCAAATTATACAGTCTTATTGATGCTTATCTTTCCCATAATTACTGTTTTAATCGATGTTGATGTATTGGATTTTAATTGTTTATTATATTGTTGTTTCCAAAAATGTTCTTACATTGATTAAATATAATTTAACTTCAATTATGCGCAGATTATTTACATATTATTAGTATTTTCTGCAGCAACTTCATACTTATAAAAAAATTGATTTTCTTTTAAAATATTGCCTAATAAATTCCCTTAGTCTTATTTTTTCTTTTAGTGACATTTCTGACAGTTTATTATTTTTAATCGGAGTTGACATAATTTGAATCACCTGATTTTTTTCAAATAAAAATAATTTATAAATGCTTACATTGATTCAATATGAAACTTCAACTATACACAGATTATTTATTTATTTTTAGTATTTTTTGCAACAACTTCACTCCTACAAAAAAATTGCTTTTTTCAAAATATTGCTTTAGTCTTATTTTTTTTTTAAGTCGCATTTGTGACAATTTATTATTTTTAATTGGAATTGACATAATTTAAATCACCTGATTTTATTTGAAATAAAAATAATGTATAAATGCTTACTTAGAGTTGCAATTTTGATTATAATTCTAATTTAAAATTTTATAAATTTTTTTAAAAAAAATTCCGGACGTTTTACATAAATCTAACAAAAAAAGTCAGGAAATTTTTTTTTCTCTTTGAGTATGAACCCTGTCAACACACTTAATCCTTTTCAAAAGGATAATCTCTGTAATCTGCATAATCTCCTAAATCCTAGGTGGTAATAATTTACGGTAATTTGTGTAACTTTCTTTACTAAGGGATACTTTTTCTGTTTGAAAATAGTATTTGCTCTTTTCTATTAAATATCAGGTTTAATTTTCAGTTTAAACCGGCAGTGTCCATCGAGAATGGCAACTCCGAACTACCTATGAAGTATTATTTCAAAGGTTACTCTTATATTACAATCGAAGAAAGTTACGCCAATTTATAAATTATTTATCGCCAATTTACAAATTATTAGAATTATTAGAACTCGGGCATAGCAGAAGTCGTCAAAACGTTTTGTTTCATCGTGTTTTTATTCTGCCGGAAACAAAACAAAAAATAATAATAATCTGCTGTGATTGGCAGTTTGCCCATTTTTGTTTGGGAGTTTTGCTGTTTGTGGGTCTGCAGACGAGTTTTGCACAATTGTATATAAAAAATTCATGTGTTGATGAATTTACAATGAGAAAAGAGTACAAAAATGGCGTTTGCAAGCGAAAGTAATGCAGTTGATTTTTCAGATTATGAAGATGTGAACATATACAAAGACTAATATTTAACTTGTTTTCATTTGCCTGAGATAATGTGGGATAGTAAACTGATGGTAAATTAAATGTTATTTACACATAAAAAAAAAATTTAAATTTCAACTTAGAACTTGTATATTATGTTTTGTTTTAGTTCCTTGTATTTATTAATGAAGTAAAAAAATATGTTCATTTTTTGCATTTTGTTTATGAAAAAGTTGGTAAGGAAAGAGTTAATTACATAAGCATTGCTTTATTAAAAACGGTTAAGTATTTTTTTAGCATTAAATAAATATTTGTGGTATTTTTGTGCACTCTCAATAATAAGTTATATATTTCAATGAACATAACTTTTTACCACAGGTCAGATAGAAAATTAGAAAAAACAGAATTTAAATTTTTTCTAACTGGGGGTGTTGGACTGGAAAATACAACGCCAAATCCTGCTTCAGCATGGTTGCAAGATAAATGCTGGGATGAATTGTGCAGATTATCAGATTTTAAAGTATTCCATGGCTTGAAGTAAGTGATTAGTTTTGATTTTCAATGATTTGTAAAGTATTAAGAATGCTTTTTTAAAATGATATATACTGACGTGAAATATCCTCAGTGGTTTACAAATCATGGGTTAGAGTCCCCTTGCCATTAGGGTAACCGTGGGAGGTTCTCATGGTCTTCCTCTCCATGTAACGCAAATTCGGGTTAATTCCTTAAAAAAGTCCTCGACGAAGGCAAAATTTCTCCCAATACTTGATCCAGAAGTTCCCTTGTCTTCTGGAATGGATTCACAATTACAAGGATACGGAGTTGAACATTAGAAGTTGTAAACCCAAAAATTGGGTCGGCTGTTCAACGACAATTATAAAATGCTTGTTTAAGTCACTTATCCCCTTATTTTCAATTTTTTAAAATTGCAAAACAACGTAATAAGACATTTTGTAAAAAATTGCACTTGAAATATTTCGAATTTGTATCAAAAGTTAAATTAAATACAAGAAAATGTTAGGAAATTATTTTTTAAAGAGTTTCAGAGATTAGGAGTTTTGACAACAAAAGAAAGGAATCTTTTGTTCCAGATCCAGAAGTTCCCTTGTGTTTTGGGTTGGGTTCAAAATTACAAGGCTATGTAGTTGAGCATTAGTTGTCATAAATCCAGGATTTGGGTCGGCTGTTCAACCACGGTTATAAAAATTATTAAAAAGAATATTTATGTGTGTTGAGTTTAACAGTATTATAGGGCTAAGTTTATGGTTGCCACTGACAACAGATAACCAACTAAATTAAACAAATGGCATTGAAAAAGTTGCCTCCCAATATTTTTTCATTCAAAATATTTCTATGTGCATTTTATTATCTTTTAATAATATGGAATTATGAATATTTTATAATATTTCATGTGTTCTAAATATTTTATATGTTCTGATATGTTGATTTAAATAAATACAAGTTAAATAAATGAAAGTTAAATTAAATACAAGAAAATGTTAGGAAGTTTTTTTTAAAGAGTTTCAGGGATTAAGAGTTTTGACAACAGAAGAAAAGAATCTTTTGTTCCAGATCCAGAAGTTCCCTTGTCTTTTGGAGTGAGCTCAAAATTACAAGGCTATATAGTTGAGCATTAGTAGTCGTAAACCCAGGAATTGGGTCGGCTGTTCAACCACGGTTTTAAAAATTATGTAAAAAAAATATTTATGTGTGTTGAGTTTAACAGTGTTATAGGGCTGAGTTTATGGTTGCCACAGTCAACAGATAACCAATTAAATAAAACTGGCATTGAAAAAGTTGCCTGCCAATATTTTTTCATTGAAAATATTTCTATGTGCATTTTATAATTTTTTTATAATATGGAATTATGAATATTTTATAATCTTTCACATGGTCAAAATATTTTATATGTTCTGATATGTTGATTTATTTCATGCTTGTTTCTTAAAATTTTTCTTCAGTTTGGAAATGAAACTTGTGCCTACCATACTTTGAGAAAAACTTTATAAAAAAAATGACTTCATTAATATCAACAATTTTTTCATCCTTTAAAGTTTTGAGGTTTAGAATATGTGACCACATGTGTTAAAAAGTTGCCACTGTAAAAAATGCATATAACACCCAGTTTTCAATTTAAAAAAAAATGATGTTCAGATGAAAATTACTAACTCTAATAAAAATTTAAAAAATTGGAATAAGTATTAATGACAGCGAGAGTTATTTTAACAAAAATTCTTAGAACTGCTTGATTTTTGAAACTAGCATTTTAAAGTCTTCCAACATGACTCTGCATCACGACTTGTTTGATTGTAAGTTGAAAGATTTTGTGTTTCAACTAACAAACTTATGGAGCTATGAAAGTAAGCTTGTGTTTGCATATTTACTTTGTTCAAAATAGCTGTGCCAGTTCTAAATATTCTAATCATTTTAATGTTTAAAGAAAAGCATTAAAAAAAAAATCAGTGTTAGTTGCTTTTAATGCTATTTTCCTGTATTTGTACCTTATTCAACTTATGATAACTGTGTATGTATCTTTTATGTGCTACGGTTAAATGAATTGTAGCATTGTTACATACCAATATTGACCTCTTCCTCTATTTTTTCAAAAAACTCTCAATTTTGTCATGAGATTCTTACAAGTAAAAATATAATAATTAGAATTTATATTAATATAATAATTTATATTTGACAGAATGTAAAGAATAACAAGCTTCCTAAGACCAGAAGAAATTTAGAAATTTTCCGACGTATCCTTTCACCTATATGTTATGCTTTCGAGGCGCTGTGTAAACAGGCTTAATATTCTAGAAAGTTTTATTATTGTGTTTAAATTTACGTGTAATTCTACCATTCATAAGAATTTTCTGTGTTACATAAATTCTGACAAGTCGTAAGCCTTAAATAAATTTTAAAAAATTAATATCACAACATAAATAAATAGTATGGTTTCATATGTTTTTAGTGTTATCCCTTGTTTGGCTATATTAGTGCAAAATATTGCCGTTGGTTTTTTAAAAAATTTTTTTTTATATCATAATAGCATGCTTGTGGAGTCTTCCGAATTCACTAGTTGTTTGTTTCGTTGAAATTTATATTGAAAAAACGCATTACAGTGCGGCTTTGAGGAGAAATCCTCCCGACAAAAGTCTGGGGCTGTCACTATGCATTGTAAACACTACAAATATAATAATATTGGATAGCACACGTTTTCAAGCTTAGGCATAAAAATTAATCTAGAGTAGTAACCTAGAAGTCTTACGACAAATTTTAACACCTAGTGCCATCTGTGCTTGGCTTTACGCGGTCAACCATTCATACTTTTTTAATGTAAAAAATCAACTTCCATATTTGTAGTGATTAGTACTTTCCTTTTATTTTGGTAGTCCTATGTTGTTTTCCACTTAAATATAAAAGGTGTCTTCTAAAAATGCAATTTCTTCTTTTTTACAGAGATGAATTTATGTCTACTGCAGAATCCTGGAAAGAAATTTCTAACTCTAAAGACCCACAAAGCATTCCACTGCCTGGTATTTGGGAAGAAAAACTCTCCCTTTTTCAAAGACTCTTGCTTTTGAGGTGTTTAAGATTTGATAAGGTACTACTTCACTTTAAAATTGACTATTTTTAAAGTAGGTACTAAATGTTTTGTTTTTAAACTTTTTCACCTTTAAGCCTTATTTAGTTAAGGTTTTAGTTTTCACCTTTAAGCCTTATTTAGCTTTTTCACCTTATATTTAGTTAAGGTAAAAACCATTTAATCCATGGGAAAACCTAGTAAATTTAATCATGTTATTTATTTTCAGATTTTTTATTTATAGCTGATAGAAATTAGATATTTCTATATTATAAGAATTATGGGATAATATAGATTTATCTTATGTAAGCAAGTAATTAACCATCAGACAAGTGACATGGTGTAAACTATCTCCTAAATTTTTATTGTGAACAGGGTGCGTAGCGTTTGTAAAAAGTACTTAAAGGTGCTTTTTTGGAGATTTCGTTTTTAAAAGCTTTTAAAGGTGCATTTTTCAGCTGGCGTTTTTAAAAAGTGCTTTTTCCCCCCGAATAATTCCCCCCCCTTCAGTGATATCTGGTGGATCCCATGCTTTTCACGAAAAATGGGGTGTTTGCTACGTAATCATTCACGTGGACTTCATGTCATACCCACGTTATGGCGCATGCATGCACCTTTGAAACCGAAACCCGAATGCTCCAATTCGGATGGAGAATATCAGATCCTTATTAAATGTTTTTCTTTTTAATTTATTTTAATTTTATTATTGTTTATTTTATTTCACTTCTAAAACTTTTTTGACGTAGGGGGTACGGGTACTTTTGTTCTGAGTTCAGGGTCAAGTTGAATTCACTCGATGATGTGGGAAAGTACTGATTGTTTCGATTTACGTCTGTTTCTTTTTGGGTTTTTTAACGCTAAAACTGTTTATAAAAATTTTTTGTTTTTCAATGATATCACTGATTGAATATGAATTTTTTGAGTGCTTGAAAATTTTTGTAAAGTGCTTGAAAAGTTTTTAAAAAGTGCTTATTTTTGATTCAAAGATTTGGCATAAACTCAAGAA